CTCAAAATCAAATATTTGCTAATCCCATTCCAAGAAAGCTGTCCTGATTAGGATTGTTTATCTAAAATGTGTCTTCAGCTAACATGCTTGATTTGCATGCTGTGACTGTGAGCTGGGACTGTGAGCTTATGAGTTTCATTATTTGTTATTGCAGAGTAAGAGAATTAACAATCACCAACGAAAAACTCCGAATCCAAGTTGACGAGAAAGAAAAAACTGTCTCAGCTCTTCAGAAATCAGTGTCCTTTGATTTGAGCGAATCAGACATCGCTAAACAAGAACGTCAAGACGCAGAATTCCTTCATTCAGCATTACGTAACCTAGCCGACTCTGTCATCAATGACGAAGATGATTTAGAGATGATGGATGGTGAGACGAATGGTCTAGTGAAACGAAGTGCATCACCATACCGTGCTAGATCAACGTCACCCTTACGATCAAGATCACCATCAACACGTCACCGATCACCAGGACGTTCCATGTCACCACGAGGTCGCTCTCGCTCTCCTGCTTTCGTAGACGCCACCTTCTCTGCTGTCCAGACAGCTTTGAACAAACGTCATGTACAAGTTTCGGAGCTTCGAGCCAAACTTGCCACCAGTAATGAACACAAATCAAACATCGTTCAACAACTGGATAATGTGGAGAGCGAAAAGCGTAGACTAGAACGTCATGTGATGAACCTTAAAGAAGAGATGGACAATGTGTAAGTTAGCTTATCAAATTGAATTCATTTAGTCATGAGCTATTTGACTGACATTTATTGCATAGTTTCAAATATTACATTGAGAATGTGCTTCAGATTTTCTTCCCCTAGCAGACGGCAATGTAAAATTGTTACTGATTAAGCCATTTCCATACCCAGCAGACGACGATCAAATTCTCTAGTGACTGAGCTATCCCTCTACGCAGAAACCCCTGAGCTTCCTTTACTAGTCCCTGATTTTTTAACTGGTTCTCTTTTATAGACGTCGCGAGCGAGAAGATTCTTCCAGAGATCGAGAAAGGATGAAGAATGCTTTAGACGTAACAGGAAACGAAAAATCACAATTGGAAAAATTACGACATGAATTGAACGAAGAAATCGAGAACATTCATAAAGAAAATGAGAAATTACAAGCTGTGAACGGAAGTCTACAACAACAACGTGACCAGCTGGAGGAGGAAAAAGAGGATGTGAAAAAAGATAAGGAACGACAGATTAAAGAAAATGAAAGATGGTGAGTGAAAACATTTTTGTTTATGTGGACTCTCTTAAATGAATAGTAATTGACACAAAAATATCAAAACATTGAATTGATTGGTTTTTTAGAATTTTGTTGTTTTTTTTCAGTCAAAAGATTATTGATCAACAAGATCATAAGATGTCTAAAATACGTGAAGATTACGTCACAACGAAGGAAGCCTTGAACCGAGCATTATTAGAGAAGGATGTTTTAGATGGACAGAAATCTGAAATAGGTAGGTTCACTTTTTTTTTTTCAAAGCAATATGGCTGAAAACATCCCAACAGCGAGATATTCTATAGTATGCTAAGAATCAAACAAACTTGAGAAATGTAACGCCATTTAATGACAGGTTTTGACGTATACGTTGTGCTTTATTTTGCAGGAGAAGCGTTATCCAATACAGAATTACAAAAGGTAGAACTAGAAGTTGAAATTAACAAATTGAAGACCGAGGAAGCCACTCTACGAGATGCTTTGTTAAAGATGCAGTCTCTGAATGAAGGTCTAGGACAAGATAAGATTGAACTCAACAAGATCATTATGATGGTAAACAACCTTTTTTCACTCCTTTTTGAACTATGCAATTTGGCCTCTGAACTGAAATACAAAATGTCCTCAAAGTCAAAATCATAGTCGGACATATTACATTTTCAATCAGACATGACTGGTAAAAGTAATCAAATCCACAAACTTGCTCAGACATGACTGGTAAATACAGCCAAATCAACATTCCTAAACTAAACCAAATCTTATTTTTCAGCTTGAAACTGACAAAGCCCATCTGTTAGATGAGAAATCAGCCCTAGAACAAGATAAACAGGGAATTAAGGAGGAGCTCGTGAAGGTCGAACAAGAGAAGATGCATCTGGAAACTGAAAAGATCGGTTTGAATCAGAACTTAGACTTGTGTGATATCAACAGACAGCAATTAGAAGACGAGATCTCACGAATTAATCGTGAAAAATCAGCTCTCACTGAAAAACTTTCACTGGTAAGTGGTTTTATTTAGATTTGCCTAAAGGCTTAGTTGATATCAAATCTGAACTTGTTTGATGATATATGATACTGGATGATGTATAGATCTCTAAAAGGGAGGCTGAGTTGAGAAATCTATCATTATCTTACGTGGGAAGGGTAACCAAGTTGACAACCCAAGTCTCAGGGTTGCATCAGGTGTTCTGAAAGTATGATATTAAAAGCCATATTTTAAGATAGAATTATCAAGAATTATTGTTCATAATTTCAGCTTGCAAGACAGAAGGATGCTCTTACTGATGAACTTCTCCAAGCCAGGAAGGAGTGTGAACGAGTCCAGATCAGTCTAGAACGTATCATCAAGGAAAAGGAATACTTGGTCCAAGAGAAAGGTGAACTGGTCGTTCAAGTCACAGCCACGGAACGCGAGAACCGACAACAGAGTGAATCTGTCTCTGCTATGTCTGCTGATAAGGATGGTTTAGAGAGCCAACTTTATGAAACGCAGCAGAACCTGATGCAGACTGAGGTTCGTAAAGCTCAACTGGAAGGCGAGAATCAGGAACTGATTGTCCGAAAGGAACATTTACAAGGTATGTTTGAGAATCCCATCTGTTGGCTCTTTTGAACGTAAGAACTTAAACTTAGAAGATCAGATTCATTGTATTCATTATCAAAATACTTGTTCATTTGTTTTTGCTTGAAACTTGACATTAAAAGAGCAATTTGATCAAATTCTTAACAAAACTGACCACATTAGGGCAAAGCCATGCCACTCTGGAGCCCAATTGCTTTAATTGAAAACTCTGTATCTCCCAATTTCAGCTGAAATCAACAGGTTGGTGAATGAAAAAGAGGCAGATCTCGAGAAATTCGAAATCCAGAAGAATGCTCTGACTAATCGACTCCAACAAGTTGAACGTGACTTACAGATGGCGCTTCAGCAGGCTAAACAAACTCACGAGGAAGATGTAGAAAGATTGTCCAGAGAGAGGGTAAGCTTTGGAATCCAGACCTAATTTCCTAAATTAAACAAAAATTAATAAACCCAAGTACTAATGACCGGAATCGCAAAACAAACCCATGAAATCCAAAAGAACAGTTCGACATTACAGTATCTCAATTGATGTACATGTAACTAAAAATGCTTTAGATGGTTATTCTATCTTCAGACTTACAGAGTGTTCACATGGTTAGTAGTATTCTTTGGTAGCGTACACCAAGCTGCAGTCCACATGTCTAATATATACTATGTATTTATAAATTGTAGGAAACTCAGAGATTAGATTTTGACAGTGAGCGAGAAGAAATTCACCATAGATTTAATCTAGAGAAGGAAGAATTATTGAACAGGTTGATCAAAGAAAAAGAGGAGCTTCAAGACAATCTACTGGATGTCCAGAGAGACCGAGATGAAGCTTTATTGATGGCTGAGAACGATAAACAACAGGTTGGCTTTTAGCAAATTTTAGGACTAAAAAACTGTTCTCATCCTGTATTTAAACTAGTTAAGGACAAGAACAGTAACCTCCTAGATAGATTTGGAAGGGATAATACTCCACCTTTATCACCTCGGATGCTTGTCACTTTAGCAAAAGTTTCCAAACAATTTCAGCTCAAGTTACCAAAGCATTGAGATTTAGCTAAAGTTTCCAAATGAGCTAATTTTAAAATTCATCCCATAGCTCCAAGGAATTGAATATTTACCCAAATTCAAATTACCAATCTTAAAAGCTAACCCATCTTTTGTATTATCCCCAGATGTTATCCACCTTGGAGCAAGAGAAGTGTTCTTTACAAGAAAGGATATCCATTCTACAGTCTGAAATCAGAGCTCTGTCAGGAGATTATGATAAAATGAAGATGGAATACAGCTCACGTCAAGAGGAAGATAGAAATAACATCAACAGTCTACAGAACGAGCTGAAAAACTTCCAACTACAGTTTGAAGAATCAGTGTAAGTTTTCAAATATGGACGAATTTCTTTGATTTACACGAGTATGCTTTAGATTTTTGGGAAAATTTCTTTTCTTCTACCAGAATATTGACTTCACTATACATCTTCTGTAAGTGTATCTATGGATGGCTTAGCCTTATGAAGGACTTGGTTCCATCATGAATGATCAATAACTTCTGGCAGCTTTTCAAAAAGATCTTACCTTATCTTGTTCCATTCCAGTTCTGCCCATGAAAGAGAAATCAAGAGCTTGACAAACCAAATCCGAGATCTTGCCAGACAGAAAGAAGGTGCTCTGAAAGAAGTAGCTGAGCTCAAGACTCAACTGAAACTGGTTGAAGAAGCTCGAGATGCTATCAGACGAGACCTGATCGATGCCAACCGAACCATCCGGGAAGCTGAAGAGAACAGTGATATTATGAGGAAGGACATCATGGATCTGAAACGCTCGGTCAATGATGAAATCAGAGAGAAAGAAACTATCAGTAAGACTGCTGATGAACTGAGAAACACTGTCAAACGAGCTGAAGCTGACAAGACTGAGCTTAATCGAGGCCTTCAGGACTCTAAACAGAAGATCTGTGGTAAGTCATCATATGACAAGTGTATTCTTTAGGCTAAATGTTCAAAAGGAAAACTAGCATATCAAATCATTGTATTCAAAAGCCATAAGCAAAGTGAAAAATCACTGTTTAAACTCTTGTTTTGATTTCTTATTTCAGTTTTGGAAGAACAGAATCAAGATTTGAATAAGGAAGCCAACGATTTGAGAAGTAACTTAAGAGATGTAGAAAAAGCCAGACTTGATGCCAGAAGAGAATTACAGGAACTGCGACGCCAGATCAAGATGTTGGATGGTGAACGCAGCAAACTTGGCAAAGAAGTCGTAGAGTTACAGACCAGAGTTGCTCATGATGAAGAAAAGGATGAAGAATCCAGAAGATTTTCGTTTGATTTGAAACAGAAGGTGGTTGAAACTGAAGCCAGCCGAGAAGCCTTACGTAAAGAACTTGCCAATATGCAACGAAAGATGGCCGAACTTATTGATGAAGCTCATCTTAAGGAGAAGAACTACCACATGTTATTGGAGGACAGTCGACGAAATGAAGCTAAATTAGATGATAACAGAAATGAATTGGAGCACGCCTTAGACAACTGCAATGCAGAAATCAAGGATTTGAGATTGAAATTAAGCGGCAGCGAAGGAAGAGTTAATGCCCTTGAGGCGGCCTTAGCTAGATTAGAAGGTACCAAACGAGATATTGAATTCAAACTCAATAGTATTGTATCCAGTCTTCGAAGATCCATTGGTTTCCGACAGGAGATGCCAAGAGGTCGAGCCATGAGAACCAGGAGTCCTAGTCCAAGAAGATCCCGATCCAGACCTACCTCACCATCCAAAGGATTCGAGAGCACCTACACTACCACTACTGATGGTAGAGGAACACCCATACCAAGAACTGGTGTGTCTCCAGTACGTGGTGAGAGTCCAGTCAGATCACGAGGAGCTTCACCTGTAAGATTTGTTGATATGTCAGCTGTAGATGTTGATCCTGAGGCTGTAAGAATGGCTCTTCGAGATTTCATGGGACAACTGGCTAATGCTGAACGAGAAAGAGTAAGTAGGCCTACTCATCTTTTTTACTCATCTGTCTGTTTAAATACATGTCACAGAATTTGGCTCAAACTTTAAGACAAATGCCTATTCTGAGTTCTTCTCCAGAAATTGAAAATAACTCCATTGCTGTCTTCTTAAAAAATTTGAATAAGAAATCTTGGAATCATCTTTGCTTGGTGGATCTTTAAATCAACTTTTGCAATTTGCATTTTAGGATGATGCCATCAGCTCTGTGAACAGCCTGACAACTCAATTAAGAGATTTGGAGGGAGACCATGAAAGAACAGAAAACAGACTGTCTACATTACAGAAATCTATGGGAGCTATTGAAGAAGGTAAGCTAGACTATATCTTTACACCCTACTCTCAGGGGGGTAAATATCAAGATTTTGGACTCTCTCAGAGGAGTAAGAAGTCCAATAAAATGCACAATATCAAGGCTTTGGTAATCAATCTCCCTATCTTTATATATTGAATTCAATTCAAATTTCTTTGATGGATTTATAACTCTGACAATTTCAATTTGTTTCCAGACAAACGAGGTATTGACGGACGTCTATCTAGCGCCCAGACTGCTCTCATGTTGCAAGAAGAAACCATCCGTAGAAACGAACGAGAACGAAAAACTATGTCTGACAAATGTATTGCTCTAGAACGTAACTTAACTGCTGTGGAATCTGAAAAACGTCAACTTGAAGAGAAACTCAGTAAGATGAGAACCAATGAATCCAAACTTGAAGATGACAAGAAAAATCTGAAGATCGCTTTTGATGATGCTGAGAACAGATGTACTAAATTAGAATTGAGTCGTCGAGCCTTAGAAGGTGAATTACAGAGAGTGAAATTGGCCATGAATGATAAAGAAACTGAAAATCAGGTAAGCATTGAAATTCTCCCTATGCTTTTCCAGTGGTAAAAGTACCAAAGCCTGACAAGGAGAATAGATTCTGCATTGACTATGACAAACAAACGCCTCGGTTCATTGTTAGGTTTAATATTAAGGAATTGATGCAAGCTTTTCATCACAGCTACAATACTTTCCAAAGTTAGACTTAAGAGATGTATACTGGCAATTAAAAATATAACATTGTAATGTACTTTCTATTGCTATGAATTAATGATGAACATATTGATTAGAAACTTGTCTTAGTCTGATATTGTGCTTCAACCTTGACTGAACTAAACTTGTGATCTAGCTACTAGCTGTCTCAGTCAGTCTTCTACAATAGGCATGAAGTCTTTTTATAAAAATAGTTCAGTACATCCTGTAAGGAGAAGCAATGCTGGTACTTGCAGCCATTTGGTTAGTTACTTTGAACTGCCTTCTAATATGAGGTTGTGACTATAGCTTTATGGATTGATCGTGCTGTTTTCTGTTGACAGCCTTCTAATGTTGGTCTTTAACTTCAGTTATGTGGCTTTGTCTAAGCTAATGCCTTCCAGTGTTTGGTCTTTGACTGCTGCTATATGGCCTTGTCGTGGTGTTTTTCAGGTACTATCCAACCGAGTAGACAATCTAATGAAACAAGTACAAGATTTAGAGTCCAAGTCTAACTCCTTACAACTAACCATTGATAGAATGAGCCTCAACTTGACCAAGACAGAGGAGGAGGGACATCACCATAAAGACAAGGTGAGTGCAATTTCATAATATGTGGTATTTTGGCTTCTTTTTGGGTTCATTTGAGGTTGAAAAGCACTTGAGCCTTTGCTTTTACAAATTACTCAAAAAAAATTCAAGATGATCCAAATATTTAAAAGATAATGTTGAGTTCCAGTTGTACAATTCATCTGAATTTTAATCATGGCTTTTTCGTTTCCAGGTTCAAGCATTGAGCATGTCTTTATCTGACAGCAATGCTGTTATCAGTGAACTCGAAGACAGGATTTCTCAGATGCAACGAGCTATAACTAATAGTGAACATGATCGTAGGGTGTTACAAGAGAGACTTGAACAAACAAGGTAAGTTTTAAAACAAGACGCAACACAAAGAGGAAATTATTGATACACTGAGACCATATTACAACCGTAAATTCAGAAATATTGTATAGATTGGTAGTTTTTGGATAAACTAGTTCACTAAGTGAAAGATTTTACTGGTCTTTGTTGTTTTATCAGTGTAAAAATTTTATTATTAATTTTCAGACAAGCCTTGGATGATGCGAAGAAACAGAATCAGAATTTATTGGAAAGAATGCAGGGATTACAGTCAGACCTGAGTGAAAGTGATGTACGAAGGTCAGAATTAGAAGGTCATGTACGACAGAGTTCAACGGTAGGCATCTTTATTTTTTCTTAATCATCATTTTTATTTTATTATCTCAACAATGTTGTTATCATCAGGTCAATGAATTTTGTGATTTGATTAAAGAACCCAAGAACCAATGATCCAAACAGCAACCCAACATCCTAAACGAGATATTTACTAGTGTAGTTTATAGATATCCTGTTCTGAATTCCTTGAGCCCCTCTTGATTCTTAACTATTCCTGTTTCAGATCTTAGTACAACGCCAGGAATCAGAACAAGAATTGAATCAAAAAATCCAGAAATTACAGCAAGACAAACAGAACTTAGCTGATAAAGTCACGCAGCTACAGAGAACTATTTCAGACATGGAGAACGCTAAACATGAAGTTGAGAGGTCAGCCACTAGGTTGGAGAAAGATAAATCTGCCTTAAGAAACACCCTAGATAAGGTTGGTACCAAAAACATCGAAAATGTACAAATATAAAAATTGTAATCTTAAAACTAACCACCATATACTGCTTTAATACTTCATTGAGATATTTTGAATAAAGTCAAATTTTAAATTCAAGCCATTTTCAACTTTTCTGAACTCTTGATGTCACTTTGCAACTTGGTTTATTGGCATTACTTTTAGAGTTTCCACATGCTCTTTGGTATTTGTAGGTTGAAAGGGAGAGACTACGAAGTGAAGAGATGGCCAACAAGAGTGTGTTAGAACGAGGCAATCTCGATATCGTCATGCAAAGACTGGAAGACGATAACGTCGAACTACAACGTCAAGTACAACAACTGCAAGCTCAACTAGCCGAGGCTGAACAGCAACATTCCCAAAGGTATGACATCTCAATAACTCATTGATACGTTCGGTCAAATTGTCTGCCAAACTGATATAGTAAAACAATGTAATTAATGACTTAAACCATGCAAAGGTACAGGAGACTATAGAAGCACCATCTGGGAGTGGCTGTTTAAAATAGAGAGCAGAAGATACTATAACTCAATAACTAAAATATCTTTTGATTTCCCCACTACAATATACTACAATAACAGAATATGTTCCTAATCCATAATGACATTTTCAATTTCTGATTTATTTTATTTATAAAGTTTAATTGAATTAAATGAAGAACATCTAAAAAGGTATCGAAATCAAAGTTGTGATGGGATATAACATTTCATAGCAAAGCATGATGTTCATATAACATGTTCAATATCTCCCATATTTCCCATGTTGGAATATAACATTTCATAGCAAAGCATGCTTATATATAACATAATATAGCATAAAGAATAATGCTATAAAATATAACATATTTGACTTTTATGGAATATATAACATCTCATATTAAGCATGATGTTCTTATAACATAATATTTCCAACATTGGCCAAGCATAAGGTTATAATATAACAGATTTGATATTTATGGAATATATAAAAATTCAAAGCAAGCATGATGTTATAACATAACATGATTGTGAATAATCTTCAATATTATGGGATAGGCGGGATGCATGCACTTATGGGATGCAAACATAATGTAAAACATATCAAATAATTGGGCATTTCTTTTTTAAAGCATCGTAATACGTTAAAGGTTATTATAGCATGAATATAAATATGTATTACAATACTCAAAGCAAGGCATGGCATGACATTTTCATGAGGGTATTCGCAGTTCAATAAATTAAGTGGGGGAGCATCTTGATTTAATAGCATTGCATATATATATGTTCTGTATAACCAAACTAATAGAATAGCATGAATTATATACATAGATATTGTCATAATAACATACTTGTATTTAAATATTTATAAGACATAGGCTGATAATTCATGCAGGGCTAGAGTTTCACATTGATTTAGGCTCATGTTTCACATGGTTTCACATGGTGGGAGTTAATGCATCTCATGACTGGTAATGCTTGATACTAATGCTTACTATTTATATACAGTTCAAAAAGCATGAAAAGTTTTAACTCAAGAATTGGGGCAGGAAATTTCACTATGACACAGTTCATTGCATTGTCACATGTATCACTATTACTGAACACCAGTTCATTCTGTTCAAATGTTATTGCATCGTTCATATATATTATATTGTCTGCAAGTGGTGCATAAATAGGAACTACTGCAAGAATAATTCTCTTTTAGAACTAGAGCTAATCTCCAAACATGGGTGAACGTATTCTATATTTTATAAGTTTACAAGACATTGTCTTTTCAATCAAAATTATAAGATAAGTTATTAATTTTATAACTTTCACCCATGTTAACTTATTAACTAAAATCTTAACTTAAAAACATTTCAAATTTTTAACTTTCAAGATCTAAAATGTTTCATTTTTTTCATTTTTTAGATTGATTGATTTAACGACACGTCACCGAGCCGAGACTGAAATGGAAACCGACAGACTTCGTCAATCTCAGACTCAAGCTGAACGTTTATTAGACGCCAGAGAACGATCCAACAGACAGAGAATCAAGGGTTTAGAGGAACAGGTAAGCCTTTGAAACATCTCAGCATTTTGAAATTATTATTTTTTTTTGAAAAGCCACATCTTGGCATCTCAGCCGATGCCTTCAGTTTCAGTCCAACCATCCTGTAAAATTATTATCATCAAACAACAAGATTTATAGTGAGTTATCTTTCCCTTTCAGTGTTCTACCTACCGAGACCAACTAAGTCACGAACTCCGAAAACGTCAACAATTTTTAACCAAGAGTACACGAAAGAGCGAGGAAATCAGAGATATACGCCACATTTTGGACACATCCTTGACCACTGTCCGAGATTCCTCCATCGATCCCATCATCTTGGAGCACGAATCCCGAAAATTAGACGAATCTTTAGAAATTCATTCCAGTCCACCTGTCCGATTATCTCGTCATAGTCGATCACCTGTACGAAGCACCTCACCAGTCCGTTTCCCAGTCTCTAGTTTCAGACGAAGTGGTCGTAGTCCAATGTCTTATCGTAGGTCTGCTAAATCTTAAACCAATCATGATAGTAGTCTGTTCCCAGGGCCATTAAACATTTCTCATACTTAGTTTAGTTTTGAATCTAATTAGAGTAAAATCTCAGCTAAGTATGAAATAATGTTTGTGACCCCTGGTCTGTTCTGGGAGGTTAAAATCTTTTTAGACTGTCTCACCTTTCATATTTTTGTGAACTTTTTTTTTTTGAGAGAACTAGGCTTAGTGTCTTTAAATGCCTCTATTAATTTGTACTTTATTAAGGCATGAGTCTTGAAAATGCCTTTTTATTTACAATGTATGATCAAATTTGTACATCTTTTGTTATATTGAAGGTTTTGAATATTTAGTCACATAAAATGGTGGCATCGTACCATTGTGGTACCTAGGTACAGAATAATAGAGGCATTTATGATAATGCCTAAACTTGAATTAAAGGCAGAATATAATTTGTTATGTATTTTTGGCTGTGATATTTATTTCTTTGTACCAACAGGGTCATTGATTCAGTTATATTTGCCAGTCATGTATGGCTGAAGCTTCCACTGAGCATATTTGGAGGAACACTTTTATGTCTGGCAGAAATTTCTAATCAGCATCCTGCATGGTATATGATTATTATTATTAGTATTATACTGTTTGGATTGACCATATTTAGCGCATATTTTTTGACTTTAGGATAGATTATGTAAAGATTTTTTGAGCCGTCTCAAAACATAAATTTGTCGACCAAGCAAAAATGAATTCCGTCCACTAAAGTTATATTTTTCTTATATTTTTGTATTTTTTTGTTTGTATTTTGAGTTTTGAGTGACCTAATTTATTGTTTCTTTTCATTTTTTTTCTTGGTGCATTTATCTAATAATTTTGAAAAAATTTGTTGAATTTTGGAAATAAAACTAAATTAGAATAATGAAATTCAATTTGAACAAAATTTGAAACATTTAAATCTATCAATAGTTAAGTTTAGTTTTTAAGTAAATTAGAATTAGAAAAATGAAAAAAGTTATTTAAATTATTTTTAAAGTTATTAAGATTGTTGTTGGAAGGATTATCTGTGATGGTATATAATAATTATTAATTAGTTTAGTGATTAATTACATAATAATTTAGTAATATTTAGTTATTAATTTAGTAATATTAATTAATTAATGAAGTGTATTATTATTTGTTGTATGTTAAATGTATTGTATTAAATTATTAAAATATATCTAGTGACAAAAGATTCTTGGTTTTCTTTTTTCCTGAGTTGTGAGACGGCTTTCTTTCTCTGAGCTTTCTTTCCCTAAAAGTTCAAAAAATTATGGATGTCCAAAACAAAAATTTGGATGCCTGATATCTGACTCCTGTCCAAAACGGTCAAATAATACAAGCTGGATTTATCGATTACAGCTGCATTGAGATGAAAATTTCTTCGATATCATCACTTTCCTACTGAGCAACTCTTAGTTCATCTTGCACATTCCACATTCTTTCAGTAGCAACTTTTTCTACCTGCCAAAAACCAGTCTTCAAATCGTGTATCGTAAAAACATTTTATTGGCATCTTACATACATGTGAGATTTTTCTTTTACAAAAATAATTTTTCAGAGAGTTGAATTTGTCCAGCATTAGAGTAATCAATATAAAATCTAACTTGGAAATTTTTCCTTTTTTAATGCAAATACAATAGGTTGTTTCCACGAACATGTAAATTTAATAAAAGTTTATGACTGTGTTTAATTTTAAGTCTTCATTACATGATTGCTCTATCCAATTCCCAAGTAAATAATTATGCTCTTTTTCACTTAACTATTTTGAATTCAGAAAATATAAACCCTTAAACAGGCCAATTTTACAAATTATGGCTACATGGTACAATATATTTTGTTGAAAATGAATTCTACAAATGACAATAATAAACATGTACATGATTTCTATTCAGCAATATCAGAGAACACATCTTTCAGTTTTAAAACATCTTCACTCCAAGGGCCATTGTCACATAGTACTAACACATGATAATTCAAAGTGATTGTTAAGAGGTTTATTTAATGTATAGAGAACACTGATCTCATCATTTTAATTTTGAATAAGATGGTTGGGGGTTTTGTAATTCCACTTGACCTAAATGTTTAATGATGTAGCTATCCCAAAGGCTCTTAGATATTATTACAAGCTTTTGTCATAGTGATGTCATACAGAGTTGTGGAATTTAATAATATCAAGAACAATAGACATCTGATAGAATAATACAAATACAAACCATAGATTTGGTCCAGTCGTATTATTGGTTAATTAAAGTATGTTATTAACAATTCTGTGAATATGGCCCTATACCAAAAATAATCTGATTACTTCTTTAAATATTAATTTACATATTTACATAATAAATTGACTAAAATATGAATATTCATCAACTCTTGACGACCAATTCTGCCTCCACAATTTTCTTGTATTCGTCGATTCCACCTTCTAATGATTTAACAGTTCCACCACTCACTACCCACAATTCCTTGCAGACTTTGCGTATTAATCTTTCGTCGTGAGATACTAACACTACACCTCCCTGAAACATAAATCAAAATGCAATACAGACTCTTTTGTTATAAAATTGTGAAGCCCAAAATTTTGAAATGTGTAAAATTGCCAGCACTTCATCAATGAGCCAATGATTGGTTTCGGGATTGAGACTCCAAATGCCGAAGCACATAGGCGGAAGCTGAGGAAGGATCTGAGCAAAACAAAGTAGACTTACCTTAAATTTCTGTAAAGCGTTACCCAGAGCTTCGATTGTCTCCATATCTAAATGATTGGTAGGTTCATCAAGAATAAAGAAATTTGGACTGAAAAGAGAATGACATAGATCTTGTTTTTAATATGAAATCCACATTTACAATAATCAACAGAGAAGGAAATATTCAGTTCCAAATGTGCATTTTTTTTTCAGGTGCCATCAAAGACATTAGTGAAATTCCTTTTAATATTTTTGAAATGGGAACAATTCATTGTTAAGCTTACTAAGGTTGGATACTGATAAAAATACTTACTTGGCTAAACTCATCACAGCGAACGCTACTCGACTTTTCTGTCCTCCAGAAAGACTAGCAACTGATCTCATGGCTAATTCACCACTCACACCAAATGATCCTAACATAGTACGATATTGTTCTACTGGTTTCCCTAAAATTAACAAACATTGAAAAATGTAAATATAAGTCTTGTCAACTTACAGAGACATTGACCCTTTGGTGTATCAAAAAAATCTTTGGGTATGAAACATTATTCACTCCTCACCTGGGAATCTAGCAGCCAGGACTTCAACAGACGTCATATTCATCTCTAGCTGATCAATGTGATGTTGACTAAAATAACCGATACGTAAACTACGATGTACATGTCGTAAACCACTGACGGGAGATAACTCTCCTAGTAATATCTTTAATAGCGTTGTTTTACCAGCACCATTCTCACCAACCTAAATATAAAACCCAAGTATTAACGATCTGAACCACAAATCAATCATCAACTTAGCATGCCTTAAGAGTTCACATAGCTAATAATGTTTATTCGGGTTTGTCATCTAAGCAATCCTTTCAGAGAGTCCACATAGCTAATAATGTTTATTCGGGTTTTTCATCTTAGCATTCCTTTCAGAGAGTCCACATAGCTAATAATGTTTATTCAGGTTTGTCATCTTAGCATTCCTTTCAGAGAGTCCACATAGCTAATGATGTTTATTCGGGTTTGTCATCTAAGCAATCCTTTCAGAGAGTCCACATAGCTAATGATGTTTATTCGGGTTTGTCATCTAAGCATTCCTTTCAGGGAGTCCACATAGCTAAAATGTTTTTTTGATTGTCAACTCAACATCTCTTTAAGAGAGTCCACATAGCTTTCCTTTTACAGATTTCACATGCCTAATAGACTAATGTTTACATGGTATTTAGGTTTTTCAGAGAGTCCACATTGCTAATACTGATTGTTTGGTATATTTAGAGGGGAATGAAAGTAAAGAAGTGGGAAGGATACTAAAACAATGACTTACAATACAGATTCTAGAGGTCATAGTAGAATTAACACAGATATTCTGAAAGATAGGTTGAGTTTGACTGTAATAAAACTCCACCTCGTCTAGTTGTAATATAGGTGGTGATAGAGACTCACATTCTGGGAATCTACAAATGGAATAGTTTTTGGCATATGAAATGGAATTTCTGAGCTAATGGAGATGTCATGCAATTATGGAATTTTCTTATGTCCAAAGATCTGTAACAGAATCTGGTTGAAAGATTCCAAGAAATATAATCAATATAATTAACAAGAGCTCATCCTTTACCATTTTTACAATATGGATGTCAATTCATCAGCATCATTTTTTTGCAAATTAGGAGATAGAAATTTGGAACTAGTGAGCAAGAATAAGCGAGCACCCACCTTAAAATAACTTCTGGTTCTTTTTCTATTGGCACTAGTGGAGGTCTGAAATACAATGAAATAGTTCCAAGGTCTAACAATATTTAACATTCAACTTAGACAATCATATAGAATATAGTTGAAATGGAGTTGCTGCATCTGTAAGGCGTATCTCACCATTCCTTTAATGTTGAAATTCATTTTTGATAACAAAGTATGTATTTAGACAATTCCATTGGTGATTTACTTACAGTTTTTCTAAGATCTTGAGTTTACTTTGAACTTGTGCTGCTCTGTTAGCATTATATCTAAATCTATCTATAAATATCTGAAAAAAAAAAAAATGTAATTCTAGACTGAGTGAGGTTACCCATAGAAAATAAATGAAACAAAACATTGAAAGTAAAATATTAATCAAGCTGTTTAAGGATAACCTTGAGTGAACTATCCCGTAGAATATATATGAAACAAAATAACACAGAATTGTTTTAAGTCCCTAAATTTGTTCTTCCTAATGAGTGAAATGACCCATAGAAAATAAATGAAACAAAATATACACGATTATTTTAAGTACCTGAATATGTTCTCTGTAATCTTTCTGGGCTTCGTATTCTCGCATCTGATTTTTTAACCGTTCTTCCCTCGTCTTTTTAAACACCTCGTAATCTCCCCGATATGTATCGAGTTTTCTAGAATGGAGGTGAATAATGTCCGTGGAGACAGAGTTTAAAAATAATCGGTCGTGAGAGACTACTAATATCGTTGATTCCCACGTCTGAAATTAAAAAATTCATAAAATTAGTCATAAAATACTTACTCACTTATGATCTGATATACTTCCTCATATGAAAAGTTCATTAGCTACTACTAATGTTTCACCAATATGTTGTTTTGGATTTCGGGTTTCGTTTTGCTCTTCAAGCCAATGTTCTGTAGCAATACTGTTACCATAATACAATAGAAATTGACCTGTACCCACCTGTAAGTAATTTTCTAACCATATAATGGCCTTCATATCCAACATGTTAGTAGGTTCTGAAATAGACGAATATAGAATCAACGACACATGAAGTAAGACACCATAAATTAAGGCTTGTGGCAAGGTGGACAAATAGATGAAAAAAAAACACAGCATTGGGTGCCTTGCTTATATTTGAATCATTCCTCAAAGATTTTTATACCTTGTTTCAAAAAAGATCGATTTTTTTAAAAATATTTAAAGTAAACTTACCATCAAGTAAAAGTAAATCTGGTCTGAAAAGCAAATATAAATTTCATTATTCATTTAACTATGCATGCTGACCAAGATTAAGACCCACAACCACTATTGTTTGAGCTAATTAACCAAACAAATGACATCAACATTACAACACTATAACCAATTGAGCTACAGTCTGCCCTATTAAATTATAATGAAGCTTTAAAAAATGTCAACTACTTACTTTGTAAATAAAGCACGTGCTAATGCCAACCTCATTCTCCAGCCTCCAGAAAATTCTCTGGAAAAAAAAAATATTTATGTAAGGTAGCTATTAGGATTGCCTCAAAAGGTTTTTTATGTCCATAAAAAGACATAAAACTAAAAGTATTCAGCTCTCATTTGTCTACCAACCAACCATTTTTCAGTTTCTATCAAGTGTCCGCAGCACTACAGCAATAAAATATCTTACTTGGTAGGTCGATCTTGAGAGGAAGAGTGGAAACCTAGACCAGCCATGATAACAGCTGCTTTAGCTGGTGCTCGGTCAGCTTCTATAGCTGATAGTTCTTGATAAACTTCAGATAACTTAGTACTTAAAACACTTTCATTTTCACACCTACAAAATACAAAATGGAATTTTTTAAATAACTCTGGTATTAAAGCATTTAAATTGATGCATTTTCTCTTTACAAGCTGAATGTCAGATAGGCATGCTTGCGCTTTTCAACCACGTCTTAAAGTACTTCCAATTCGGCCATAGTTTTAATACCATGTAGAATACAAGGTGCGAAATTTTGCCAGGACATCAATACCAATTCATCATGTTTTTGATTTCTAGCATTTACTAATTAAAGTTAAAAGATAAAATTCGGAAGTCATTCAGAGAAATTTCACTTCCTGTACTCTTTTTCCGCAATGGCACTTGTTAATATAAAGAGAGTGAAAGGGAATAATTACCCGGGTGTGTTTAATTTAACGTTTAATTCGCGTTCTTGTCTCAGCAGATTTTCCCGTTTGGTGTCACACTGTAAAACACTCTGAATGGCGGGCGTGTTATCTCCCACCACTTCCTGTTCAACGTGTAATATTGATATATGGGAGGGTATCTTTAATTGTGCACTGAAAAAAAATGGTACAGATAAGTGGGACATTATCTTTAAAGGGTGTGAAAAAGAAATCTTGCAATTCCACTGAAACTAAAAGCTTTATGTTACTAGCACAAGGCTCTTAGATATTATTAGCAGCTTTTCTGATAGTTACATGTATAGTTACAGCATTTCTATAATAACAGGAACCACAGACAGCTAATGGAAAATTGGAATGATGCAAATAGAATCCTTCAATTGACAAACTTCTTTACAATTCCTCCAAAACATGAAGAAATTCAGCCAACAATATATTTCAATAGCTTGCTTCAAAAATATTTTCAAATCTTTCAGCTCACCTTGAGATCATTTTAAGTAGTGTTGTTTTACCGAGACCGTTTCTACCAATAAAACCATAACGTCTACCGTAGACTAGATGTAATTCAGCATTAGATAACAATACTCTGAAAAAAATTGAATTCAAAATTATATCATATTAACGACAACCACTCTAAAATGAATATATTTTTAATCAAAATATGCTTGAAATTATTGAAAATTTTACCCAGAAAATTTAATTGGACAAAACATTCTCAAATTAAGTAATGTCATACCTTTCACCAAAAGCCACATCAAAATTTTCAATTTTAATATCTAAACTCTTATTGGTACCGGAGGCGTCCATCTTGGCATCTCTTCTGTTAATCTGTTGAGAAGCAGACGCCAATTCAATCCTGGAAAAAAATTTAATTCTGCATCTGATAATCCATTTTGTAAAATATAAGGGGAGTAACTCAGCAATCTGTTGACAAAATGAAAGTCAAAATCATTTTAGCTATTATCGTAATTATGCCACTGTCTTAAAAAAAATCCCTTCATTGCTCACTGTGTCTCTAAAAAATTGGGACATACAAGGGGAGTAACTTAGCAACCTGTTGACAAGGATGTCATCTAAGGGTCAAATTTCCCTCATTGCACACTGCAAGGATAAGGCTATTTTATATTTATCAAGTTAGTACTGACCCTGAATCGACTTTCTTGATAGTAACAGGGGCTTGGTCCCTTCTGTCTTTTTTCATCTGTAGTTTGGCTTCAGCTTTTTCTAACTTCTTCTTATCAACTGTCTGTAAATATAAACATAAAATAATATGTATGTCTTGGTAATGTTTTTTCTATTAAAGGTTGTGTTGACACCCCTCATTTTTCTATTGAACTTTTCCACACATGCATACTTTCTATCAATGTGGAACTGTAGATGTAAAATTGGAAGAGCTCATTTGTAAGATAAGGGGTGTATTTGTTCTATCCAGCAATGAATCCCAAGAATTGGTAGTCTACTTACAGAAAGATTGCCATCTCGTTTGCTCAACCAAATACTACCAGCTTCCTCTTCTATTTCATCAATCTTAACATCTTTAATAACTACTGGAGCTCCTAATATTTTATGTTGTCCATTGACTTTACCATTACTTTTATCACTGATAAAAAAAATACAAACACATGAACACTTATTAGCTTCTAGATCTTGAAAAAATGAAAAGTTTAAAGTCTACTATTTTTTCAGAGAGTCCACAATGATAATAATGGTTTATTTGGTATTTAGATTTGTCAACTCAGCATCCCTTTTAGAGAGTCCACATAAGACTTATAATGTTGATTTGATAATAGACACCTACCCTCCGCCATCAGGCACTATAATTTTATAAAGTCGAGTACATATATCTCGAATATCATCTTCTGTTTTAGAGTCGTCAACTTGGTGTAACATCTCACCGAACGCCTCATAGACATCATCTGATTCATCAAAGTCTCCCCCATCTTCTAATACACCTGGAGTAGTAACAGAGGAATGCACAATGGAGTAACTTTGTTAGAATCTTTTAAATTATATTCATGTATCGAACACTGCAATGAGCAATGATGTAAATTTTTATGAAAGACATGGTCATGTGTCAAAAAAAATATCTTATCTCTAGAACTTCTCCATTCTGAATATTTTTCAGGTACATTAACTCTCAAACATGCATATAAAATTTAAGATACAATCTATAAGGCAGAATCCCTTTAAATCTACCTCAACGTGTTGTGCAATAGTCGATCAGCCGGTACTGAATGACTTGAAGTTGAACTGACACAAGCGTTGATCTTTGTCGACACGTGGGTCAAATTTAGCCGCAGATTACACTTTAGGGTCGTCTTAAGGGGTTTGTCACAAAGTCAAGTAGTTTGAAAGGTTTCAGGGCAAAATATACGCACCATGTAAGTAATCGGCGATGGTGTTATCAATTTCTGGCAAGGACTGGCGTAAAACTTGTCCAACGTCAGCCATGATGCCTATCTGTAATCCTTAACCCGAATTGACTTTTGGTATTTCTTTTATTTGACTAATTTTTTGACGATTCAGTATCACAAAATGACAAATATTGAATTCACATTTAATTGAGTTTTGAAATTTTGAAATAATTTATTTGTATTTGTATTCATTAGTCAATTCGAAAATGAATAAACTTTGGCTTTTGAGACTAGGCCTAGTGTCAGTGCCATACAAAATGAAATTTGGAATTTCATTTCTAAAATAAAACTTAAACATGTAAATGTCACTGAAGCTCTTTAAAATCAAATTCATATGAAATATCAAAGTAATTTCTAGATAGTTTCTCTGGAAAATATAAGCAAAGCAGGCAAAATAAAATGTCTGTCAGTTTTCATCGATCCATTACTGATTTTACGCGCATTAAGCTATACCGGAAGTATCTCTTCTTTCACTTTCACCAAGAACTCCCCTTCACAAAAATATTTTTATTGTTTGACCAGAGACATTATTCACGAGTTGAGGTAAAATTCTGGTCGACTATTTATCAATTTAGAAATTTCTGCCAGCGAGCAACCGATAAATGCTTTGAGTTCTATCGCCGTATTGATTGAAAATTAGTGCAAATTTGAACGCCAGGCCAGGACTGACAAATTTAACTTTAATTTGAGTCATTGTCACGCAGTCAATGATAATAGTAACAGATTTTGCATATTTATCAATGATAGCCCATTAACCCAAATCAAGTTAAGTCTTGGTTATTGAATTGATTCAGTTCTTAATAAAGGGACAAATGGGTTTGTTGCAATCAATCAACAAAGTTTGAGGACAAAATGTATGCTTTGGAAACCATTTTGACATCATTCGTTACTTTGCTGGGTAGGCTATAGAAGCATGCAGTGATTTTCCCCCTTTTCAATTTCCTCTCCTAGAGGAATACCAGTGCGGGGTATCTAATGTTGAAATCAGCCCTAAAATTTAACATCAAACCTTTTCTTTTAGTTATTGGTGGTATACAGACTACTGTAGAGTGATGTGAAATGGGGAACCAACTGACTGGTATTGCCCCCTCTCAGATTTTACCAGTAGAACTATATATAGCGGATATTGGTGATTATGAACATCAAACAAGGTAAATAATTGGTTTAAAGAGATTGTAAAGAGGTTTTCTGAAAACTTTATTATGTATAGGAGATACTGATAGCATCAATTTACTTAATTCCAATTTTTAATCAGACGTCTGTGGTTCTTACAATGCGACTTACACTATGTGTTTCTTGAGGCCACTATGGCAAAGATCTTTATATATCAATAGCAGCTTTTTTCAACTTAAAGAGCCACATATGGAAATCAGTAACTGGTTAAGAAATGCAATTTTGATATTGAATTTCAATGATAGAGGCAATATTCTATCTTTATGAGTTTACAGCTATAAATGGATTAATTTTTGAGAAATTTCAGTATTTTATTGACTATTTTCATCAAAAAATTTATTTTTCTTGTAGTCTTGGAAGCACCAGATTTTTTAAAGTGGCCAGAGCCAAGTATAAAGAAGGACAACTAGTTGTTAAAGTTTTTGTTATTCATGATCCTTCCTTACCTTTACAAACTCACAAACTCAGATTGGAAGGTAGGTTGAATTACAAACCCACAACCTGTAAATTATTTGAGGAATATATTTTCAGAATTATTTGTAAATACTTTCAAATCTGAATCAGAAATATTGCAATCTTACAAGTTTTGGTTCCACTTTTTTGGCACTCATATTCTCTGCCTGATAAATATTTTTAATGTATTTTGTTTATTCCAGAAATTGGCACCAGGTTAAAGACCACTTCTAATTGTTTACCATTCCAAAGAGCTCTAGTAAGAGACCTTTTTTGTTTTTTAACTCAAAATGGTATTTCCTTTTCATATTTATTAATCTTAGATGACAATAGCATACTGTCACGACTTGATGGATTATGGTAATTTTTCACTCACTAAGATAAAAATTAAAATCCATTTTAGCATGTTTAATTTCAACGTATTATATTGGTAGTATTGAAGTCATGAATATTTATTCCAGCAATCTGATAAAGCAGGGTTGATATTCAGACAGTATGTAAAGGACAGCCTGTATGATAGAATCAGTACCAGACCATTCCTGAATCTGATAGAGAAAAAATGGATTGCGTTTCAACTGCTCTGTGCTTTGAACCAATGCCATAGAGTCAAGGTGAGTCATGATTTTGAATGATGATTTCGCTCTAAAATACCTTTCCATGTTATTCAAGTCTACCCAGCTGTTAGTGGGTATAGACAATTAAGGCAGGATCAAGAATGATTGACCAAAAAGGAGCAATGACCAGCTGGTAGACAGGATCATCGAGAACCTTAATAGTCATCTCTCTAAAATCAATCATGAGGTTAAGCAAATGAGCAGGAACTTGAAGTGTAGTCCTGGAAAAATCAATGCCAAGAAGTTTGATCAAGTACCAGTGGAGGACTGGTTTCTTGATTGTTTCCGCCTTTTTTTTGTCTGAATCTTTACGATAATTATCTGTTATCCAGGTATGTCATGGTGATATAAAATCAGAGAATGTCATGATAACAGGATGGACGTGGTTGTTATTAACAGACTTCGCCAGTTTTAAACCTACATATCTTCCAGAGGTAGGCTATAGTCGACCAAAGATATTTCTTTACATACATCTGACTGTCCAGTTTATTTTGAGGTAGTATAAGTGGTAATGAACAGAATATAACTTAATTTATAGAGGTTGGCTATACTGTCTTTAACAAATTTCCCTCATTGGACACTGCAAGGCATTTCTTGTCTTTCTATATCCTTTTATTGAAAATTTTTCTTTTCTGTTTATCTTTATTTGCAGGATAATCCCTCAGATTTTTCATACTTCTTCGATACATCGCGACGACGTACATGTTACATAGCTCCTGAAAGATTTATCGAGGGCGGCTGGCGTATTCAGGAACAACAGGGTAACCAAGGTAACATAGACTTGACGTCCAGTGAGATCAAGATAGGGGACTTAACTCCCGCTATGGATATATTTTCAGCAGGGTAAGTTATATTATTATTATTTTTATGAAGAGCTCTAGTTCTCTTGTAATACTTAACTGGCAAATACAGCCAAATCAACATCCCTGATATTTCATAAACAAAATTTTGGTAGTTGAGAAGTGGGCGGAGGATGAAGCATAGAATTATCATGAAAATTTTACTTACTTCAGCTAGCTGTCAGTCAAAATGTCACATGATTATGAAATTCTTAACCATTAGGCAAAGCATTTAAAAGAAAATTTATCCAATGCTGATTGGATGATAAAGTAGGTTAGTTTCTATTGTTGTATCTATTGTGTATATTCTAGTTGTGTTATAACAGAGTTGTTTACTGAAGGAACCATACCCTTTGATCTGTCTCAGTTATTAACCTATCGTAGTGGTGAATACAGCCCTTGGAAAATATTAGAAAAAATACCAGATCCCCATATTAAGGTTTGTTGTTATGTTATTTTCTCAGTTAGTTAGTGACTTTTGAGCTCATGTCCTGACGAAATTTCCCTCATTGCACACTGCATCAGCTAAAACAGTACGACTTAAAATTCCATTTTTGATAGCATGATCTCTTTACTAGTTTTTTCTCTCATTTTGCAAGTGCTCATACAAAAAGAAAAATGTCCGCCATTGATTTCTTTAAACAGGAATTGGTGCGTCACATGTTACAGAAAGATCCCAAACACAGATTGTCTGCAGAGGAATATCTTGTAAAACAACGTGGCAAGGCATTCCCCGAGAATTTTTATACATTCTTAAAGATTTATCTTCAACAGTTCGCTACCTCTCCTATTATACCAGCAGACGACAGAATTACCATGTAAGTCTCTTTTCATTTCCCTCATTGCACACTGCAATTATTGTTTATTCTAAAATATTTGAGGAAGTAAGTTGTAATTTGCAGTTTCAAATTTTACTTGTATTGGAATTGTTGATTGAAGCATTAAATTTTTTGTATAAATCATCATTTGAATGTTTTATTTTCAGTATTAAAAGAGACCTGCCGTCGTTGTTAAAGAATTTAAAAATAGATGAAAATAAACTAGAAAATAATGTCAGTCTGGTTCTAATTATCTCCCTTGTTGGATCGTCTTGTCGTAATTTACATGTAAGCACTTTGATTTTCTTTTCCAACTGTCCTTGGATGTCCATTGCATGAGGAATATTGGCATATGTCATTGAATTTGCAAAATTTGGTTCAAACAGCGGGCTATATTTTCCGTGCCCACCTCACAAATCTATATCGCTGATTATCTGGTTGCAAAATCTGAAGAATTTATTTGATATTTAGGTTTATCAACTAGATATCTCTTTTGGAGAGTCCACATAGCTAATAATATTTTTTTGGGTATTTCAGTTTTGTCAAGCACGTGTTTTAGCTCTAGAGTTATTATTAGAATTATCTAAATACGTAACCTCTGATATTATACTAGATAGAATCATTCCTTATATGGTAAGACAACTTTTGATTTATTTTGAATCTTTGATAGCTTTTGTATTCTACTTCTGAGTATCAGCTACACATAGGCTTGTTCATATTGTTCAACTCAAATCAGTTTCTTATTCAGAGAGTTCACAAAGTGGTTTATCGGCTACACATAGGCTTGTTCATATTGTTCAACTCAAATCAGTTTCTTATTCAGAGAGTTCACAGAGTGGTTTATCGGCTACACATAGGCTTGATCAAATTAGTTCAACTCAAATCAGTTTCTTATTCAGAGAGTTCACAGAGCGGTTTATCAGCTACACATATTGGCTAGATAAATTAGTTCGACTTCAAATCTGTATTTTTTTTTCAGAGAGTTCACATAGTTGTATTTCTTATTAATAAAAAAGGCTAGAAAATAAAAATATCGGTTATAAATGGTGCGGACTATGTTCACAATTATACTGTATTTGATTTGTAATATTTCAGTTATATTTTGTTAATGACGTGTTTCCGAGAGTTCGTGCTGAAACTATAAATACTGTAACACAATGTTTATCAAATATTAAATCAGTCCCTCGAAGGTAAGTAAAATCTGTCACCATTTTGGGATACATTCACTAATTTTAAAGAGATAATAAATTTTGTGTGTGTGTATCAGAGACCATTTATATCTTATATTTGCATCATTCTAATTTCTGTCAGATACCAGATACCTTTGGTTTTTGTGATTATGAAATAAGCTTGATTAATTGTATATGATTGCAAAAGCTGTGAATAATATCAATTAATTTAAATGTTCTTTCAGTGATGGTAATGTGTTTCCAGAATATATATTTCCTAGCTTGGTGAGTAAATATTTACATTTCCTGGTCCTACTTAAATTTTCAAACATAGGTTTTGTTCTATACACTTTGAATATGTTTTTTTTTTAGCCATTAATGTGTGTCTTGTGGACACTTTTAGCTGGTATTTGCTATTTCACTGTTTCTAGCCTATCATTGTTCCAATATGATGTTTTTTTTTGTTGATAATTTTCAGTCGAGCCTAGTTCATGATGATGTAGTAATGGTTCGTGAATCTTACGCTGCTAATATAGCTCAGTTGTCTGAGACAGCTTTACGGTAAGGCTTTACACCCTCTATGTTGGCTATCTGCTTTATGGTAGGACCTTTACACCATCTACTTTGGCTGCCACTCCCTATACTCTATGTTGGTCACCTGCTTTACAGTAAACCTTTACACCCTCTAGGTTGGCTATCTGCTTTACGGTAAAGCTTTACACCCTCTAGGTTAGCTATCTGCTTTACCGTAAAGCTTTACACCCTCTAGGTTGGCTATCTGCTTTACGGTAAGGTATGTGTGTACATTATTCAAATTCAAAGTGAGTTCCTGTTGGTTATGGCTAAGGATAAGGTCCAACTATTATTTTCTCAAAAAAGATTTCAAGTTCATATTAATTATATTTTTCAGTATTCTGGAGATGACTCAACTAAGTAAATTTACGGAGGTTCAGTTGACAGATGAAAGTTCTGACAGTACACCTTACGAGGTTTGTTATCTCTTATAATTATAACAAAGATAAATGTATGCATCCATATTGGTTTTGGATGAAGGAGGAGAATGCGCAATCTGTCAGGCAACAAAAATCATCCCTAATTTTACAAATGAGCTCGTCCAGTCATGTATATTCAGTTATATATTGATAGAAAGTATGCATGTGTGGAAAAGTTCAATAGAAATTTGAGGGGTGTCAAATAGATAACTAAATAGCCTTTCTTTTTATGAGTGATGCCAACCAAAGTTATAACTGTACCGGATCTCATACTAATGAACTTATTTCCAAAATCAGTTCTGTTGTGTCTCTGAAGCATCTTAGAAACTGAATTTCCTGGTTTTTATTTTCAGATGGAGGCTAGTTATGATATGGAACTTCAGACATTACAGGAAACGATTCAACAGAAAGTTGTCACATTACTCAGTGATCCTGATAACGCTGTCAAACAAATGTTATTAGAGAGTGGCATCACACGACTCTGTGTTTTCTTCGGTAGACAGAAAGGTAGGGGAGCTTATTGCTGTTTTGAATTGATCAGTTTTGATTCTTAGTTTCATCTCTTTTGATGTAAGAATATTAAAATAGAAACTGAAACATGTTACTCAAAGTTTCATGCTATATGAGTAGATCAATGCTGCTGTCATGGCAAAATTTACCTTATTGCTCACTGCATTGCTTTTCCAGTCTTTATTAGCTCAATCAGCAGTAGGAAAATAAGACAAAGTTCTTTTCATTTAATTTATTTTTCTGTGGCCCTGTGAACGTTAAAGATCCCTTGACAGTTGGAAATTGGAAAAAGAGTAGGCTAGTGCTGCTGTCCTAGTAAAATTTCCCTCATCGCTCACTGCATGGCATTGCAAGATGTAAAACTCCATTCATTTCATTTATTTTGCGATATAAATCATTAATTCGGAATGTTAATAGATTGTTGTTTTGTTCTGGTACAATTTCCCTGATCGCTCACTGCACAGTGTTGGCCATTTACAAAGTAAGACTCCATTCATTTCATTTATTTTGCGGTGTAAATCATTCTTTCGGAATATTGATATATGAATTTTATATTTTCAGCAAGTGATGTGTTGCTATCTCATATGATTACATTTCTTAATGACAAGGTACTGTCAATATATACTGATTAATAGTATTAATTTAATTACCCATTGGATAACTAATATAAGCAAAATTTCCCTCATTGCACACTGCATGGCATTGTCCACCTTCAGTAGTGGAAGGAGGTAGATTGAACTTGACCATGACTGAATAAATCATATTTAAGAAATCTTTTTACAAAAAATTTATGACATTTTTGATGATAAAATTTTGCATACTGCAGAAGTCAGATGTAATGGCTACAGCTGGATGACATCTGTCCTCTGTTTTTCAGTATGACTGGTTGTTACGAGGTTCATTCTTTGACAACATTGTGGGGGTAGCAGCCTATATAGGGTGGCAGAGTTCCAGTTTGTTAAAACCCTTGCTACAACAGGTAGGTCTGAATAAAACAACAATTTACACTTATTCTAAGGGTGTCCATTTTCTTTTAGCCATTCTCAAAAATTTGGTTTACAAAGAAAGAAAGAGACAACAGTATTTTCCTCAAATAGTTAATCTGAGCTAGAAACTGAAAGCAAACATGTTCAATGTATCCAGACAAATGATGTTAAAATTCCATCACTCTATATCATCATGTCCATCCTCAACATGTAGTTTTTGATTTCGAAACAGGAAATGACAAAACTTTTTTTGTTGTTGAAATTTTCAGGGCTTGTCAGACCCTGAAGAGTTTGTTCTACATAAAGCATTAGGGGCACTGAAAGCACTGGCCGAGTTGGGTTTACTACATAAATCTATGTTACTAGAGTTCACCAAGGAAATTGTACCATTTTTATCACATCCGGTAAGCGCCTATTGCAAAATCATCTCATTTTTGATATCTCTAGTGAAAACTGCTACATGCTTGTTGACCTAAAGGTCACAAGGTTTGATCACAACCCAGTATCGCCCTGTCAATGATGTATATCAGAGGGGCTGACATGAATAAAGGGCCCAGTAATGCAGATGGGAAAGTTAACTGTCGATCCTGTGTGCTACAGTCTGTGCACTTAAAGACCCCTTGGCAGTTGGAAATTGAAAATGAGTAGGCTAATAATAATGCTGCTGTCCTGGTAAAATTTCCCTCATTGCAAACTGCATTGCATTGCCTGTTGTGATTAACTCACAGTAAGACGTAAAACTCCATTTCCAATCTTATCTAGGGATTATGGGTACGACACGGAGCAGTAGGATTTATAACTGCCCTCGCTACCATCATGAATATAGCTGATATCCATTGTTACCTGTTACCTCAAGTTCTACCGTTTTTAAAACATAAAGTTCTACAGATTAACAAAGAGGTAAGAATTCATTCATCTGGATTTATTGAAGGTGTTTGTGTCGGTCCACCACGAACCCTTGATCCTGAAGATCAAATTTGCTTACCAGTGTTTTGGATACAAAAAACTAATCAGGAAAGTTTTTTATCTCTATAACTTATTAGTTGTTCAATATGTTTTGGATATGAACCCCTCATCAGGGCAGTTATATTATCTATCTACTTTAATATTCTTTAGGTTTTGTTATTGAATGCATTTTGGATATGAGCCCCTCATCAGGACAGTTAGTTTATCTATATAACTTTATTATTGTAGGTGGTGTTATTAAATGCTTTAGATGAGTATATACCAAGACCTGTATTCGACTATATTTTACGATCAGCCTCCATTGAAGGTCTGTTTGACGTACTCAATAACAGAAAACGGTTTAGAAGTATCGCCAGACAGCTTTCAGATCCAGGATTTGAAAATCTTGACAGTGGGATGACACAGGTTGGTGCATTTTCCATTTACAGAGATGGTAAAGAGGATTTCTAAATTTTTTATGTTTCAGGGACACTGATAGCATCAATGTACATCATTCCAATTTTCAATCCTCTAAAACATCACATTAGTGATGTCATCAAGCACTAAGTTTTAGTGGAATTTGCACTCTGTAGTTTTATTGCCATGGTGGGGAAGAAATCAAGGGGTATTTTTCATCCCTTACTTTGTATTTTTTAGGTTTTCAGAAAGTTAAGTTCTCTCGGAATGAACGAAAACCATGAAAATAAATTATTGGCAATGAAAGATTATATTTTGAAGTTGTACAGAACCAGGGCTAGGTAAGCTGGAAAATTTCCCACATTGCCCTAGAATTGGAAATTAGGGATAAGAACTAGCATTTGATTGGCTAAAATGGGAATTTTAAACCCAAATGTTTCTCTTTTTCATTTTTTCTCATAATGGGACATAACTCTTGTAATTATTACATAGTTTTCAGACCACAATAATTCTATTTCTCAACATGTAATACTAAATGTGATTTTCTTGCAGTTCCAATGACAGTACTGAAAGTGAAAGTAGAAGATTGGGGGCGTTGAGTTTATCATCCCTAGGGTCACGCCAGAGAAACATTACCAGACGTCACGCTGATTTACATAAACATGCCCCAGAGAAAACAGCAGAGACACATGCCTCACCCACAGGGTAAAATAATTTTGAAATTTTTCTTTTTGTGATTCTGAATTATTATCCCTAATATGATCTATAATCCATTTTTTGGGGACAGTTTTCATGAGAAATAGTTAAGGTTTTTCATAGATAAAATACTGATAATTTTCTGGTTTTTTTTTTTCAGTTCCAGAAGACGAAAGAAAGTTGCACAAACAGAACAGTCTTCAGCTGTCATGGTAAGAATCGGAACTTGACCTTGAATTTTACATGGTGGCTCAGTGAGTTAGACGTTTGCTCGCTAACCTGAAGGTCCAGGGTTTATTCTTGGCATAAGTTGAAATGACACCTTTAGATTTTTCAACCCGGTTTGATCAGCTGTTCAAGAAATATTTTTGCGTGGTATAAACTGTTTTTTTGTTTTTTTCCACAGAATGAAGATTGGAAAAAGATGTTTGGGTCTGGAGAATCTGAAAGATCAGAAACTTCACCCAAAGCCAAAACTTTAGAAAAACAAGAGAGCAATCCATTGGATAAGAAACCTCCCTTGAATATTTCTGTCCAATCATCTACAACCAGTCTCGTTAACATTAACCATTCAGTGACGAGTAGTGAAGTTTCTTCACAGATGGAAAAAGGAGGTAAAAATTTGTCGTGATTTTAGCTGATCCCAAAACCATAGGGGCAATGGTGTATGGTGTTTAGTTGCCCCCCTGTAGCTACTCACAGTTGGATACTTGGAACCAAAGTTGAACATGACTGGCAAATACAACCAAATTAACATCCCTATACCCTAGTTTAGCTTTCTGATCTAAAATCAAAATGAATTGGACAAAATCAAGATGTTGTATATGGATCTAATTGATATTTTTATGATTTCAGTGCGTTATGCTAACTGTAAATGGGAGTTACGGAACTTGGTTCATAAAAGGCGGGAACAATATGCAGCAGATGTCCAAACTAAAGATTTATTAGAAGGTATAGCGTGGGACAGTCGACCTCCACCAGACAACTGGAAACCAAAAGGTCAACTTGTGGCTCATTTACAGGAACACAGAGCTGCTGTTAATAGGTCAGTGTTTCCCTTCATTCATGAATCCACGAGAACAGCTTAGACTCCACACAAAACGACCTTCCTCAAATTTTTCTGGATATCTTTTATCTGCAGTTCAAGTACTCAATGCACACCTCAATACCAGTTTTTCAGATACACAAGTCATTAAAAATTATCTTTCATTTTGCTTTGTCACTTTGTAGTACGTTGGTAAAACATGGCTGATTTCTCACTTCAACAGACGTCAATTTGTGACTGGTTTTATACAGCTATGTAGAGTATAGGCTTTTAATGTCCTTGTATGATTTATATGGGACAGTTTGTCAAAAATGGGAATTATTTTATGTTATAGATTACAAGTATGTCCAGACCACAGTTATTTTGCTAGTTGTTCCAATGATGGTACAGTCAAGCTGTGGGAATGTAACCGACTTGAGGGAAAGAGTGTGTTAAACAGGTCTACACAGACCTTTAGTAAACAAGGTATTTATTGTTTTATGTTTGTTTAACATATCTACCGGCCACCCAAGCGGCAGGTGAAGTAGCTGTTTCCAAGTCACGACACATAACGTTATCATCGTACGCTTTTAAGTTATATTACTTAGAGTTCAGGGTATAGAACATTTATTTACATTTCTTTTCAGGCGGCCATATTAAATCTCTGACATTTTGTGAGAATTCTACTTCCTTAGCAACGGTATCAGATAATGGTTCTATATATGTCTATAGGTAGGTTGTTTTAATTCACAACTCATCTCATGCTGCCTACACTTATTTCAGATACACAACCCTCATCAGGACAGCTATAGTAGGCCTACTCAATGATGGCTAATTCACCAGAGCTCAACTCTTTCTGAAGGCACATGATTTTGGCGAAAACGTTGCTTAGGATCGTTTTGTTTATCCAAGTTGCCATCTCCATGGGAACGGGAATAATATCTGTTCACTCCAATAATTTTTGAAATTTGAAACTGTAGATTGGATGAAATGAGAAACAAGGCAGTAAAAGAGATAGATATTGAACAGTATGGTAATATCATGGACATCACCCATTTTGATACAGGCTCGCAGTCGATTCTAGCTTACGCTAGTGTTAACGGCTATCTTGTGGGGTTAGACTTACGCTCTCCAGAACCTGCTTGGTGTTTGAAGAACGAACCTCGCTCAGGTATTTTAAATTTTTTTCTGTTTTGGCAGTGGCAGCAGTTACTACAAAGTTCAATGTTTGCTCACTAAATTCAAGGGCTATATCCCCTATTCGATCTCTCTCTGTCTTAATCTGTAATTCTCTCATTGTACACTGCATGGCGTTGCCTGTCTTCATAAGTCCAATCAGAAAAGTAAAACGTAAAACTCCATTGATTTTCATTCCATTTCTGTCATGTTGCTTTGAACTTTGACCTTGATCCTGTAGAGTTCAAAAGTTCATTTATTTTCGTTTTATTTGCAGGTTTGATCACCAGTTTTGCTGTTCATCATACACAATGTTGGTTAGCTGTAGGAACCAGTAGTGGAGCTCATATCTGTTGGGACATGAGATTTCAGTTGCCTATTAATACAATACAACACCCTGCTAGTAAGTAACTGCCCTACCCCCTCGACTCCATAAAAAAATATTGGAGCTTGTCTACCTGAGCAACATTTATTTTACAAGGATTAGAACTTAAGTTCACAAGGATCCTTTTCTACAAGCTGGTCCTTGGCCAAATCTCTTGGCATTATTATCCAGTACTCATGTAAAACTGGATGAACTGGAATAGTGAGGAGAGATGGCTTATTCAAGGTCACCAGACTCTCACACAGCGACAGAGATTAGAACCCAGGACCACTGTTTTTTCATTACAAAACATAATGATTTTTTTATTCAGATGCTCGTGTAAGAAGATTGATCATGCACCCTCAGGAACAGTCGTGGATTATATCTGCTCCTCAGTGGAATAACGAGGTATCCATGTGGGACGTGGAGACTGGGGCCAGGCAAAAAGTATTGTGGGCAAGTCATGCCCCTCCATTATCAGTTTCACCCAATCAGGTTTGACTTTATCTTTAGTTTAGAAAATTTAAAAGAATTTAGAAGCTTTCAAACCAAATTTGTATATGGTTTGTCACCCCTAACATCCTTTCAAAGAGCCCACATAGATAATAATGTTTATTTAGTATTTGGGTTTAGTGACCCAACATCCCTTTCAGAGAGTCCACATATCTAATAATGTTTATTTAGTATGTAAGTTTGCCAACTCAACATTTCAAACATCCCTGGTAGAGAGTCCAAATTATTAGTATTTTAAAGAGTTCCCATAGCTCATGATTGTATTTTAATTGCAGACAAATAACCATGCAGTTCATGGTATGCATATAGCAGCCACTGATACCAAGGTATTTCTCTTGACTGGTGGAACTGATATGAGGATCCGTTACTGGGATCTCTCAACCCCGACCAACTCTTTTGTGATGAGTCATCAACCTACAGATCTAGCCAACACCATTGTCTCGTATAGGTAACTCTACTCCTTCTTTCCCTAATTGCTCACTCTTTTGCCATGCCAACACTGCTACCCACATGGTGCAGAAAAGTAGGATGTAAAACTCCATTCATTTCATTTCATTTTGCCAACACTGCTGTCACTATATATTGATTTAATTTCCCTTATTGCACACTGCATTGTCTTAAGTTTACAAGAGAGTTCGGACTGTCAAGGATCAGCTGGGGAAATCACTTTTAGAGAATCAAAGTTGTTATCCTTGTAAAACCATTATCCAGAGGTATGATCAAGAACCAGCTGGTAGAACCTAAGTTGTTATCCAAAATATAGTTGTTCCTTTTATTCCAGGTCTCAGTTGATAGATGGAACAGAAGTTATCCAGGAAAATTACACAAAGAAACAGGCTAATAGTGAAGATATTCCACGACGGGGACCAGAGGCGCCGTCCACAGCCCATCATAATATTATCAGTGATATCAGTATCTGTCAATCTTCACAATGTCTGGTTATTACTGCTGCTAGAGATGGTGTTATCAAACTCTGGAAATAGGCGCTTAGAGTTTGAATCCTTTCCTTACTTGCTTTGCTTATTACTTCAAACTAATTTTGATTTTGTGAGAATTGTTGTTAAATTCTTGAAACCTTGCTTACTTGCCAGGGCTGTGTTTCTTCAAAAATGGTTTTTTAGACAACAGTTAGAGATGGTGTCATTAAACAATGGAATTAGGCGCTTAGGGTTCAAAAACTTTCTTCCTTTGGCTGTTCTTATAAATTCATGCTAATTTTGATTTTGTGAGATGGTGGTATAAAACTTTGAAAATTGTCTCTAAGAATTCAAATCCTTTTACTTTGGATGTTTTCCTCTAAAATACTTTATAACAATTTTGATTTTGCTAACAGGAGTTACAGATTATTAAGCCTCTGGAAATAGGCGCTTAGAGTTCAAAACTTCTTAATGTTAAATTTATGTGAAGAAGTGTTGAAAAAGTAGACTCAATGTTTTCGTTTGATTAAGTCCCATTTTAAAGGTAGGTCTACCGTAAATTGAAATGTTGATAATATTTATTTTGTTGTTGTTTACGTGCAATATGACTGTTTATTATGATGTAGATAATTGTTGTTTGCCAATATAAAAAGAAAATTGTTGTATTTGTAAAAATTGTAAAAATTTAAGATCTAAATAAAGTTAAATTAATTATTGTGTCTTACGATGGAACATTGTGAAACTGTATGTGAAACTGTATGCGTAGGGACCAGGTATTTTTTGAGAAGGTTGGTGAAGGTTATTTCATTCATTTGTTTGAAATTCTGTCGTTTTTCCAAAACAATGTTTTTGCTTCCCATAGATATGAGATACTTTAGTGTCATTGAAGAAAGGTTCTTGTGATCAAGTATAGTTTTTTGTTGAAGAACATCGCTGTCGCTTGATGCATTAAAAGAGTGTTAAATTGTTCGTGTGGGATAATAAACCGAGGCCCTGTGTGCTACAGGCTATCAACAATAAAGATCCCTTGACAGTCAGTAATCATAAAAAAGTATGCTAATGCTCATTGTACACCGCATGGCTTTGCCTGTCTTCATTAGCCCAAACAGTAGGAAAAAAAAACAATTCATTTCATTATCAGTCAGTAATGGAGTAAATTGTTGTGGTCTGAATTCAAAGTAGTTACGTCCCTTGAATGGCTATTGACAGTTGGTGAAATGTGAAGGAAATCTGACAATAGTAGTAAACCATTTGCTCTTTTCCTTTGATTATCTATACCAGGTATTGTTTAACATTTCCAGCGTTCATTGTATTTATTATTTTGGTAGAATGTGGTCTATTCCTTTGTGAAACGTCAAATTTTTCAGCTGAACAATAGTAGGGGAAAGTGGGATTCATTCGTTCAATGTTGATTTTTTTTCATCTCAAGATCATCAATTCCACGTCCTTCAATCCCTATTTCTAGTTTAGAAAATATGCCAACTATTTGTTCGCCCAGAACAAGATAAGTATCTTCATTTGCATTTACTATAATTCTGTTAAAAGCCACTTTACATTTGATGAAAGGGTAAAGTGAGACTTGTTGAGACACTCAATTGCACAAATGCTAATTTTTCCCTTTCATTTGAAATTTTGTTTTGTTTCAGAATAGAATTAAAGAGAAACTTGACCAGATAAAGAAATGTCTTTTAGAGGTAAGTCCTACATTATCGTCATTGAATTTTTCGATTATCGCTGTAGACTCAATCGATTTCATTCACCTGTGATACTATTGAGAATAGATATTTGAATTTTGGTTCATCTACAATTAAATGACTTTCAACTTTCAATTGCCCTTTAGGCCTTCTCTTGAACTGCTGGCTTTCTCTGCAACTTTCTCTTTCCCCCTTTAGATTATCATTTTCCATTGTCCTTTTGAGCCTCCCCAAAAGCCAAAAAAATGTCTTGATTTATTTTATATTTCAGGCAATTCCTACCCGGTGCATCAGGCAGCTCGGCAGGGATATATAGAACAGTTAAAGAAGTTGATACAGACTGGAGAACACAATGTAAACCAAGCAAGTTCAGATCTAGTCCGACCCCTCCATGAGGCTAGTTTATCAGGACATCTCCACTGTATACAGGCTTTAGTAGAAGCTGGAGCAGAGGTAAGTTGTGGCCATCTGCATATTGTCAAGCTATTACAAACTTTGTCTTACTGTAATCTTAATGATACAAGTTAAGGTATAATATGAAGTTTGAAAAAGCTTGACTTTGTGAAGATGTGCCGATGGCAGGCATGCTTACACTGGCAGCCTTTATTATCCCAGAGCTTCATCATTTTCAATCAACCGTTTTTGGGTGAAAATCACAATTTTCAGTCAACTTCTGAATGGACGTTTAAGAGCTCTTTTTAAGCTTTTCAACACCCCTCTCTTCTGCCATTGATTTCCTCAATTTCAGGTGAATGCGAGAAACATTGATGGTGCTACGCCATTATGTGATGCCTGCTCTAACGGTAACGTAGATTGCGTACAATATTTATTAAACCATGGAGCTTTCGTTAATCCGCCATTATTGATGACGTCTCCTCTACACGAAGCAGTTTTACGAGGTATGTTTTTACGGCTATTTTGAAAATCCTCTAGCCAAGTCTTGCCAAATTAAATGTTTGAGAAAATACTATTCGTTGCTTATTCTATTTCTCACAGGCCATACGGACTGCATGGAGTTATTATTAAAAGCTGGGGCCAGTTTAAACGCCTCTGATTGTCATTTCGGAACTCCACTCCACGTTGCTGCTTATAAAGATCACGAACATTGTGCTGCCCTGTTGCTTAGATACGGTAGGTTTAGTTTGATTTGGATAAGGTAAGCTGGGGTCAGGATTTAACACCCTCTTTATGCTAACCTTGAGTTTAAGATGAGGGTGGGGGCTAGTATTTTTCTACCAGCTAGTACTTATCCAAACCTACAGGCCCTTCCTGGATTATCTGTACCCATTAACAGCTGGGTTGACTTTGAACATTGACGAAAGATCACCTCTTCAAGCTTCCCAGGCTTCCTACCAGCTGGTTCCCGAAACTGATCTTTCCTGGATTATCTGATCTAACTTATTACTGGGTCAGGTGCAATTTAAGCGAGGAAACAGGACTAATAGGCCCCAGTCCAATGAATGATAGGTTAGAGTGAGGAAATGAAAATAGATGATATGTTCAAGGTCTCCAGTATTATACATGGCTGTAATATGTGCTCAATTTGAAAAATTATCTCCCTTAGGTGCAGAGGTGAACGCCACTAAAACACACCATACAGCGCTACACGACGTAGCACGCCATCAGAATATAAGTTTTATCAAGTTATTATTAGATCATGGGGCCGATATCTACGCTAGGAATAATCATGGTCTGATAGCTCGAGAATTAATATCCAGTAGCACATCTCCAGCGAAACAACTTCTACTTTATTGGGAAAGTGAGTTGACCTTCGTCGATTTTTGTGGGTGGATCGCTGATTGTCAATAACCCTTATCAATAACTAAATGGGACTGTGGTTTAATTTATCCAAATAGCTTACTATGATACTGTGAAATTTGACTATTCATACTCCATTGAGCTCGATGAAGGATAGATAATTTACATTTAATTATGGACTAGTTGGATCAAGGGATGGGAGCCATTGACTCAAACACCTTACAAAGATCATATATAATAATCTGGATGTTTTATTATATTTCAGGCACTCCCCACAGCCTACGTCATGTTTGTCGATTGTGTATACGTCACGTAATGAGCAGTCCTCGACTCAACTTCATAGACAGTTTCAACATTCCCAAAGTCTTGAAGGAATATCTGAAATTCTCTTGAAATACCTGGCATCAATATGGATTACCTAGTTTTAATTCCAGTAGTGTAAGTGTGATCATGTGACTGAAATATTTTGGCCAAAGATGAATCGCTTCAGATCTAGTCTATTCGCAGGTTTAAGGATATATAGTCAAATAAAGCGGTTTCTTCACATCTAGGTACCATTCAAAACATAAACCTCAGTAATCTACAGATCTGCGAGAATGATTGACATCTGAATGTTGGCCAATCAGACACAAACAAAAAAACAAGACTTTAATTTTAATGACTGTATCTGACGAGATGGTATTGAAGTGTGCATGGGGTTACTTGCAATGCAGATAATAGCTATCCAGAAAGATTGGAGGGAGGTCATTTTGTGTGGTTATTAGGTGATTAACAACAAGGTCTAGGCTGTTCTCTGAAATTCTTGAATAAAAGAAATAAGACAATTGATTGAGATAATGCTTTGGTATATTTGTAAATACTATCAGTAGGAGTTATAAATTTACAATCTCTAATACTATATACATCTTATATATACACATAGCACTATATATAATACATGATAGGATAGGTTCATTAACTGGTGTGATCAAAGGTAAGCTAGCAGAAGACTCGTACTCCTTCTAGATCAATACCTTTGATAGTTGGCAACCAAATCTTTATTGCATAATTTGAGTAGAAAAATGGATTTCTTAATCTTTAGTGCTGTTTACTGTTAGTTAAAAAAATAACAACAATACAGACAGTCTGTAAACAATTAGCCATGTGCATTCTGTGATACAAGAAAGGGGGCTGGCTATAACAGTCAAGGTATAAGATGAAGTTGGAAATAGCTTGACATTGTGAAGATAGACCTGGACCAAACACTGTGCCCTGTCTATTTGCTCCATCATACACTAAGTCTATAAACCAAGTGCTATGTTGAGTATTATACTTGTTATTAGTAAAAACCAATAAATATCAGCAGTTAAAATAACATAGAGATATGACAATGATAAATACTGTTATAATACCCATAATAATTATTGATATACATATAGTCAAACGTCTTTAACAATTGAGTCCAATTTTGTTGTTTGTTGAGACTAAAGACAAGGGTAATGTGATTATCAGAATGATTATTGTAAATTATAAGATAATATTGTTAATACTTGTAAAATATATGACAAAAATAAAATAAATTTAGTTGAGCAAGAAAGAGAAAAAGATCATTGTAAGAAAAAGGTGCTAAGGTCAAGGATGAAATGAAAGGGTCAAGGTCAAAGGGGAGAGGTATAGGTCAAAGATGAGGATCAAGTAGAAAAGATGAGATAGCTAGAAAAAGAATTGAAAGAGCAAAAAAAGAGAAAAAAATTGAGCCTCGTTCTTAAAAAACTCAAAGTTCTTTTTGGATTAAAAGCTATTTTTATAATCCATAAGGAAAAAATGGGTTCATTAGATTGATGATTTAAATGGTTGCAAACAAAAGAAAGGGAAATCCTTTGAGAAATCCCTTGCTGCCTCTATTTATAGCACTAGAAATAGGTCAGGGAATCCCTCAATGACCTAACAATACCGGTATTAAAAAATCAAACAAATATCTTGTTTACATTACGAGAATTTCAATCAAACTGCCCTCCTACTTAATTTGCATAGAATTAACAATAGTGAACCAAAAATGAAGTTTTTTGGCATTTTAAAAAAGAGCACTACTGATGCATTTTTTCAGTCTTTTAAAAGAACACAATATGCCTGTTTGTTGTCGGAAAGTTCGAACTCTTTATGCACTTAAGTTTTGTCGCAGACTCTGGTTTCTTTGAGGATTTCCTGAAAAGTTGGCAAGTCCTATTTCTCCCAGAGTATCTAAACTATGTTACCATAGTAACAAAATTTCTGCCATCATAGTAACAACATTTGTGATATCACATTAACAAAATTTCTGACATTCAAAATTTCCGACATCACCATAGTTATGAACTTTCCAACAACATAACTGACTGTCTAACTCTCTTCCTCTATTATAGATTGACTGGTATTCACTAGAGTGGACAAATTGGAGTCGTTGTATTCCGTCAAGACTTTCTCAATACACTGCAGCCATTGTCTTTTGTCGTGTTCGTCGTTAGCGATCAAGGTATGGGACTGCCCACTTAATGGATCCTTGAACGATACTTTAAACACACTTTTAGCTGAAATATAGAAATAATGAAATAAGATATAGGACAAGAGATTGAGAGTTCATCATGAAAGGAAAGGGATAAAAATTGAAGGAATTATTTTCAAAAGCAATTGATGTGGCAACAGAAATATCCTTGCCTCTCTCACTTAGCTGCTCCAGACAACAATCCACGGTGGTGCTTGATTGGAGGGTCCTGAACAGGTTAGGTCTGTTCCAATTCTGACCTCAATCCAACTGTAAGGAGCAGATATATCACATTCAAAATTTCCTATCTATTTCCTTTTCCGCCATTTTGAATTCTGAAATATTTTTACTTACGTGTTGTAACGTTTTGGCTAAATGATCGTCGAAATGACCCCATCTTTACTTCAACCTCTTTCAAATCTTCAACTTGAAGTTCGTTGACAGGGATTGGTTGACGATAAACCTGGTAACATTGTTGTCCATTCTGATTGGTCAATCTTGTTACCAATAATATTTTATCAAATAAAAATATATGAAGTTTCTGAAAAACAAAACAAAATTCATGAATATTTCTGAAAATGAAGCCTCTCCCTACTACCGGGTCAGCTTTTACCCCCTACTACCAAATGGAATAGCTCAGTCAGTAGTGAGTTGGATTGTCGTCTGCTAGGTGATAAGATGTCTTCTGAAGCCTGTGCCAGTGTTTTTCAAGAGCCAGCTTCACCCCTATATAAGTTACCCTAATCTAGACCCTCAAAATTATGAAAATTTCTACTTACACTGCCTTTATTGTTTCTAAGTACGCCATTACAAACTAAACTAGTAGAGTCTTCTATAAAGGGGTGTCTCTGTTCATCGTAAATATACGATATTCTAGCTTTATACAGACGACACTTGGCTTCTCCGGTACTTTTATCTGCTGTACTGACAATACTTTCAATTAGTTTAATCTACAAGGGAAAATTATTTTTAACGTTAATCCAGTTATAAAATTCTTGGAGTTCATTTTGAATTCATGGGGCCAGTCACATTTTTCTAGCATTCTTGAAGTTCTTCATTTTGAATTAATTTTGTCTTAACATTTTACCACCATTTTGCAACACAGGCTAAATAACATCTTCTGCAATAGCCACTATTCTTGTTATCACGAAATGAAGCAATTTCATTGGATTGTATGCCAGTGTATACAGCCAATCAGAGCTCTGAACAGAAAGGGCTTTCTGTCTGTCAAAGGCTCTGATTGGCTGAATTATCGCCAAAAATATTTGAATATACTTACTGCTTGTTGCAAGTATTTGTAGTCTACATCTTTAATATCAGTCTGAAATAATAATATTGAAAAAATAAATAGTTAGAAAGCTTCATTGATTTTGTCATCTTAAATGATCTAGGATCTAGGATGGCTAATGGATGCATTTCATTTGATTTTATCATCCTAAACCGAACTTGTCAGGTTTCTCTTTATAATACAGATGTATCCTGTTACTTACATATTTTTGTATACTTTTCAACAACAATGGATATTTCATAAACTTCGATCTGGCACCATCTGAAAATAGAAAAATAATATTTTACAAAAGTGCTGAAAAATATATGACGAAAAATTCTAAATTTCTTGTCATTGTCATTTTTTTGTGCATCCCCAGTTAGACAAGCCACTTTTTAGAATAAAAAAAATGCGCACTTAACAAATAAATATACAGTAAACAAAAACTTACCTAACAGACTCCATAAATCTAGTTTCCGACTGAAGGGAGAATCTAGACACCTTTGTAAGAAATCCTCTACGGCAGAGTCCTTTCTTTTCTCTTCAAACAGAGCACGACCAAATACTTGATTAGAACAGAACGGTATATAGCACTGTAATAACGGGATCTAAAACACAAAGAGTTATCAAAATTATTCCTTGTGAATGAATATTATTAGCTATGTGGACTCTCTAAAAAGGGAGTCCGTCTTCATTAGCCCACATGGTGCAAGAGACTTAAACTTAGTGTTTGTAAATTTTTTCTTACCCAATCTAATAAATGTAAACCAACTTTCTGTGTGGTACCGTCTGGCTGACGTTCATTTTGTAATCTCTCTAATAGTTCTGAAAGAATTGAAGATATAAATTCATTATAAATATGGAAAGTGTATTGACTATAGTTAAGAAGAGATTTGTTCACATCCTGCTACAGGCAGCTCTAGTTTAATGAATATTTATGTAAAATAGATACCATATATTTGTGTGTATAATGCACAGTTTTTACACTCTGGCTTGCAAAACTTTTGGTGCACATAAAGACAGTGGCAATTTTTTTACTGTTGATTTTTAATAGAAATTCTTGAAATGGTAATTTGGAGAAATTGTTCAACTATTTCTGATACATCAATGAATTGTGTGGACCTACCTTTATGAACTGGAAGTAATGATTCTAGTGGACCGAAGATCTGTTTTAATTCACCATGAGACATCAACTGTAGTTTCTGCATAGAATCATGATAAGTCTGAAATGAAACATGAAAATGAAATGAATGGAGTTTTACGTTCTACTCTTCTGCACCTTGTGGGCTAATGAAGAAGGGCAACGCCATGCAGGGTGCCATGAGGGAAATTTTTCCAGGACAGCGGCATTAGCCTGCTCTTTTTCGATTTCTGAAAATCTGTTAGTTTGGATATCCAGTTTCGTTTGGTGTTTGGATTGTTAGTACTTTTTCCATATTGAAATAATTTTCATAGAAGATAAAACTATTGGTGTGATATTTCGAATACCTTGGCTTACCTTTTGTACAATAGTCAGATCTTCTATCATATCTTGTTCACCCTGATATAACTCGTAAATAGCCTGCAAAAGTACAAAATATTGGTCTCGTTAAGTTTAGCAATTTGCATCTGCAAAGAGTTCATCAACATGGAATTGTGCAGGCTCCTTTTATTTTCATTTACTTTAGTCAGATGCGTAAGCTGGAGCAATATATCTTCCACTCATATTGGAACAATATTTCATCCCTTCAACAATAATGAATCCTTCCAATCATGCACATTTTGCAACCATTTTAACTCTTTCAGCACAGTCTATTTACAAAATAAGGGTTTTTTTTTGTTTAAGTCTTACCTCTTGTTTTTTAATATCATTATGTGAAAATTTACTGGGGTTTCTGCCATCAGTTGCCATCATGTCTGTCCATGTCTTTGCCTGACGTTTCTTACCAGCTGATGGGGGCGGGGCTTTATAGGGGGACACCAGTGGTCTCGGAGAACTGGGCACTTTAAATGGTGTTCTGGGCTGAAAATATAAAAAGAAAACTTAAGCGTCTGGAGCTCAACTCATGCTGTTGATACATGTTTCAGATACACAAACCTCATCAGGATAGCTAGTGTTGGAAATAAGTGTTATCTTTCAATACAGGCCTTTCAGTGCATGAGCAAAATAAGCGATCTCGTTGAACAGGGGCGAGAAATCTATGAATCTCCTACCTTGGAGGGTTTGCTGGGTGACAGGAGATTGACTAAAGATGAAACTCGTAATAGAGAAGATCTTCTGGTCTTTTTCTACAATTGAAAAAAAAATGAATTAAATAAAATGTCAGTTACCCTGAACTGAAGTTATATTAGTTAACCATACATTATCAAAATCTTATAGACACAGTTCATTTATTTCTGTAACCCCTAAAAAATTACTCCAGCCCCAAAATAAGATCATAGCCCCAAGTAGCATCTCTTAGTTTAATCCTATAAGTAGGATCATAGCCCTAAGTAGGTTCCCAGCCCCCTACACAGTCAATAAAGCTAACAAGCTGATATCACTTAATGTCATCATTATATAGATGTCAATTTTGTTATATAATTTCCTTGAGGTATAGTTAACAGATGTTCTTAGCCTAGCTAGTTTGACATTGCACTTAAAACCTCAAAACCAATGTTTTAATTTAAGTATATAATGATAATGATGATGAAAATTGTGAAACGGCCCCTTTTTTTTTTCTTTTTCTTTTGGCATAATCATAATTATATAGATGTCAATTTCGTTATATAATTTCCTTGGGAAATAGTTAACAGATGCTCTTAGCCTAGTGACCTAGTGATAATAATGATGAAAATTGTGGGGTGAAACTGCCCGTTTTTTTGGCATAATCATAATCATATAGATGTCAATTTCATTATACAACTTTCTACATATAGCCAACAGATGATGCCAAAAGAATCAATAATTAAAATACCAGAAGTTAAAATAATAATGAATATAAAAATTGTGGGGTCAAATTGCCCTTTTTCTTTATTTTTGGGCTTAATGTCATAATTATCAGATGTGAATTTAGTTGTAAATAGTATACACACATCACCAACAGATGTTGCCAAAATATTTATGTTATTAGTGCAAATGAGACACAGCTCTTAAAACCTCAGAAGTCAAAATCTTCTATAGGTAATAAAAATTTCAGGGTTAAATTACGCCTTATTGCTTTTATTTTTGGCTAATGTCATAATTACATGGAAATCAATTCTGTTATATAATATCTAAGAGTAATTATGTTATTATGTCTATATATTATAGGATATTATAGAGTCAACTGGTCCAATATATAATTATAGTATTTAGTACCCCTAATAACCATAAACACCTTGTCTAATGTCTTAATTTAAGGTTAGTAGATGACAAGTTAACTTCTGTTTTGAATTAAATCATATTTTGAAAATTTGTTGTATATTTAAACAATTAACAATGCTAAAGGGATCTAGTCATCTAATTATTTTGTTCTATTAACAGAACTAATTCTAAGATGCCTGTATCACTTTTCAGAATTGAATATAGGTTGATGATATTTTTTAATTTAATCTTATCATAAATAAAATCATTTGTTTTATCTGAATAAACACATAAAATTTGTAACTTTAACATAACTAAATTGAGCAAGACGAAAGACTCAAAGTTTCAAATTCTTACAGTAGAAATGTCGTCCAGAAAATTCAGAAAGACATCAAATAAATTCATTTTACCTCTTTATTATAATAATAACTATTCCACGATCGTGTCAAAACCTCAGAATTATCTTTACCACAATTACGGCAGGAAAATAAGGCTGGATGAACTAATATACTGATAGGACACTGATCAATTTCCATTGTGTGATTTTTACTCAAATTTAAGTTTTTAACACGTGTCACTTTAATAAAGTATCCAAAAACGCACACAAAAATGGATAAAGAATCCAAAAATCTCTTTTTAAGTTCACTTTAATTCAAATATCTTAAATGAAGTACAATCAAAAATCAAATTCCACTTTGAAAATTAACGTGTTTGTTTTTGGTTCCAAATAGTAACAACTCCCTCTGTCCTCCTTCATTGAAGAGTTGTTATCAAATATTTGGCAAGTCGCTAGGAGACTAGGATGTGTGTAAGAATTTATTGATTCTCCTAGAATCACGATGAGCCGCAAGGTAGAATATTCAATAAAACACAAAAGTCAAGATTGAAATAATTATTTTAAGATTCTTTAGATATTTATAGAAACCAAATGTGGGTTTTATTGATTAAACCTTTCTTTTATTATTGATTATTAAGAAATGGGATGAGTTAAAATTCTAATGTTCTGTACCTTATTGAACTAACGAAATGAAAAGTAACTAATGAAATGAAATAGAGTTTTATATTCTACTGTTCTGTATCTTATTGGTCTAATGAAATGAAATGGAGTTTTATATCCTACTGTTCTGTATCTTATCGGGCTAATGAAATGAAATGTAGTTTTATATCCTACTGTTCTGTATCTTATTGGACTAATGAAATGAAATAGAGTTTTATATTCTACTGTTCTGTATCTTATTGGTCTAATGAAATGAAATAGAGTTTTATATTCTACTGTTCTGTATCTTATTGAACTAATGAAATGAAATACAGTTTTATATCTTACTGTTCTGTATCTTATTGGACTAATGAAATGAAATATAGTTTTATATCTTACTGTTCTGTATCTTATTGGTCTAATGAAATGAAATAGAGTTTTGTATCCAACTGTTCTGTATCTTATTGGTCTAATGAAATGAAATATAGTTTTATATCCTACTGTTCTGTATCTTATTGAACTAATGAAATGAAATATAGTTTTATATCCTACTGTTCTATATCTTATTGAACTAATGAAATGAAATGGAGTTTTATATCCTACTGATCTGTATTTTATTGGAGTAATAAAATTGATTATTGAAATATGAAGTCAAAAAGAAAATATTGAGTTGAAATAAGTTTAATTGAAAAGACTTTCTGATTAAGTATTCAATGTTCATTAGTTTTAACATTGTTGTTTATTTATGGTACCGATGTAGTACAAATAACTATTAATCAATTAACTGGTACAAAAACCAATCAATCAGATGTATTGATCTTATGTAATGATGATTCCAGTACTACGTCACTGGTCTGGCGTCTTACGGAATCAACTGAACATTGAGCTAAACATGACATACATTAATTCAAACAAGATTCTAAAATAGACTGTTCTGTCACTTTATATCTAGTATCAAAGTCAAGGACTAAGTAGAATGTTATTCATCCATCTTGTTAGTTTTAAGCTCTTCCACGAGATGACTCTACTTGTGGACAAGACTGTATTGGAGCTTTAAGCTTTAAGTCCAAGTACAAAAGCTTAATCAAACATTATGGCTGATGAATCTACTGTTTGAGATTTCCCCAACGGTAATGTTTCATGCTATAAGCTTTGAACTTTTTAAGTCCAAAGACTTAATTGAGATTGATATTAACTGTATCAAAAAACTAACCTTTGCTAAAGCCCTGACATCATAACTCTGTACACTCTAACCTCAATCCCTAGCAGAGGTCAAATTAAATACTGACTGGCTGGAAGGGGATACTTAATTGAGGGAAGGGGGAGGGGATATTTAACTATTTCAATACTAACCTTGGCTAAAGCCCCGACATCATAACTCTGTACACTTAAAGCATCCTCCTCCGTTTTCCTTTTTCTCTTATTTCTCTGCAATTTGAAAAAAAAATGACGTTGAACCCTAATTTGTTTTCCAGCACCATTTTTTATCTCAAGGGCACTGATAGTATCAATTTGCACCATTTCAATTTTTATGTCAGACGTCTGTGGTTCCAGCAATTCCACTAAAACTAAGCAATAGTAGCTTAAGCAATAACCAATATATATGGTTAAGCATTTTTATAATTACAGGAACCACAGACATCAGTGCCCCCTGAGTCACATACAAAAACCTCATTAAAAGATATAAAAGCAAAAAACTTACAAATGGCAGCTCGAAAGCTGAATTGAGAGACAGACGTCTGTTGCTCCTCTTTTCTTTTACTTCTGGTATCCTAAAAATACAGAAAAAGTTAAATTCAGAAATTGTTGGAAAAGATTGGAAATAAATCTTTAAAAATATCAAATTCAAGTGTATTACAAACTTTTGGTTAAGACATTTGAATTTCCCATCCTATGGGGTTTAAGCAATAAACGCCCAATAATATCAGGTGTTTAGTGGCCCATTATTCAATTTCTTTAAACAATTAAGAGGGCCTATACCTTGTCAAAATGTAAAGAATTTTTTTGCATAAACAAAATCTAAACCGCAAAACTTTCTAGAAATTAAGACAGATGTCGAAATTTGAATCTATTTTGGCTTGGGTTCCTCAAATGGTGGTCTCAAATTGGCATTTCAAAAGATTTATTTTTATGGTCAAAATATTAAAAAGTTATCTTAAAGCAAATAGTCTTGAAAAACCACAAGAAAGAATTGCAAATTTGCAAACCATTCAAGCCAAATTCGAATTTCCCTCTGATGGCACAAAGGCACTAAAGTAGGTCAAACAAGCTTGTTTGAAATTCGGTTCAAAATTCGCAAATATTACATCAAAAACTAAAATAAAAACTTAAAACACAAAATAAACAATATCCATCCTTACATTTTGGCAGATTAATCCTAAAATTCCACAAAAAATTGGCTTCTAAGATACAGAACACATGTATAGAGTTTGAAAATGACCAACTAACTGACCATACAGACCCAACTGACCCTTGTATAATGTAACCTGATAGCTTAAGACAGTACACAATGGCTGCAAGCCCCTAGGGGAGGGGCCTAACAATGGCCTTATTATGTTGATTGCAGTTCCAAAAACAAGTCAAAAGACCAATCAAAGAAAAGAAAAGGGATCTTCTTTTGAAGTGTAGCCATGTGTTAAATGTTTTTTAAAGAGAAGGTTGACACTGGGATATAACACTTTTTAATCTACCAATTCTTAAAACTACACTTCAATAAGCCAGTGTTCCTATTATCTCTCTCTTGTTTATATTATTAAGTTATTTTCCACACCTACTTGCCTACCATTAGTTCAAATAAATATTGAAATTAAAACTGTTAAAACTCAGTTCCTGTCAAAAATTTTCAAGTGACTTCTTGATCAGCCTTGACATATTTATTACCTTCTGTTATTTTTGGTTTTTTTTACCTTTTCTGATATCCACTTATAACTTAAGATTAACTCCATTTCAATGCATCCTACTTCAAAACTTCATTAAGCACAATGTTTCTACAATTTACACTTAAATACAACACAGCCAAAAAGTTTTTTTGTGTAACTTAAAGACTAAATAAATTACAGTGGTCACCTACTTTAAAGCTTCATTAAGCACAATGTTTCTACAATTTACACTGAAATACAACAGCTATAGGTTATAACTAACTGCAGAAATTCTGTATTTTCATAACTAAATAACTCTAACTTAATACATGTTTCTATGCAGACTTAATTTTCATGGTCATTCACTTCAGAATTTCATGACGGTGCACAAAGTTTCATCAGATTACATTTTGAATGGACTTCTAAGGTCTATGAATTTATGTAACTGTATTTTCAGAATTGAAATCTTTGGTATGAATAAGAATTTATAAATTCTCAAAGGGACAATTCCCTGTGCCATTATTTGTACCTTAGTCTCAGAAACAAGAAGTTTTTCAAATTCATGAATATATTATCAATAATCTGGAGGTTTGTATTTTGAGTTTTGCTCTCATTTAATTAAATTAAATTCATTAATCAAGATTATAATGACATCTAAAAGATCCTAATCTAAAACCTAAACATAAATCACAAGTAGGCCTATACATTAATTTAGTTTCCCTTATCATCATATCTTGCCATAATATCAGAGATTTACTCAGTCTGATTAAATTTGACAGAAAGGGAAATCAGGGGCAACAATTGAATTGATTTTATCATGGATTAAGATTTAGAAAAGAGATAATCCATCCCTGAAATACTATGGGGATTATCTTAGACAGAGAGTAGGGTTTAATCAATGAAAAAAATTGGCGAAAGTTGTAGAAGATATTTCCGTCTCGACTTGGAATAGATTTCTATATGTACTAATAAAAAGTAAATTCTCTAACTATAAACAGTTTTTCAAATCTTCTTTTTTACTAATATCTCCTTAACTTTAATATTCAAATTTATCAATTGTAGCCTTAAAATGATAGCTTATTTAATGAAAATAGGGCAAACAAGGGGCAAATTATCAACCTAATTACTAGATTATAGATACAGGTAGGAGAAACCTGGGGAAGTGCTAATGGGATTATAAAGTCTTTAAACACCCTTCCTGCTGCTCAGCTGTCATTCTTCACACATCTTAATCTTGTCTGGCCCTTTAATCTTAGACCTACTACTGTGTAGGACCAGATCAGTCAGTATTATATAGGGCAATATAGCTTCATTGTAAATAATAAAACATTTGGTTGAGAACCTACAAGTTAGAGGACTTAAAGCTGTATGCAGACATGGAATTCAAGGTTATTATTTCATGCTAGTAGGTCCATGTAATGTTATTTTCTTGCATAGGCCTAGTCCATCTACAAATTTGGAAATGAAATAGAGTTTTTATGACCTACTTTTCTGCACCTGATTGAGCTCATGAAAACAGACAGAGAAATTTTACCAGGACAGCAGCATTAATTTGGAGAGAGGGGTTCAGTTATTGAGAATAGATTATTTATAGCCCCCTCCCCCTTTCTTTCTTCTTTGTAACTTTTACATCACGCTTGCCTTTTTTGGGTATGATTAATATCGATCGGATCCTCCCCCATTGCTGTCAACTCACCTGAAAACGTTCTCGTCACCCATAGCGCAGATATCGACAACAAAATAAGGACATTTAAGTGGAAAAAGTAACTTTTGGTAAAGAATGTCAAAAATGTAAAATGTTGTTTTTCTTTGAATAATGGCGGTGAAGTGCACGTTCCGGTTTTTTAACCAATCAAAACTCTCCATTAAAAACTTTCACTTTCTTTTTTAATGTAAAATAAAGAACTGGATTTTATTTTTCACTTTTTCAAAAGACAAACTATTAAGCGTTATAAATGCTTTTTTGAATAAAAAATCTATCTACCTCCTTATTTATAACTTGTAAAAAAACCATACACTTTGAACATGTAATGTTTTTAGTATTTTTTTTTGTTACAAAAATCCTAAATTTGAATTTACACGTCATGAAGGAAGTCATTAATGTAAACAAACACTTTGATTTAGTTTTTTTCCTCAATAATGATATTTAACGCTTCATAAAGTTGATGTCTTCCTCAATTTGAGTGAGAATAAGGGAAAATGGTAGGGGAAACCTAGCAGATGTAAAACACTTTCGGAAATTGGACCAGAAAGCGACAATTGACACCGAAACAGAAAATGAAAGTGAACATGAATAAGAATGGTCAAACATGGATGATTTTTGTTGCTGCTATTTTCTTGTCATTTAGTGTCATGGACGAACCAAGGAACTGGGACATGGAGAAGGATCAGACAACACAAAAGTTTCCAGATTTCGGAGGGCACCTAAAAGGATTCTGGATCATTCTTGTGATGAATTTGACTGCTCTCAAAAGGTAATAATACATAGGGCCTAATTTCATTTATTATAAGCTACTGTGTGCAAGAGTACAGGCTTCACTTTGTAGGAAATTCATTTCAAATTTCAACTGCTGTTTGTGTATTCGTTGAACATAGTGTAGCTGTCTTTAGGGTCTTTGTTATGGTTACCATAGTTTTAGGGTTTGGAACAATTCTTTACTGTATAATGTAATCTGTATGTTCGCACAGACTGGATGACATGCTCTACATAATCGCATGTGCCACGACTAAGCATCTGTCAAGATCTAAGCTGTATTGTTGTGAATTTCATTAAATGATTCTTATAATTATCAGGCACTTTGAGTAGGCTATTTTTCATTTGATTTAAGCATACTATTGTTTATATCATTTAATATTTAAGTTTCTTTTAAGTTGATAAGTTTACATGAATTGAAAGACCAATTATGCTTATATCTTAAAGCCATATATTGAAATATTGAAACCATAGGTCTATCTTAAATGAGCCCTTTAAGTAATTTTTCCGTTTCACATGGACCATCTGGACATGTCAGCAAAAACAGAACTGAAATATCTGCCATAGAGCAGAAAATAATTTTTGGCCATTGGATTTATCCAATCATATTTTTTTATTTTAGAAACGTGCAAGTGATGAAGAATTTTCTTGCAAAGTTGGCATGCACAAAGGTAAGTTGGTTATTATACAGAGTAAAAAGCACTTATTCATTGGAAACACTTGGCATATGACATAACCCTAGAATATGTCACATATAAAAAGATAGTTCGAAACATCTGCCTCAATTCTAGCCTCTGATAGCTATTTTAACATTTGTCAGCTAGAGTAGAGTTAACGGTCATACGAGATTATAGAAGGTTCTTACATAGAAATATCCTCGAATTCTTAAAAAAATTATTATATTTCAACTAATACCATTTAAAGAAATTCGTATGATGTAAGATTTGATCTACATGGGATTTTCAAGACTTTTATGTGTATTGGAAACATTTATAGCATTGATTTGCTCCATTCCAATTTTCAAATAGACGTCTGTGTTTCTGGCAATTCTACTATAAAACTAAGTGTTTATGACATCAATATCGCAAAAGCTGCTTTATAATATAAGGACCATTGTGATATTGACGTCATCAAACACTTAGTTTTTAGTAGAATTGCAGGAACCACAGACGTCTATTTGAAAATCGGTATGGTGCAAAATTGATGCTATAAGTGTTCACGATACACATACAAAATATAAAAAAAAACCTTTCCACCGCTTTTAAGACCTTTTACATTGTTAAACTTTTGTTTTTTCTTGCCATTGTACAAGGAAAACTATTAATTTCTACTACAATTATAGAATTGACTTGACACTTCTATTATCATTGAATAAGGTAGGTTTATATCCTCAATCCTCAAAACCTAATTAACTTCCTTGTTGAAATAGAAATTAATCTAAAAAGGGGATTCCCCAGAATCTTTGGCCTTCCAAATGTGAATTAACTTCATAGATCAGTAGGCCTATTTAATTCTTAAGTTGGATAAAAAAAATTTCAAAAATTTTAAGGGGAATCCCCTTTTTTTTTTTAGATACACAAGAACACAATAAAGTTTTTTGAAAAATTTTCTTACAAATTATTGATGGGCGTAGATGACAATAATGTTTAGGATGTAAAACTACACTTCATTCCTGATTGACAGGATATTTTTATACGCCCACATTATAATGTGGTCGTATATTGTTGTTGCCCCTGTTTGTCCGTCGGTCCGTCCACAATTGGTTTGTGAACACAATTAGCGACTACAGTTTTTATCTGATTTTAGTGAAGTTTTCTTGTGATCATTTATGATGTTGAGATCTTGATATACTGAAAATTAATCAGGGTAGTGGGCGTATGTTGCTAGGCAACCATGTTTTTGAAAATTTCAGAATGTAAGGCAGTTAACAGAATGATAAATGATAGTTTGAGAGAAGAAACATACGGAAACTACGCCAAACTAACACACATTGACATCTTTAATAAAGAGGACCATACAATCTACCCATACTCATATAGAGCATTAAACTATTCTATTACTCTACCACACGAAGGTAAAACTTAGTCATCAAAATATTTGCTTTTATCAATTTCAGGCGGAATTTCGCAAGCGCTGGTTGTGGAAACAATATATCTTACCATGAAGAGGATTTGAACCCATGGCACCTAACTGCCTAGTAGTGGACTCTATGATTTGGACCCATGGCACCTAACTGTCTATTAGTGGACTCTAAGATTTGGATCCATGGCACCTAACTGTCTAGTAGTGGACTCTAAGATTTGGACCCATGGCACCTAACTGTCTATTAGTGGACTCTAAGATTTGGACCCATGGCACCTAACTGTCTAGTAGTGGACTCTAAGATTTGGACCCATGGCACCTAACTGTCTATTAGTGGACTCTAAGATTTGGATCCATGGCACCTAACTGTCTAGTAGTGGACTCTAAGATTTGGACCCATGGCACCTAACTGTCTAGTAGTGGACTCTAAGATTTGGACATAGGGTCTATAACGTTAGAAGGGACATTAATAATGTAAAGCTTGTATTTAGAAATTTAGATGCCAAAAATTAGACAAATTTAATTTCTTGAAAATATCCTTCAATTTTTTTTTATAACATATATTGTCAAGTTGATAAAAAAAATTATCCAATTTTCTCTTCTTTTTTTTCTAGATGAAGGTGGATTAAAAGCTAAAATGATTATGACATTATTTAACAGTGAAGTTGATTTGTATTATAGTAAACATGAGATATGTAGAGTGTTTGATTTCTCTTCCTCCAAACTTACAGAAAATGATCTGAAACATCCAGTAAGTATTAAAGGGATTGTAATGAGGTTTTCTAAATTTTATATGTGTATCGGGGACACTGATAGCATCAATTTGTACCATTCCAATTTTCAATCAGACGTCTGTGGTTCCTGCAATTCCACTAAAACTAAGTGTTTGATGATATCACTAATCGCGAAGGGCCTTAAGTGATAAAGCATTTGCAATTAGTGATGTCACCAAACGCTTTAGTTTTAGTGGAATTGCAATCACTTTAAAGAGATGTAGTCATTTTATTTCATTGTTTCATTATTTTTTTATTTTCCAGCGTGTTATTAACTATCCATGTATGTTTGGTTTGGATGAAATATCGATGACAGATTATAAGTTAAATATTACTGTTATACCTTATCTTGCTAGTCTTCTTTATTACCTACAGATATATTCATACGGTATGATATTTATAACAGTTCAAGGGCATTAACTCTTCTATATTTTTAACTGGAGAAATTCAAGGGCAGTATATTTGAGATATTTTGAGAAATACATGTATATTGAATTCATATGAAACTTTGACTTATCCGTATGATTTTAGTTCTAATATTAGCATATAACATTTATTGATACAAAATTTTATTGACATGTCAAGGGCATTAACTCTTCAGTGTCTAACAAATGGACGAATATGTAGTTTGGATTTTGGGTTTCGTTTTGCAGTTTGGATCGTTAGTGCTTTGTTTATTTATTGTTAATCCATTTTATTTTAATATCAGATCCCAAGTATAGCTGCCCTGTAAATAATGGTATTTCGGTGTTAAATGTACAACGTAAACTACACGTAGTGTTTCAATCATACCCAAACACTCTTCATTATAACCTTACTTTATATAAAGATTCAAAAGCTCTTCAAAATTTAGAGGTAAATTTGTTCTTGATTTTCAACTCTTGAAAGATCTTTACAAAAGACAAAACTTTTCTGTGGGTTACTTCACTCAATCTGATTGAAAAACAGTTCTGGTTCACAATTTGCTTACTGAACACATCATTTTTTTTATATACTTTTCAGTTAGCTCAGAATAAAAACCAACATGAATTTAAATTAGAAGATGGAGGACTTTACACTGTTGGGGTATGTTTTACTAATTGGTTTCTTGACCTTGGAGGATTGGCAACAACCTTGACGTTTGAGATATATGGAAACATCCTTGACCTTTGAAGATGAAGAAAAACCTTGAACTTTCATATATATAGAAACATCCTTGACCTTTGAAGATAGGAACAACATTGATCTTTGATATATGTATATACAGAAACGTCCTTGACCTTTGAAGATGAAGAAAAACCATGAACTTTGATTTATATAGAAACGTCCTTGACCTTTGAAGATGAGAAGAACCTTGACCTTTGAAGATGAGGAACAACTTTCGCCTTGTTTTCTACCTTAGAATGATAGGGGATATGTTAGCTCTATAATTTTATGTTATATTTTCAGATTAAGCCCATCATAATGGATAAATACTGCAATGAAACTTTGACCAAATCAGTCATATGGAAAGTTGAAGGTATGTTGACATTCTAGAGCACTGAATATGGTGTACAGGCTTTCTGGCTAGTGCTCTGATTGGCTGTATTTGCTAGCATACACTCCAATCAAATAACTGCATTTACAAACAGGCTTTCTGGCTAGGGCTCTGATTGGCTGTATTCACCAGCATACAATCCAATCAAATCACTGAAACTACAAACTACTATGATACAAGAACAGTCAAGGTAGTAAATGCAGTTCGTAATAACTAGTCCTAAACATCTGCCTCTATTCCAGTCTCTGATAGCTATTTTAACAGTTATCACCTGGTATAGAGACAGAAAAACTGGAATAGAAACAGACTAAGGTTGATATTGTGAAGATGGACATTAAAGTAAAGCAAAGGAGTTTATAGATCAGGGTTTTTGTTTCAGTGAAACACATAGAGGACAAGAAACAAGGTTATATTAACTTGGTATCAATTGTTTTACCAGTGGGAATTATTATAATAACTATAATAGCTGGAGTTGTAATACTAATTAAAAGACACCGTGAACAACAAATGGAAAGAAGCGGTAAGCTAGATATACCAAGTATAGATATAATTAAGTTTAATATTAGCCATGTGGACTCTCTGAAAGGGTTGATGTGTTACAATTTGTTATACTGGTACAAAAAATGTGGACTCTCTGAAAGGGATTCGTAGTTGATAAATCTTAATACTAAATAAACATTATTAGCTATGTGAACTCTCTGCAAGGATGCTGAGTTGATAAACTTTAAAACCCATACGAAAAACATATTGACTATGCAAATTTTGCTCGTGTGGGCACCTTTGGACAATAAACCAAGACCCTGTGTGCTACAGGCTACAAAGATCCCTCGACTGTTGGAAATCTCAAAAGAGTAGGCTAATGTCGATGTTCTGGCAAAATTTCCCTCATTGCATACTACCTGGTGTTGCCTGTCTTTATTAGCACAATTAGGTGCAGTAGGATGTAAAACTCCATTCATTTCATTTCAATTACTATTTGACTATTGCTTTTCAGATGACGAGAGTGCAGCAAGTTTTTTACAAAATCAACAAAACTCTGATGAAACATCCATTCCTTATAGAATGATAAAAAAATGGAAAAAATAAGATAACTATATAACTATAACTATATTTTACAAGGATAATAACTTAGGTTCTCAAGGTTTCTTTTTACCAGCTGGTCCTAGGCTGAATCCTTTGGTAATAATTTTACAAGGATAATAACTTCGGCTCTCAAATAATCCTTTCTGACTGAGATTAGAACCCACAATCATCATTCATTTGTTGTAACCAAGCAAAGGATGCCATGTGAGAATCCTTGGACACTCTGTAAGAAATACCCAAAAATCAAAAAACCATTATTAGCTATGTGGACTCTCTGAAAGGGATGCTGAGATAAGCAGAATGAAAAAATAAGGTTTGTGGAATCTTGGAAATGGATGTCAGATTGACAAACCAAACTACTTAAATAAACAATATTTAATTTGTGGACTGTTATTTGCAGGGGATAGATCTAAATCTCAAATACACATTATTAGCTATGTGGACTCTCTGAAAGCGATGCAGAATTGCATACCCCATGTACTATAATTAAGAATATGAATTTTTTCGACTATTATTTGCAGGTCAGTTAGTTGATCTCCATTGAATATAAGAATTATTTTTATAAGCATTAATATACATACTGCTAACTTTATATTTTGAAAGTTCTAACTGTGATATATAGATATAAAATGTTGATGGAAACTAAGAAGTTGGTGCACGTCTGTGTTCAAATCATTTTTATACATATATTGTCTAGTTTTTTATAAGAATAATGTCATTATTCCTGTGTGTAGTCCATGGCAGGTGAATATATTATTTTGATTCAAATCATACACAAGAGCAGTCCATTATATTTGTAGGTAAAATAAATAGTAAGTAGGGCTATATAAACCAGAATTTGATCATGTTTATTACTACTTATTCTACCTACAAATTATAAACTGTTCCTGTGACTACCCCTACTGGAATCCTCACCCAATATTTTATAAAAACCGCAATATGAGAGCGAAAGGGTCCTTCAATTGACGTAATGTAGGTTCGTACAATATATAGAGGTTCATCATAATACCTTCGGATTTTTCAACCTTGTTTCCCCCTGTCAGTGATGCAGGTAAGAGGGACTGACATGGAAAAAGGGTCTAGTCGTTAGGATGGGACTATAAACCGAGGCCCCGTGTGCTACAAGCTGTGCACGTTAAAGATCCCTCGACAGTTGGAAATCGAAAAAGAGCTGTCCTGGCAAAATTTCATTCATTGCACCCTGCAAGACGTTGCCTGTCTTCATTAGCCCACATGGTGCAGAAAAGTAGGACGTAAAACTCCATTCATTTCAGTTCATCCATGGCGGTTAAAAGGTCAAAAGATAACAATTGTTCAGGATAACAAGTAAGATATACATTTAATATTATTAATGTACAATAATATATTAACTGATAAATATACAAATAGTTATTCTACATACAAATGATATCTCCTAAACTTGTTCACTCTTAATCAGAGGTATGTTTTGGCTAGTCACTAAAATTTAGTTATATCAATCAATCAGATTACTGTAAATGTATTTACTGTTTGTAAATGAAGCAATTTGATTGGATTGTATGCCAGAAAAAACAGCCAATCAGAACCCATGACAGAAGGTCTGATACCACTAAGCCATAATGTTTACAGTCTTTCTGTCCAGGGCTCTGATTGGCTACATTCGCTGTTGAACAATCAAATCCAACCACTGCATTTCGTGATACAAGAAAGATGGCTATTCCAGTCAAGGTATAAGTACAAAGTTTGTAATACCCTGACATTGCGAAGATGAGGTCAGTCAAGAGTCAACAAGTTTCAGATATACAAATAATGTTCATATACAATTTATTTATACAATAACTCCATAATTTTATACAATAACTCCATAATTCTTTTTGTGACAATTAACGCAGAAATGTCTGCTATCACATGACCCAAAAAATATTCGTCAAGTCAAACCTTTACCTTCCTTGATGGCCAAAACTTGCCGAAAACAAGTTTGGCTTTATTTTTGACAATTTCTTTTCGTCATTTTAAATAATATAAACTACATACAGATCTAATTTAACACAATGTTTCAACAAATTACATCCTTAATGAGCTTAAGATGATTACGTTTCATTGAAGAAAATAAATCAAATCTGCTTTGACGACTTATTTGGCATGTTCTGTAATAAATCAATTTCAATATATAACTTTCAATAAAATTTAAAAAACAAAATATTGCAGAAGTTAATGTGCATTAAAAACTGAAAAAAAAACACTAAATGGGAAACACACCTGGTGGGTTTTTGGGATACAAAAAATAGCTGCAATGTAATGTGTTCAGTTCTTCTGATTGATCAAACAACAAAAGTGTTTTGTAAGTTATCTAATCGCCCACTTTTCATAACATTTCTACCTATGTGGATTCTCCAAAGTGGATGCCAAGTCGACATACTCAGATGTGAGCAAGAAAAATAAATAGAAAACATAGCACTAAAAGACAACAACAAATTCAACTCAATATCTTAATGAAATTTTAGTATGTCTGGTATATATTTAAATATATTTAAGGTTTATTCATCTAAATATTTACTTTACCAGCTGATAGAGCTCAATTTCAACTATCTGTATTTACTTTAACAGCTGATAAAGTTCAATTTCAGCTATCTGTATAGCCATCTAAATATTTACTTTAACAGCTGATAAAGTTCAATTTCAGCTATCTGTATAGTCATCTAAATATTTACTTTACCAGCTGATAGAGCTCAATTTCAGCTATCTGTATAGTCATCTAAATATTTACTTTACCAGCTGATAGAGCTCAATGTCAACTATCTGTATAGTCATCTAAATATTTACTTTACCAGCTGATAAAGTTCAATTTCAGCTATCTGTATGGTCATTTAAATATTTACTTTACCAGCTGATAGAGCTCAATTTCAGCTATCTGTATAGTCATCTAAATATTTACTTTACCAGCTGATAGAGCTCAATTTCAGCTATCTGTATAGTCATCTAAATATTTACTTTACCAGCTGATAGAGCTCAATTTCAGCTATCTGTATAGTCGTCTAAATATTTACTTTACCAGCTGATAGAGCTCAATTTCAGCTATCTGTATAGTCATCTAAATATTTACTTTACCAGCTGATAGAGCTCAATGTCAGCTATCTGTATAGTCATCTCAATATTTACTTTACCACCTGATAGAGCTCAAATTCAGCTGTCTACTTTTCATAATTGAAATCTGACTAGTTTGGATACAGATAAAGTGATTGTCTTCAATTATATTTCAACTTTTTTGTCTATAATTCCAAAATGATATTTAGTGGAAGAGAAAAATATGGCAGATTTCACAGTATTTTTAATGGTATAGCGTTCTCTAGAGAAGGAACAAGAAAAAGTGCTTCATCTTCCTTTTGATTTGTATTGACTCGTAATAAGGTGGGAACAGGTTTAATACGATGATCCGAGTTTGAATGAACGAGGGTTGGCAATAGTTGATATGGTTCGGTGAAGAAATGGGACGAAATAGAATAATGTACATGGTCGAAGGTGGGAGGTACAGTGAGTGAACGAATGTCGCGTTCTAACGTATCAGAACCAGTGAATGACTCTGTATCTTGAGAATCTGACGGTGATATACGTCCACCTTCATCCCACGCTTTGTGAACCTCGGCTTGAAAGACTGTTTGAGAACTGTTAATGCTATTAGGATATACTGTAGGCATTGATTTGCTTTTGGAACGAGACGTGTTTGATTCAACATCATCGTCAGTATTTTTGACTGTTCTTTTCAACCCTGGGCATTTATACTCTCCGTCATTGTGTGTCTCCTGACCACAAAACACACAGATACCACTGTTATAATGATCGCTTCCCGGCATAAGTTCGTAACTTTTTGATATGTTCACTTGCGTTGTTGATATCTGCCCTGTAAGTTGACTGCTGAGTGAAGAGGGGAGAGAATTCTGTCGACTGTAAGGAAGATTTGATGTGGTTTGATCTTTCGAAATTCTTGGCAATGTGTGAACTTCAATCAATGCATCAACTTTTGATGAGTTGTGTAAATTTCTTGAGTCGTTTTTATTGTAGTTACTAAGTAGTGGTTGTTCTAGGGAATTTTTGCGATAATGTCTAGCTTTGGCTTTCACAATATTTGGTGGGTTCATCTGTTCCAGTCGATCATCGACCCAATTAGGATTTTTACGGAAATATTCCCGCGCTTGTTCGATTGCGACGAATAACTCTGTACCCACTTCACTATTTTGAAAATTTTTATCAGTTACCCCTGGATAAGAATCTTCAGATTTTGATGAGTTATCGTCAACATGAACGCCGTGAATATAGTGGTATAGTTTGTTAATGTCCTTCATCAGACAAAACCTTGCTCCAGCCTCTAATTGAGGGGGAATATCACTAGATGTAGAGTAATCCATGAAAACTGTCACAAACTTCGACAAAGATTGATCCTTGCTTCGTTCAACCCGCATTTTTTCACCGACGTAATCGACGGCTACTGCAAAATAATCAGACAATGTGCGATCACTGGATGCTTTGAATCGATTCCGCTTCTTTGAACATCTCAACCGAGCACCGATACTACACAGAACCATAATGATATCAGCTTCCTGTAAGCGTTCAACAAGCCACGTATCCAGGCCGCGATGGTGGATTATCTGCTCCTCAAATAGATCGAAGAAGACATTGCAATCGCAGCTCTCGATAAGATATCCAGCCAATGACTGAGCAACCTTCTCGTGTACAGGACAATCATCAGAGTAGAGGAGTAGTACATTTGGTAGCTGTTTTTGACTGATATCTAAAAAATAAATACAGATATTAAGAAGAAAAATTCCAAAATTATTTTGCCTCATCTTTTCTGACATTCATCAGGAAAAATAACCCTACCAAATCTCATAGAAATATTCCTCACATTTTTGCACATAATCATGAAAATTGAAGTTCAAAAGAAATAAACACAATATAAATTAAAAATTCTGTTCGGTACTCACTCTCTTGTGAGGGCATCTTAAGTGTATTAAGTTAAGATGGAGAATTATGTAAATATCATAGGAAGTTGGATATACCCTTTAGTTGTAGCATTGTGGCGTAGCCCTACCATAGAGAAATTATTTTCATACCTATTGAGACAGATCTAATGTTGTTGGCCCTCCTTCTTCTTTCTACTCATTAAAAACAAAACAAAATATATTTTATCATAAAAAGTAACAGATACAGGGCAAGTCCAAATTATTTAGATTCAAAAAGTTTCTTGTCTACCAGCTCGTCCTTGCCCAATCCATCAGATTTTACAGCTGGGTAGTTTAGATTGAGCTGACTTATTCAAGGTTACCAAGAATATGACATCAACATTTCAACACTCTAACAGATTGGACTACAGTTTAAAAATTCTACAAACCTAGCTCATCTATCTGTTGTTTCTTCCATAATCTATATAGCAGTAGTATTAAAGCTATGATACCAACAAGGGCAATAACTCCAACCACAGTTCCCAGAATTATCTTCAAAGCTTGTTGGTATTCTTCAGGCTCCTGGGAGGCCTCGATTATTGGACCACCTAAGACAAATAAACATAAATAGGTCTGAATTAAGAACACTGTTGATTTGGCTGTATGTACCAGTCGTGTCTGACTAAAGCTCAAGACAGTTGATTTGGCAGTATTTACCAGTCATATCCAACTAGAGCTCAACACTGTTGATTTGGCTAGACCACTAGACCACTAGACCACTAGATTGTTGATTTGGCTGTATTACCAGTTATGTCTTACTAGACCACTAGACTGTTGATTTGACTGTATTTACCAGTCATGTCTGACTAGAGCTCTAAGACTGTTGATTTGGCTGTATTTACCAGTCATGTCTAACTAGAGCTCTAGACTGTTGATTTGGCTGTATTACCAGTTATGTCTGACTAGAACTCTAGACTGTTGATTTGGCTGTATTACCAGTTATGTCTGACTAGACCACTAGACTGTTCATTTGACTGTATTTACCAGTCATGCCTGTTGATTGCACTGTAATTGCATCTCATGTCTTAATCGAAAAAACAGATAAATCAAAATTTGGGGGAATTTTCTTTTTCAGAATATAAAAAAACTGACCTATTTTTCTCCTGTTAGGTTGATCCACGTCTACCTCCTTCTCTACAAGATAAAATATCATTTATAAAAAATCTGGAATATTAATGTTTAAATTTTAATGTCTGTTCCCAAATCTAAAAGAACTCAAGTTGATTTCATCAGTTAGTTAGCAATACAGTATGAGTAACACGATGCAAACATATGTTAAGTATGGTACCAAGCCTTTCTGCTAACAATGTCATCTTCAAATGAAACGGTATATCAGTTTGGTCTTCCTTTGGTCCTCTCTGAAGTATTATTTCAAATTGGTCTATCATCAGTTATCTTCTTTTGCTGTAAGCTTCTTGTTGTCTCGTTTATTTACCTGCCACTGCTGACATGTTTCGCCAACTCATTCAAATTGTTAATTTGAAACTTCCACCATCTTGTTAAGATAATTTCTTTGTTGATTTCAGAAGTTTATGATCTACAACCAAAAATATATCATGAATGAGTTAATAAATCTTTGAAGGGCTGACAATAATGACATGGATAATGTGTGTAGTCCGATGGAAAATAAACCCAGGCCTTGAGTACAGAAGAGAATGTAAACCTCCATTTATTTCATTGATACATTTGGGTGTCCACTTCAAACTGGGAACACCTTCTTGTTCATGTTGAATGAATTGTCCCTTATTGGCCAGAACCAGGCTGTTTCTTAGCACCACTGCCTTCGCTCTACCCATCCCCTTCTTTTTGGCCTTTCCTTTTTATTCCTGAGTGAAACTTTAATTAAACTTTGATGCTCTGGTATTGGGTGTATAGAAGACACTCTTCCATAAAAGCACTGGCCATGGCCAGTGGCCATGAAAAGAAAAGTAGAGCACAGCAGAAGAAAAATTGTCAAAACTACGTCCATCCTTAGCCAGAAAAACAACAACTTTGTCAAAAAGGGGAAGTGAAAAGGTTTTCAATTTCAGGCGGAACGGTGAGCTTCTTCAATTCACTAACAAATAAGTCAGTTTTTAAATTAAAAGAAGATCTGTTGATTTGAGTAAACAGAATTAACCTTGAACGGTTTCTTATTTTATTTTTCTTCATTGTTTTTCTTCTTCGACTTGTTTTCTTTTAATCTACTTCCGGTCAGTAGAGCCACCTAGTGGAAATAGGTTAAAGGATAACTCTTTCTTATAAATCAGACCATAATGGTTAACCTTTTTATTTAAGTTCTCTTATGCATTTAAGCATTTCTTTTCAAAAATGAAATGCAATAAAATGGTTGAGACATTTTAAAAAATCATTTCATAACCATTTAGAAAATAAAATTTGACTTTACAATTTAAATATTTCGTTTTCTTAACACAAATTATGTAATCATTAAATTTTCAGGTAGCAAGTAGTTTTTCGGAAAGAGAACCTCAATATTTTTCAAGATATTTAGTTTTTATGTCGAGAAAATGTTGTCGATCTATTTGCACAATGTCCCTTATTGACTGGTCTATTTACCAATGTAATTTTCAAGCTGATCGTCTCATGTTCATTGAAAAACAAACAATGAATTGCATAAGCGTAGCATTGTTTTTGTTGCGCTAAAATTTTGGATTGATAATTAAACCAAAAACGATTATATGACCTTGTTTAAACGTAAAAAAATATAACATTTGAATTTTTCAAAATTAAAATGATCAAGGCATTGGAGTGGGTGTATTGGCTGTCTTCTTATGACTAAATTTTCCATCATTCCACACTGCAGAACTTTGTTAGCCTTTACTCTCCAGAGTCCTATAATCCTACAAGATATTAGAAGACAGTAGGGTGTAAAACTCCATTATTTCAGCAAAAAATATATCTCTGTACATTTGTATACGATTAAAAGCATATATATGACTAGTCCACTTTATTTTTAGTGTGGAATGATTAGAAACTGTTTCAACCAACCTAAATTTGTGTTCATCACTACTTAAACTACCTAAGAATAATGTAGACCCTTCGAATTTTTGTTTTGAATCTTTCCTAGATGTAAACAAAAATGTGTGCTGGATAATTTAGAATATTATGACAAGGGAGATAATTGATTGACAGCTAATTAGAGATAATGAGAGATAATTGTCTGTAATTTTAGGAAGATTGTTTTGGTATTAAAGATTGTGACCTCCACTCTCTCAGTATTAACTTGCCTATAGAAATGGTTCGCTCTGCGTGAAAACTTTGACCAAAGAAATATGGCCTCTCCATGTAGAAGGTACAGTAGATATTTTTTTTTTATTAAAATTCATATACAAGATAGTTTTCTAAAAAGAAATTAATTATCTTCAAATTCATTTTACGAGCTCCTATTTGTAGTTGTGTTCAGAAAGTGAGAAAATCTATTTACAAATGTCCTGCAGGCAAAAATCAGTGCCTGTCACTTTGGATCTCCAATGAGACATAACTGGCAAACATGATCAATCAATAGCCCTTCAAATTCTTGAATCAAAATAGGATTTTAAATGATGATGATGTATTAAGGATTTAAAAAAATGTTTTTGAAAGAGGAATATGGAAGGGAATTTTGACTATTATTCCAGGACTGGTTTAGGATATGATGAAACCCTGGCCAAACATTACAGCTTATGGAATCCTGATTTTACAGAACAGCCTGACAGAATCCTGGAACCATATGATCGGTGCCAGTTATACAATCTAATAGAAAGATGTCAACCTATTCAGGTGTGTATTTGTCGTGATTTTTCCAGAATTTATCCTTGATATGACAAAGGAAGCTATTTTAAATCTAGCTGTTGGTAGAGCAAATATTATCAGGGTATGCTTATTCTTCTAGACACCTGATAACACTTTTCATTATGAAATACTTACTACATTATGATTGATATACTTCCTCATGTGAAAAGTTCATTAGTTGCTACCAATATTTCGCCAATATGTTGTTTTGGATTTCTGGTTTTGTTTTGCAGTTCGGATCATTAGTACTTGGTTTATTTATCCTTATGTACACTAGGTTTATATTTTTGTAATTGTAGCATCGTATAGCAAGCCAAGAAGACATGGAACTATTACACACAAAGGAACACATAGAAATATTAAAATCTTCAGAAACAATGAATGAAGAAGAACTGAAACAATTATCAACTAAATATGATTATATATATTTTCATAATGTAAGTTGGAGTTTGGATTTTGTATTTTGACACTAATGTTTTATATTATAATACCATTTTTTGGCAACAAACTTAACTATTTATATGATGTAAGTTAAAGTTTCATGTATTTTGCCACAACATAGTTTAAGATTCCTAACCCAGGCCGATGCTTTTATGTGAATTTTTATCTAATATGACTTTTACACAATTTTATGGCAGTGGAATAGCTTAGTCGATAGCGAGTCTGCTAGGTGATTAGGTATTATGGGTTAAAATCTTCCTCTTCCTCTTCTGGTAAAAATTCTGATACCTGTGCCAGTGCTTGCAGTGTTGGCTTTCACCCCGTAATACCAGTTTTCAGGAAGATTATGTTGTTATATTTATGAACACATTTTCTAACCATTTTGAAAAGAAATGTCTTACTGATATCTTGTTATTTTTCAGGATTCATATGCAAATGCTCGTCTTGCCTTAGGTATTTGTTTACAGTTGATAGATGATATTTTTCACAATAAGGTACATAATTTTTCAAATTCATGCTGTCAATTTTGGAAAAAGCATTTTAAAACGAAATCACATTTCTACCTAAATTTAGAGGGAGACCTCAATTGGATGATTTCCAGAAAAAGATTGGAATTGCTATAATTAGACCCCCTACCATGTTTCCCTCCCCTTCCACCTAAAATCAGATTGAGAATAGCTCAGTAGGTAGCGAGTTGGATTGTCATCTACTAGCTATTATGTGCCATGGGTTCGAATCCTCCTCAAGATGAGAAAAATTCTGATGCCTGTGCCAGTACTTCCAAGAGTCGACTAATGCTAATTTCTGATGAATTATTTTCAGATTGAGAATGGATTTGCTATAATAAGACCACCAGGTCATCATGCATCTAGAGAAGAATTTAATGGCTACTGTTATTTAAACAATGCTGCTATCACCGCTCACCATGCTCTTAATAATTACGGCTTAAAAAGGTACTTTGATGGATTTTTTATTAGCCAGCCAGGGTCTTCCTCATTGAATTTGATTCTGCTTGTTAAAATTCTATAATTGAAAGTTAACATTGTAGCATACTGAAGTGTTTACCTTTAAATTATTATTCTTTATTATTGTCATGTGACCTATTGTGATAATATCAACCAATCAGATTATTTAATAAAGCTTAAGTGCAGTACCTACAAAATGGTGTCCTCCATAACACAACTGTCACAAACATCCCTTTGAAAACGTATCTGGTTGGTTGGTTGGCAGAAGACAAGTTAACATCCGTATCCAGCTAACTGATATCACAGACTAGGTAGTTGTTGGTAGACTACAAGTTAATGTTTCTATTAAGCTATCTGTCCTGATGAAAATTGTGTATCTGAAACGTGTGAGCAGCATAAGATGAGCTCTAATAGAGAACGGCAGACATATTTCAATGGTCATATATCGTAAAATGATGGTGTCAAGACTGCCTAACTTATTCTCGGTGACTTTTTTTGATGGTCTGGACTCCCTTGAAAGATTTCAGACCCTTTAAATAGGATACTAGGGATAGAGTATATATAGAGTATGAATTGTAGATGATTATACCTGGTATAGGATTCTAATTGTAGATTGGGATGTTCATCATGGTCAGGGGATACAACGAGCTTTTTATAATGACCCAAGGTGAGTACATACCCTATATTTAGTTTTATTTAGCGAAAGTAAGCATTGAGCAAAACCGAGGCCCCGCATGACTTTGCCTGTCTTCATTAGCCCAATTAGGTGCAGAAAAGTAGGCTGTAAAACTCTTTTCTTTTCATTTCATTTGATTGAAAGCCTCCAAGATCTTTGACTTGCTAATATTTGTGATTTAAAGAATTAAAGTGATTTGCCTGTCTAATTTCAGAGTAATATATTTTTCGATACATCGTTATGAATATGGTAAAGAATGGCCGAATCTCCGCGAGTCAGACTATGATTATATCGGAGAAGGTGAAGGTCAAGGTTATAATATAAATGTCCCCCTCAATGAGGTAAGCTTGGCCTGTAGACATCACACATAAGTGATACAGTCATCTAAATATTTACTTTACCAGCTGACAGAGCTCAATTTCAGCTATTCATAGTACTTTTCCAAATACAAATTCAATATTCAGTTCTCCTTTGGCACTTCAAGAGCTATTCATATCCACTTTATAGAAATTTGACATCCAGTTCTGCTACAATTCAATAAAAACCAACAGCAACATTCACAGAATAATAGTCAGTTATAACGACAATGTTATCAGTGATTACAATGCTCTAAAAGTAACAAGATCTCATGATTTTGTTTTGTATTTTTTGTTATAGGCTGGTTGTACCAACAGTGATTATTTATTTATATTTTTTAATGTTTTACTCCCCATTGCCTATCAGGTAACTTTTTTTTAAATCTCTTGATTTCTTTTGTTTTCCTGTTTATGGTACTTGCTTATAGCTCAGTTAGTAAACCAGTTTATTGCCAGAAAAATGTCTACAATGTGAAAACTATGTATTAAGTTATCCAAATTAGATTTTCTCCTGTAAGACTTTAGCTTCAAAAGACGAAAAAGGCCATGCTTACTTAATACAACTGGATTAGATCAGTCTCCACATTCTTGATAATATAATACTCAGAATTTGTTTTATTTTAAAGTACTCCAGTAAATGAAATGAAATGAAATGAATGGAGTTTTACATCCTAAAAGATCTCCAGTAAACTAAGTTTCTCCCATGAAAGAGTAACTGTATCTTTGTTTATTTTTTAGTTTGATCCAGAGTTAATAATAGTCTCAGCTGGTTATGATTGTGCTTTAGGTTGTCCAGAGGTACATTATCTTTCCTCCCTCAGACTCCCTAACTTGAAGGTCTGGGTATCCCACTTGCTTTCCTCCTTTCAGAGAAACTAACATGGTAAAAGCGTCTAGTTGTTTGTTGCAACAGACTGTGTGCATTAAAAATCCTTGGACAGTTGGAAATCGGAATTAAAGTAGGCTAATGTAGCCATCAATTTCCCTCATTGCACACTGCATGGCGACATAGCTTTTATTCCTTGGGCTGAAATCAGGCTATTCCAAATTTCAAGATAGAACATTTGAATTTCTGCTTTGTTTATTATTTCAGGGTGAAATGGAACTTACACCTCTGTTTTTTTCGCATCTAATTAATTTATTATCCCCATTGGCTGCTGGTAAAATGGCTTTATTATTAGAGGTAGGTCTAACTTAATTATGCGCATAAATTATACAATATTATATAATGGATTTAGTGTTGGAAGAAGGGCTTACTTAATTTATACACATAAATTATAATGGATTTATGGTTTTTTAATTTATATTTAGTGTCTGAAAAGTGCAGACTTTTTCTTTTTCCGGCAAAAAAATATGCCGCTTGTAACTGTTTTCAACCATTTGTTTTATAGGGAGGTTACTGTATCAACTCACTATCAGAAAGTGTAGCAATATCTATTAAGACTCTACTAGGTGATGTCTGTCCCTCTTTACCCCAGCTTTTACCTCCTAAAGAAAGGTAAGCACCATCAACTGTTCGGCCTGGATTGAAATTTGTTATTTTGACCATATTATTATGACTAATTTTCCAGTGATCAAAATCTCCTGTGAATAATAAGTTATCTATGATATAGTATGACATTACATCAGAAGGGTTGGCATCACTAGCAAGCTAAAACTGCTTAAAACATTTAAAAAAGTTACAGATCAGACAACAAGGCCATATTTTGAGCAGATTGTCGTCTGATTCTAACAATGATATTTTCAGTGTTGTAGAAAGTGTATTGAATGTTATAAAAGTATTACGACCGTTCTGGAGCTGCCTGAGGTACCAAAGATTACTGGAACCATGTCAAAGAGCTAGAACTCATCACTTGTCCAGACTTCCCTCTGAGTAAGTATTGTTTATCAACAGGCAAAGGTTGAGATGATATCTTCTGATATTTCAATCCAGTGATGCAGGCTGGATTGATTGAGATGGAAAAAGTGTCTAATTGTTTGGATGGGACAATAAATCAAGCCCATTATACTACAGGCTGTATACATTGAAGATCCCTCAAAAATTTTTGAAATTTTGCATGAAATTGTTGGCCTTTTAGTCCAAACATGGTGCAATTATTTCTTTGATTTGTTTTTATACACCCACATCTCTCTATGTGGACATATATTGTCGGCACCTCTGTCAGTCCGTCGGCCCGTCCGTCAACATTTGCTTGTAAACGCACTAAAAACTAGATTTTTTGATGGAATCAAATGAAATTCGGTATGAGTATACATATTCATGAAACGAAGATCAAGTTCGAATTTGAGCTATTTTCGACCGTTAGAAGCAGAGTAGTTTCCCTTGCCCCAAAATCTTGAATATGCTATTACTCTCTTAGTTATCAACCGATTTTGATGAAACTTAAATTGGATGTTTCGTTTTTACCATCCGCATGCCGTGGTGGGCGTATATGGCTGTGGTCCACTATATTTAGATCTAACAGTAATCATGAAGTTGAAGAAGATGAATATCCTCTAATACAAGATTGTTATGATAAAGACCCTGATACAGAAATAAAGATTAATCAACTGGAGGCTAAATTAGAAAATATTATTAAAACTACAACATTACGAACAACACAACATAAGTAAGACTTTTTCTTAGATCATATATCTCAAAATTACAAAGAAAACCAGGTTTTTTTTATTCAATTTTAGGCTTGCAAATATTTTTATCAATATAAAGACAATTTATGAGTATCTTTTCAGTATATATAGAATTGTCAGTAAAATTTGATTAAACAAAAGAGTTCAAATGCAATCTTTCTTTTATCTTTTAGACTTGGAATTCTGTCATATTTTGAAGAAGATTGTTCGTCCAGGTATGTAAGGATAGAGTTATTTTGATGGTTTGATAGGCAACAATAATAAAAGGAGAATTTGTCTGTTAGGGGCCACGTTTTTGTTTTGTAGAAATTTATTTATTAAATCTAAGAATTTTTAATGTTTTATGAAATATTATTTTGTAGTTGTGAGTGTAAGAGCAGTATAGAAAGTGTTCTCCAGAAATACGATCATAAACAGAGATCACTGTATATACAGGTTGGTGTTTAATAATACATAGTTAGACTAATTATTACAAGAATTTTTCTTTTCTTGAGGTGGATTTGAACCCAAGGCACCTAATCACCTAGCAGACAACAATCCAACTCACTACCAACTGAGCTATTTCACTGGTATTTTTAGCTATATGTAAATACATTATCAAACCACCATGTTTGTACATAATTCAATTCTTTTCCTATGCCATGACTCATTAGAATTTTAGTGGAGGTTTAACATTTTCCATAATAGTCTATCTTAGATTTGGTGTAGTGTTAGAAAATTCAATTGGTTTATATTTTTAGGGAGATATTAAGAATATAAAGGATGATGTCATCCAACTGGTGGATAAAACTCTACAAAATGAGGTTGGTGTCCATTTTCTTCAATTTGTTTCGTATTTTTATGACTTTTTGCCTATTGACAGAAAAGGAAAACATTTGAAATGAAATGAAATGAATGGAGTTTACGTCCTACTTTTCTGCACCAAGGAAAACATATGAGTGAATATATCAAATTTGGTATAATGTGAACAAGCGAATTAATTTTCTTCTAATTTCAGATCCAGTCTGCCCTTGCACTCCTCAGGTAATTTTTTTTTTACCTTTTTCACAAGCATTTGGCTCACCTTGTGCATTTTGATTCTTGGTTTTTCCATTCTTGAATTTCCATGCCAAATTTTTAATTTTCAGTCATGCCATTCAAATACAAAGAAAAAATTTTGTGTCTTTTTGATCAAAAAGTCTACAGTTGTATGTGTAGTACAATTTAATGATACCAAAAACACCCAAAACTTTCCCCATTTAAGTCTTATCCTAAATTTGTGTTTTGTTTCGACTTTTCAGTATTTCAAATGAAACCAAAACAGCCGATATCCAAAATCTTGTATCCATGGTAACAACTTACTCCAGAACACAGCATAATATTAATAGGTATGATAATTCTACTGTATCACAGTTTATTGAAAGAGTTTCATTCTATGATTGGTTGAGCCTTTTGCAGAGTGATTGAGTTTTCTGAACTTTGTTTCCTCATCAGAAAATTTTTTTATCAATTTTATTGATTTTTTTTTTTCAGAATACTGATCATAAATTTTAATGCTCAATTTGAAGGTGAAATTGGTGACAAGTAAGTTATAAAAATCATATTATCATTGTGTTTTGGATATAAAATCCTCAGCAGGACAGCTAATTGACAACTTTGCAATACCAAGATAAGATATGAGCAAATTAAGCTACCCCATTGGACAGGAGTCAGAAATCATCAATGAGGAAAATCTACAGTGCTAAAACTCTCGGCTCTTGACTATTGACTAGAGCTCATGTCATGCATCGAACACGTTTCAAATACACAAGCTTCATCAGGACAGCTAGTTTTAGAAGACTTTGGCAAAGACACTCTGTACAAAGACACATGACTACTGTTTCAGATATACAATCCTCATCAGGACAGCTATGGAAATGCTACTAAATGTTCTTGACTTTAGACAAGTTTATCAAGTAGACACTCTCTTTGATCAGGAGCCAGAAATCAAGAACTGGAATATTCCATGTTACCTTGTTTCCATTTGTTTTACAGTACATTATGTTTCAACATATCAACTAGTGATAAAAATGGCGGGGAGGATTCAGCCAGACGGAATTCTTCGTGTATTAATATTGTCTTTAATAAGGTTCGTTTCAAAATTCAGTGTCTTTAGAATATTCATATTTTTGCAAACCCCTTAATTCAAATCTTAATTTTTTGTGATTAAGAATCTATTTTCAAAAGAGACAAGAAAAGAAAAAAGACGTCTATTAACTACCTATAAGATTTAAAAGTTTTAAGATACAAAATTTGAAGTGTTATATATATGAGCCCGTTTTTGGGTTTCAACCCCCCCCCCCCCCCATCATAATATATTGTTTTATTGTTGTTACAGTCAACACTAGTGAATTGTGATTTAATAGCAGCTTTTTACCAAATAATATTACCCATATCTTATCAGGTATTTATCTTCTTTCAATCTCTCTTATAAAAACCACAGTTACATTAGTTTCTTAATAGCATATTCACAGATAGAAACAACGAAATAACTATATTTTACAAAGATAACACAGGTTCACAGTTAAGAATCTTTTCTACCAGCTGGTCCCTGCCTAAACTTCTTGGCATTGATCTTTGCTGGATTATCTGTACCCATTTACAGCTGGGTGAACTGGAATTATGAGTGAAGCTGACTTATTCAAGGTAATAATTGCATCCTAAAATATCTACTTTCAGTTCCAACCTGACATAGTTTTGATATCAGCTGAGTTCAGTCATTTTCTTCGGGTATGTTAACTTATTTTTAATCTTACGCCTTTTACACCAGGGGTTTTCAACCTTTCTATTACCCCTTGCAGGATCTTTGATCAATTGCATTACCCCCTACTATCCTGATGAGGATTGTGTATCAGAGACAGCATGAGATGAGCTCTAGTTTATTTGGTAACATTTAATCCTATTTTGGAAAGTTAATCCCTTTTTCTTAAGTTAGTTGTCCTGATGAGGTTTGTATGTTTGAAACTTGTGTCAGCAGTCAATTAGCTAATTTGATAATTTAATCCTATATTGGAAAGTTATTCCCCTTTTCTGTCCTGATGAGGATTGTGTATCAGAAACATTTGTTGACAATATGAGATGAAATCTAGTCAATTGAAGTAATGATGCTGTTTTTATTGCAGACGTCAGTAACCTCAGCATGTTGGGGTACCATAATACAATTATTACGTGGTCTCGCTGATGGTCAACTACTCTTACTTATAAAGGTAAAATATTTATTATTTCTTCGCTAGCCCTATGTTGTATTTGTCACTTCTCTCCTGTAGGAAACCATGGAGACAAAAATATCAGGAAAAAAAAATTGTATTCGATTGAGATTGCCGATAACCATACTAATGCTACGTTCGATACCTCTCGTGATCACCGTTGCAGGGTTAATGTTGTGAATTTCCGTTCGATAGTAGGTTTTTCTTGTATTTACTACTTTAGGAAGTCGTGAATATAGAGAAAATTTACGACACCCATTTTCACAATTTCTACGGCCTTCACCTTGACCTCATGGAAAAATGGCTAACATTATTTCGTCGTCCATCTTTAGTTACAAAGTCGTGAATATCGTCCGAACAGTCTTCAGTTTTGCGCACAATTTTCAGACTTCGAGAAAGTCGTAAACACTATTTTCACGAGTGGTATTGAACGTAGCATAAATTGATTTATATTTTGTCTCTAGGATGATTTAAAACAAGATGAAATACAAGATTGTATCAACCATTGTTTATGTGTTTTATTGGATGATGTTTGTCCTTCACTGGGATCCCTCACACCTTCTCAAAGGTACGTTTTTTTTTAGAATTAACAACCCTCGCGTAGATCCTGTCTACCAGTTGGTCCTTGGCCAAACCTCTTCAATGATCTTTTCCAGGTTAACAAAAATTTCTGACTGTTTTAAATTATTTATTTTATAGTGGAGTAGAAACTATCTGTAATGTCGTAGATCACCTGACGGAAGACTGGAAATTTTTACAGTATCGAGGTAAGTTTATCAACTGATCAAAATGGCCTCCAATATTTTAAAATCTTATCTGAAAGGTTTGGTGATAGCTTTTATTTTTCATATGGGTTCCCCCTGTCAGTGATGCAGGTCGGAAGGGCTGGCACAGAAAAAGCGTCTAGTCGTTCGGATGGAACAACCGAGGCCATGTGTGCTGTAGTAACTTTTTTGTGATATTTTTCCAGAGGCTATACCAGATATCAAGATAGAAGATTTAGAACGCACAGCACGAGGACAAAAAAACAAGGAAAGAGATAAACAAACTTCAACCTGATTTAAACAACTTGAAATCTCAATTAATTTTACACAGTCTAGTGTTCAACATGCTGACCCAATTCTATATTTATAGCTTAGGACCAACTTTACAATTAATTTTCAAATAGTTTGGATTGTAAAGAGGTTTTCTAAAAAAAACATTTATGTGTATCAGGGACTCTGATACATCCATAATTTACACCATTCAAATTTTCCATTAGACGCCAGCTTCTTGAAATTTCCACAAAAAGAAAACGTTTTCTGATGTCACTTTTGCAAAAGTTTCTTTGGTTTTTATCGATAGTGACGTCATCACACACTTATTGGAATAGCAAGAACCACAGACGTCAGAATGAAAATTGGAATGGTGCAAATTGATGCTATCATTGTCCCCTATACATCTTTCAGACAATCTTCTGACAAACTCTTTAAGTCTGTTTTACAAGCTGTGCATATTCAGAATATATTTGATGTCGCTTGCTCCAATTTTTTGGTTGGATCAAATAGTTTTAGATTTTTAGTGAGTTACTAGTGTGATTATTCTAAGGTTGATTATTATTATTATTATTATTATTATAGTATTTTGTTGTTATTTTTCTCCAAAGAGTGCTTCAAGACATGTTTATGGGCGGAGTTCAGAAAGAATTAATTAATCGACAGATATGATTCGTTTGTTTTTGAATCCTACGCGGATGGACATAAATATATGTACTCATTTTATTTTTATACGCCCACATGAAATGGCGGCGTATATTGCCGTCACCCATATCCGTCGGTCCGTCCGTCCACAATTGCTCGTAAACACTCTACAAGACACAATTCTTGACGGATTTTGACAAAACTTGGTATGAGTGTTCGTAATCACCCAAGGATGAACCCTATTGAAAATCAGAAGAATTGAAAAATATTTAGTATGAGTTACTGCCCTTGTTCTTGAAAACGCTTTTAAATTTAGCTCTTCAACACTAAAAGGCATGATTCTTGCTGGATTTTGACAATACTTGGTTTTATTATTCAGTCCCGCGCTGAAGATTGAATATTTGCCTTCTAGAGTGTTCACGAGCTAAAAATTGAACACGTTTTCAAGAACAAGGGAAATAACTCATACTCAATATTATTCAGTATCGCCCTAAAGAGTTCAAAATAAGTGTATGACTGAAGATATTTTTATTCAAAATCAAAGCTGCCAGTGGGCGTATATTACCTTGCCTGGCAAGCTATCTTAAGATTTTTTATATGTTATGTTTAGAAAATATTATTAGCATGTTTAGTGAAATTAGGTTTCAGTGTATATTGTTGATGTTGGGGCTGCTTGATTGGTGAGATCTGCACGTTCGGGATTCATGGAATCAACAGAATGTTCAATAAAACAAGATGGATAAGAGTTCAGAATGCGATCCACGTGTATGGATAAAATAGTAGGTGCAAACAGAATTCAAAATGGCGGAGATTTTGAATGTGACATATCTGCTTCCATATCGTTCGAAATAGGGCAGAATTGGAACAGACGTACCGAAATAATAGTAGATGCAGACAGAATTCAAAATGGCGGGAAAAGGAAATAGTTTAGAAAATTTTGAATGTGACATATCGATTGAGGGCAGAATTGGAAATGACGGAACCTGTTTAGATCTCTCCAATCGAGGGCGCCACCGTTAAATCAACAGACGATAAACGAAAAAATATATCTAGAGCTGTATTTTAATCATATTTTCAATATTTCCAATTCTCAAACCATGTTCCAATGTTCAGTATTTCTTTATTTTCTTGCTTGTTCCATTTGCTTTTTAATTTATATATTTTGATGTTAGTTTTTATGGTTGTCTAATGTTTTGCTTTGACAAATTATTAGTAATGAGTTAAGCTCACACTCTTAATGATACCTCCCAAGTTGAAATTTTCCCTCATTGCACAATTCATAGCGTTGGCTGTATCTGTTTTCTTTTTATCCAATCAGATATAGAAGAGTAGGAATGGTAAACTCCCTCTTTAAATACCTCAATAGGTGAATATCTTAGGCACTTATCACTTGTCTTGAGAATTTATCCTCATTGTACACTGCATGGCATTATCTAACATTATTTTTTATAGCTCAAATCACACGTGGAAAAAAAAGAAGAAAAATACTCCCATTTCATTGTATTTTTAACTTGATTTATTCATGAAATAACTCTTTAGAGAGATTAAAGAATGTCACCGTTTTGACAAAATTTCCCTCATTGCACACTGCATGGTGTCTGTTTACAGTTAATTATATTCAGGTAGACTTGTCAATTGGTATTCCACAGTATTTTTTAAATCCTATACACTCCAAGGTATTATAGCTTTTTATTTATTTCATTCTATCTTACACTATTATTCTATTGTAAAAAATATCAGATTAAACACTTTTTAAAATCCATTATGTTTGTCAGATTCCATGATAGTTTGGAATTTTCCCTCTTAGCACACTGCATGATGTAGCTTGTCTTCTGTCCAATCTATAGCAGAAAGATTCGAACATAAATCTCCATTTCATTTTATTATGACAGTTGGAAAATTTCAAACTCCCCAGTTTTACAAAATTCAACGTTTACAGCACCTTCCAAATTTCAATGTTTACAGCACCACCATTGTTATTTTAGTTATCGCACATTGATTTTCAGATCAGTATCAGGTAAGAGAATCATCCTGTACATCGTACAAGGCAAAGTCTGGTTTTTCACATCCTGTATAGCCACCGTTATCAATACAGTATTCTATAAACATTCTCCATTTTTCATCCTTAATATAAAAACAATGTAATTGAACAGTCTGAAAGGTGGGGTGGGGGGGAGGGGGGGTTGTTTGATGTGTGAAATTGACATGACAGTATGAAATTGACATGACAGTATGAAATTGGCATGACAGTATGAAATTGACATGACAGTATGAAATTGACATGACAGTATGAAATTGGCATGACAGTATCAAATTGGCATGACAGTATCAAATTGACATGACAGTATCAAATTGACATGAGGATGTACTAGGGTCTACATAATCTAGCTATTGATTTCCCAGTTGCCTACAGTTGCTCTCAGGTTCTGCCAGTCACAGAGTGGTTGGTTGGAATATTTTTTGTAGTAGAGGAATGGCTCAATCATTAGTGAGTTAGGTTGTCATCAGAAAGGCATTTAGGTGTCTGTGGGTTCAAATCCTGGTGACTTGGCCAGTGCTTTCAATAGTTGGCCCACTATCAGCTTAAAGCTTTCAACCTAAAGGGTCAAGATAAAAAAATCAAAGATGGCCACTCACCTGACACAGGACAAAAGGATTGCCAACAACAATCAGTGCAGCTTGAGCTCTAGTTATAGCGACATTAAATCTTTTAGGATTACTGAGAAACCCTAAAACATGGCGGATATCAAATCCTAATAATCTTTCATTGGAACGTACCTGTAGGTAGAGAATAGAACAGTAGAGGAGCATAGGTCATGTAGTAGAAAGAGCATATGTTAGAGACTTAGATAGTCCACATAGCTAATAATGTTTCTTTGTTATCCGAACTCTTGGATTTTGCAATTTCAAGGTTGTCAACTCCTCATTTTTTTTCGGAGAGTTCACATAGCTATCATAGTGTTTATTTGGTAATAAGGTTTGTCGTTTGACATTCCCTTAAGAGAGTCCACACAGCTAATAAATTTTCTATGATATTTTAATTTTTCGGCTCTGCATTTCCTTCCAGACAGTCCACTTAGCTTATGGTTTGTCAACTTAGCATCCTTTTCAGAGAGTCCACATATTTAATAACATTATGCTATACGAGTCAACTCGGCATTCCTTAGAGAGTCAACATAGCTAATATCAGAAGGAAAGATTAACTTACAGTAGAGATTATTATAACTTGTCTTTCTTGACCCTGGAACTCTTCAACTGACCCGACCTTGACCCTTTCAACACCCAGTTTCTCTATTAATAATCTTATTTTCTCTATCTGTACAATTATATACATAGGTTAACCCTTTTAAATGGATTGTAAAGAGGTTTTATAGATTTTGTATTTGTATCGGAGACATTGATAGTATCAATTTGCACCATTTCAGACATCTGTGGTTCCTGCCATTCCACTTAACTATGCATTTAATGACGTCACTTATCGCAAAGGTCCTTATCATTAGCAGCTTTTGAGTATAGTGACGTCATAAAACACAATTTGAAACTGTCAGGGATCTATAACGTGAACATAGGTAAATGGGAAATGGGTTTATAGAAACACTGGCCGAAATTTATCCACAAGAAACCTTACCTGTTTTCTATAAGGTGTGATAATACCAATGTCTTCTACTTGTAGATCAAGACTAGCATCCTTCAGTAGACCTTGTAGATACTGGACAACTTGGACTACCTCAGATGGGTTAAACCAGGATGGGCTGTTTCCTTCTCGCAAATCTTCTCCCTAGAAACACAGCTAATATTAATGATGGACAACTTAAATGGCATGACTACTTAAAACAGCTAAATCAAGACTAGATATCTAGTCAGACGTGATTGGTAAATACAGCCAAATCAACAGTCTAGAGCTCTAGTCAGACATGACTGATAGATACAACCAAATCAACAATCTAGTGGTCTAGTCAGACATGACTGGTAAATACATCCAAATCAACAGTCTAGAGCTCTAGTCAGACATGACTGATAGATACAACCAAATCAACAGTCTAGAACTCTAGTCAGACATGACTGGTAAATACAAGCAAGTCCAAATCCTTTTTTAAATCCACAAAGCATGACAGTGTATACTTACTCGAACACCGTGGAATATAACTGGGAAGCTTGGTGTAGGTAACATAGACCAGTTGATAGCTGTATGTGTTAATATTGGGTCAGCCATTACTTCTAGCTGATTAAAATAGAACAACTCGGACGGTAGTTTCAATATGGCTGCATGAGATCTATAATTCTCTTTCAACATCGTTACCTAAAACAGAGGCAGGAATTTTTAGGATTTTGTAGGACAAGGTCAAGGCTAAAGGAATAGAGCTGTGACAAAATTTGCTCTTTTAGCCTTCGAGCCAGCGAACAGGGGTCACACCTACTGACCTACTGTGGCTCCCCCTAGTTGCAATAACTACCTGAAAATGTTCAGCTATCTTATGAGCTTTCACTACTGACAAATGACTTAAAGAGCTCAAAGACCCCAATTCCTTATTTAATAGTTTATTTTCTTTACAATTCACATAAATTTTCCACATCTGCACAAGACTTATCAGATGCCGGGCCTCAATTCCTTACTTAATTGTTTATTTTCGGCGTCTGATTCACATAAAGCCCTGAACTACCTCAGATCTCACAAAAACTCATAATAACGAAAGAAAACACTCACCAATTCTGGATCAAAGCCACCAAATTCCTGGAAATCAGACTCGCTGTGTCTGTATAGAGATCTGTCGATCAGACGCTCCAGGAAAGATAACTCTAGTCCATATAACTTAGCATACCGAGACATTAACACAGGACCCAGCTGTTTTGGGTCTCCTGCCAGCACTGTCTGAAATGAAATGGAAATATAAAATGAAGGAAATTTTGTCAAGACAGTTGAACAGCTGACTCTTTTTAGCTATCAAAATGTCGACAGATTGAATTGAACAGACTGTAGGAGATGTGTCATTTAAACTAACAGATGCTTTTGGAAAGTTAACCTTCACACACAATGTCATCTCAAGATGAGCTCTTGTCAATTAGGATACAAAACTACTGTATCGAACATACCTGTCCGTCTGCTCCTGATACAAGTCCAAGCGGAATCAAACATTCTGGTTCTGTTGCTTGTCCTGCCTGAATTAAAAAAAAATATTTGACTATAACAGAGAAACTTGCCTGAATAATACAGAACTAAAACTTATCACATCTGACTTTTCAAACACAAATATGAAAATGTGAAGCATTTAGGCAAGGTGATTCTAGCCAAAATAACAAATATATTTACCAACCTCATCCACAAAAGCATGCGTAAAATGGCCGACCTTTAACCCAAGATTAACCAATGAGCCAGCAGTGTTACACGTACAGACGACAATTCTATAGCGGCAGATTATATTGATGTCTTCACCACGCGCACTGAACGGCAGGACTACTTCTGGTATAGACTGAAAAAGAAAACAGCGACATCTTAGCTGCATCCTGCATCAGCATTCTAGACTAGCGAATTAATGAATAAATGAAGATACTTTCAACCTATGCTGGGGTCTGATGAATGAATGATTGAACTTGAAGGCACTATTTGACTTTATGCTGAGATCCTATGTAATTTCAACTCCAGCAGCCTCAGAGGGTTTCATAGATGCAATATATTGGCCACCCAGCCATGTATGAGATTTTTAATTGGGAAAATATCTGAAGGTAATAGGCCTATCTCAATCTTTGTCAGAAATCAAGCCTCAAGAGGTAAATAAAGAAAAAAAGGAATGAAAAACATAATCTCAAGGCCTTGCAATAGCTCTCTCAAGGGAGACTACTCTTACTACATAAATGACATTTCAGACCACAATATTACATTTAAACATCATACCTCATCTTTTCTATGGAATGAATTAAGCCTGACCATATCACAAACTTTTACTTTACCACTGGCAAACAACCTCTCTACCTACAATAGAAACAAGTTAACTGATGATGGTGACTATTTCATTAACAGCAATAGTAGAAATTGATGCTATCAGTGTCCCTGATACACATAAATGTTGACAAGTTTTTCTTTTTCCTTTCTAGCTGTTAACAATATTAGAGCATTTGTGAAAGAGTTCTCCTAAAATGCTTAGTCTTAGTGGAATTTTTAGAAACACAGATGTAAAATTCAAGAAAGAATCTTTACAATCCCTTTAAGATGGTGGACCTACCAACAAGTCGGCAGCACTATTAGAGGGGGTACAGGCCACAATCCTACTAGAAGGAATCTGCAGCAATATCTGTAGTATAGATTCCACCACTGTGATGGTCTTCCCTGTACCTAGAAAAAAAAACATGATTGATTTAGATAATTTCAGACCTGGAACATTTCAAAAACAACATGTTTTCTACAAAGGTAACTGAATTAACAAATTAAATTTTGCTGCCTCTACATCACCTTCCATAAACACATTGTCCCAAAATACCTTTGTCTCTATGTCTTAAAATAAAGGTGTTACCAATATGCAAAAAATAATCAAGTTACCTACCAGGCGGTCCAAATATAATATACGGTAATGGCCGACATTGCCCTAAAACTATTTTTATAACGGCAAGTTTTTGACAATCGTTTAACTTTTCATTAATAAACTCAATCTGATCCTGGACGGCAAGATTCACATTTGGAAGATATTTTTTGACCTTCTCCGTTTTTTTCTGAACGCTTCCATTTGGAATGTAACTATCTTTTGATCCATCGCAAGAATCCAATAAATTTTTAACACGATCTGTATTAGCGTACTTAGTCGGTGAAATTCTTTTGTGTCCGTTAAATTGATTTTGTGAGTTCTTAAAAGTTGTTTTCACTGGAATTACGTCCATATGATTGGTTCTCCGTTCCATTCGAATCTGTGGTGTCTTAACTTTGATATTTACTGGAAATAATACTGAAAATAGACATCAGACTTTGGATTAATATTCAAAATTTCCGTCACCTTTTTGTTAGTCAAAAATCAAATTCTGTTATTGTCAGGGGCAATAACTCATCCAAGATATTTCAAGTTTCAATGCTATATAATGCTGCAGATATACTTACAATCTGGTCCAAGTTGTTTTACTGCTATTTTCAAGGCTTGGTGACATCTTCTTAAAGAGGTCCTGAAAGAGAATCACAAATTTCTCAGTCAAAATCTTATTCACCAATCAAATTTCAAACGAAACTGTAAATTACACTGGAGCTTGATTTTGACAAAGCCCTGGCCAATCAGCAAACTCAGAAGCCCAGTGTGCTACAGACTGTATGTTAATGATCCTTACACAGTTGGAAATCGAAAAAATGTAGGAAAATTCAATGTCCTGGCTAAATTTCCCTCATTGCACACAACACTCTTCCTAGCCTCAATTAGGTACGGTAAACATTGGTTTCAAAATAAGAAATATTTTACCTATTAAATGTAAACTCTACATTATAATCCTCACCATTATAACCAGAATGAAATTCATAACTAAATTTTAACCACACCTCATGATTTAACACCTAGATGAAGATAATTCAGTCTTAATTCAAAATATTAGAATCATTTCAAAGACTTTCAGGAGGAACTTATTCCCTTGGCTGTTCATTCCATTCAGCAATACAACTCAATGTATTGTATAGAATCTAGTGGTATTAAAGAGATTGTACAGAGGTTTTCTAAACTTTTTTATTGGGGACACTGATAGCATCAATATGCCCCATTCCAATTTACAATCAGACGTCTGTGGGTAATGCAATTCCACTAAAACTCATTCCATCTAGCAACACAACCCAATCCAATTTGATAAAGGTAAACGCTTAAACCAAAAGTAATATAAAAATATTACTAATCAAAATTGTCCATTAGACCTCCAAGGCCCCCTTTTGTATTGCTCGCTGGGCACCTAATGGGGTACCACTCCAGTCTAGGAACTAGGAGTCCACAATAAAAATTATCAAGATCCACATGCCTACCTCATGTACATACCCTTCATAACAGGGTGATTCTGGGTCACAGGGGTCCGAGAGTATAATTTTATCCCCCGTCAGGACTGAGGGCCGACCCTCGGCTAACCCTGGTACTTCTAGAGCTAAATATTCTCCTGTTTTACGTAAACATACCTACAAAACAAAATGATAAGAGTTCAGGGTATGTTGTCAAAACATGTTTCAGATATAAAATCCTAGGTTGAATTTCAATAACAAGAGCTTATCTCAGTATAAGTTCCCCTTTCCTAGTCATCATGCCTCATTATTCCAGTAGACCAATCCATGAAAAGGTTCTGAAAATCTGGGAAAGACCAGCTGGCAGACAGGATCCTGGTGAACCTAAGTTGCTATCCTTGTAAAATCATAACCAAGAGGTTTGGTCTAGGACTGTCTGGTAGACAGCATCCTTGTAAAGCTAAGTTGTTATCCTTGTAAAAATGGTCATTGGCAATATCCTACCTACCCGATGTAAATCAAACTCTCGAATGTCGATTTCATCTTGTATTTCTTCAAGATGGAGTAAAGCTGAGAATCTGTGTGTATAGTTGTCCATATCTAACTCCTAGTAAAACAGAATATTAACTTTAAGCTTAAGCTTTAGGCATTCTGAAGTCATAATAGCTTGTAATTTGTCTAATTGATGCTTAAAAGCTGGCTTAGACTAAAGCCATTAAATTAAGCACCCCAAAAGAGCAGTGAAGTAGCTCTCTGATAATTAAGTTAATGTTTTCCACATTATTTTTAGTGTCCATGGTTCTATTACTTCTAAAAAAATGAAATGAAATGAATTGAGTTTTACGTCCTACTTTTCTGCACCATGTGGGCTAATGAAAATGGCCAACGCCATGCAGGGTGCAATGAGGGAAATTTTGCCAAGACAGCGGCATTAGCCTGCTCTTTTTCGATTTCCAACTGTCGAGGGATCTTTAACGTGCACAGCCTGTAGCACACGGGGCCTCGGTTTATTGTCCCATCCGAACGACTAGACGCTTTTTCCATGTCAGCCCCTCGTACCTGCATCACTGACAGGGGGAAAGCGGGTTGAAAAATCCAAAGGTATTATCTCGACCTATGCCGGAATTGAACCCTGGACCTTCAGGTTAGTGAGCAAGCGTCTAATTCACTGAGCCACCGCGGCTCCTATTACTTCTAAAAACAATTGTTTAGAACCTTCATCAAAAGCCTGATAACTTTTGTGATCCTGCTCGAAAATGCAAAAAAATCAAACCTGAATCAATTCTGGAACTACAAATGTAATTTCTTCATTTTCAGTAACAGCATTTCTGAGTTGGTTTGGCACAGGATAATGTTCTAATCTTACAGGTAGTATTTTCTTTCCTCCTTTACTGAAAACAGAATGTATATAATACCAATATCAAATAAACATCATGGACTCTCTGAACGGACGCTGAGTTGATAAACCTTAATACCAAATAAATATTATTAGCTATGTGGACTCTAAACTGCTATGATCATTTACAAGAAAGGAAGTTTGGGAAATGTAGGCTACTTTCAACTGCAAATGCTGAAGAGAAGAAAAATACTAAAAGAAATATTACAAGCTGTGTGAACTCTCAAAGGACTAAATGACTTACAACTGTGGTCTCTGTCCTGGTATGATCCAATTATCAGTCTGATTCTGTGTGTTTATACTATTGTTAGATCTATTACTGAAAAATACAAAATAAGATTCAAACCTGCTGTCCCTTGTCAATCAACCAGGGGTTCTGTAGCACAGTCACTTAGAGTGCTGACATCTTTTCATGACATCATTTGCTTAGTTACGTCAAACAAATAGTGGTCTTGGATTCTAATCTCTGTCAGCGTGTAAAAGTCTGGTGAATCTCAGTAAATTGAAACGCTAATGGTGACATAGAAATTGTAACTAAAGCTTTCGAATTAGAACAAAATGCAAATTGTGAGTTTAATGTTGTAATTTATAAAAAATAGAATTTACCTCAGGCTTCGAGCACCTTTAGATCTGGGAACTACAGACACAGCTCTCCAGGAACACTTTCCCTGATCACTTTCAATAGCACTGACTTTTACTGGGTCCCATTTCTTAGGTTTAAACCCCCCAAGACAAACATTGGGAGTAAAATAAATGTCACCATTGATATAACCGTGGTCTGATTTAATAGCAGTTACCTCCCCTTCTATTGTGTTCATCCGTAGAGGCTCCACATCTTCGGCTTGTAAAGATCCATCATCGAATGTTCGAACGACAGCACGTACCCAATCACCTATCTGAGGTCTGAATTCAATACTTACGTCATTTTCCACATCAAATTTTATATCTCCGTTAATTTTTCCTACGGATTTATTGAGTGATGTAATATTTCCAACAGTGGAAGTCATAAATTTCAAATCTTCAGAATCTTTTGGAAGTAAAAGTGGTCGATTATCAAATTTTCCTTTTCCTTCATCCATCCATGAAGCAGAATCGATCACAACATTCACCGCAATCCATCCACCATTTTCTTTCAGCCTTCCCGCATTGACAGACACCAGATTTCCAACTCGCGGTTTTTGTTCATTTGAAACAACATCAAATGAAAAATAAATCTCATGATCAATCAGTCCTTGGCCATTAAACACATGAGTTATCTTCCCTTGCAACTGCCGTTTGTCTAGCAAGATGTCTGATTTCTCTTCGAAGATCGGTAATTTACGCTTGAGTTCATCATCATCATCATCATCGCCGACTAGATAATCGACAATTTTGGCTATCAACGTAAACATCTTCTTAAAGCTTCATCTTACGATCTAGTCAATTTAAGGCTGAAACTTTTAAAGAAAATAATTGAATCCAACTTTTCATTTATATAAAAATCTTTTGCTTCATTCATTTATGCAGTAAGATGGCATTTCAGGTTATAAATTCTACATCTTTTGAGCATTCTGTTTTTGAAAAAACGGGGGCTACTCTAGAGACATTGTAGCCTAGTCCTACCTGGGCTTTAGATCAAATTTAGGGTCTTTAAAACACTTATTATTGTATTAAAGGGGGCTCTACTTTCATTTTATCTTCAGAGAACTTTTTCTAAAACTTTCATTTCAGTGGTAATAACAGAAAGGTTACCCTGATGCAAACTTTCACCAATGATCCATCATTCAACATTTCAGAAAATACCCAAAATCATTTGATCAAAAGCGTAGTTTGAGCTGAATAAGACTTTTTATTGCATTTCTCACCAATTCAATTTCAAAACATGTGAAAATAAAAAGGGGTTTTCCAGTTTCCCAGAATGCAACTGAAAATTCTAAAAATAGATTATGTTTATGTCGTTATCTAAAATTGCAAATTTTGTTCATCTGTGGTAATCAAAATTGTATCCAATTACGCAAACGATCGACAAAATCAAGTGGATCGAGTTAATTCAACGAATCCTTTGACTTTGACTTGAAATTTAAGTGTTTTGGTTGTCCATTATTTTTTGCTTCATTTGCGTCACATCCGGGATTCGGCCATTGTGTCAGAAAAAGAAAACATTGCGTCGGAGTGGATGACCAATTTTCTATTTTAGCAGTTGGGCAGATTTTGTGTCTATCTCGTCCTTTTAAGGTAATATCTTTTGAATATCTCTAGGGATTCTTTGATTTTATGTGGAATTCACTGGTCTCAGGGTAAAGATACTTTACTTTTTTACCCAAAATCATCTCTGAATCTCTTCTTTTTTCCATCCTGATGATGAAAAGAGTGGGGTGGGGCGTCAGGAATGGATCATTAGATTCAGAATTTGTTCGATCAGAATTATTCACAAATAAGCTTAATCGAAGGGGCCTGTTTCGTTTATGGTATAACCTTGAATGGAGCTAATGTTCCATATAATATTAATAATCTTGAAGATGAACTTAAATTCAAGGAAGAAATAAAACATTACGATTCCCTTTGAAATTTACCATTTATAATTAAGCTTTTTTGTTGTCTTTAGAGAAAATCTCACCTAGAATTAGAACACTAGAAAAAAGAATTAATTTATTTAGGTTACAAAAGACTCAATTCAGAACAGGATGAATTTTATGATTGATCTATCTATAGGATAGGTCTTATGTTTATTGTTTAAGGCAATATATTTTATCTTTTTTTTCATAACAGGCATAGTGTGTCACTGGTTTGTTTTACTAGCTTTTAAGTTGACAGACCTGATTGCAGAGTAGCATACAGTGTTAAAAACTGGCTTATATATGACCCTTGATTAGATTGTTTTATTTATAGCTTTTTGTCCAGTAGTGTCTTTTTTTTCCTAATTGATGTCCTGAAGGTATTTGGAAAATTAAATGAAATGAATGTGGGCTAAATAAGACATGTAACGCCATGCAGTATGCAATGAGGAAAATTTTGCCAGGACAGTGGCATTAGCCTAATCTTTATCGATTTCCAACTGTCGAGGGATCTTTAACGTGTACAGCTTGTAGCACACGGGGCCTCAGTTTATTGTCCCATTCGAACGACTAGACCCTTTTTCCATGTCAGTCCCTCTTACCTGCATCACTGACAAGGGGAAACTGGTCATTGTTAGTGGGACTTATATCTTAATGTAATATACATAAAGTTTAAACCTATGGGTGGACATGATAGTGCTGAAAAAAAGCCATGATCAAGAAGTTGTAAAAATGACAGGCCCAGCCAGACTCAATAACACTTGTTATGATATAAAGATATGAGTATTTTTTAGGAGGGGATACATGATATAGAACAGTAATGATAAACAATGTTGAACTTTAGTTGACTCTACTGACCCATTCATACTCTCTAATTTTATCTTATTTTATATCTTAGACCTTACTAAACTTGTTGTACAACTCTTATAGTATGTAGTAAGTAAGTTTTATTGTCATCTGCTTAGTGTAAAAGTGCAATGAAGTCCACCCCTGGTATACTCATTTTTCCAGTTTCGATGGGGATTGGAAACTCCCAATGACAACAGCTCTTCATTTAAAATCATCTTTGGATTAAGCACTGGCCAATTGCAATTTTGAGCCATAACGGAGCAGGTTAAAGAGGGAATGATGTAATATCATTGAATGCTAATGACCTGTTCTATAACCTATTATGAGATTGTTTACCTAATAAGGACTTGTAATATCAGTAATTAGTGGCATATGGTCATCTATTACATTAACTATATATCTCTCTAGGGTACTGACCCGAACCCCAGGGGACAGGCCTGCTGTATTGACCTTGTTCCAGTAACTGATCTTGGCCCAATGATTTGACCTTAAGGCTATAACTGAAATTAAGCTCTATCCACTGAATGAGGAGGTATAAGTGGACTATTCAGAAAGCTGAGATTGAACTCTATTAGCTGGTAAAGTAAATAATTAGATGACTATACAGACAGCTGAAATTGAGCTCTGTCAGCTGGTAAAATAAATATTAAGATGACTATACAGATAGCTGAAATTGAGTTCTATCAGCTGGTAAAGTAAATATTTAGATTACTATACAGATAACTGAAATTGAGCTCTATCAGCTGGTATAGTAAATATTTAGATGACTATACAGATAGCTGAAATTGAGCTCTATCAGCTGGTAAAGTCAATATTTAGATGACTATACATACACCTTAAATTGAGCTCTATCAGCTGGTAAAGTAAATATTTAGATGCCTGTGTTCCTATAATGATCATTTTCACTATGAAGTTTCTGATATAAGGTCTGACATCAGGCTGGGGTTTTGTTTTCAATTGATTAGTCCAGTTGTTTTTGTCTAAGATAACTGAAGTGTGACTGCAAGCTGGGAGCTCTATCATGGTCTATTCTTAATCTGTTACAGTATTGACCCAGTGACAGATGGTAGCTACAATAATATATCTGACCTATTCAACTTTAACCTTTCACCTCTGACCTCAGACAGGGTTTTTTGTGTTTGTATTGTTATGATCAGATGTTGTCATATTGGAGTACTAAATATATAAAAACATTTCAATAGTTGTACATCAAGATAGTTGTAGTGTATGAATTGAAGAGTATACACTTGTGCTAAATTTGTATGTTATGGATTTTGGATTTGTAAAGTACATCAAGACAGATTCAGACTTAAAGTGCTGCATTTTTGTCTGAGGTTTGATTGTGGATTTGTAAATTACATCAAGACAGATACACTCTACTGCTTAACTTGAATGTAGATCAGTTTTGGACAGGTACTTCATTTTTGTCTGTGGTTGGATTTTGTATTTGTTTTTGACATAATTTGACTCTTTATGAAATAGAATTTAGAAAAAAATCAAGAATAACAACTCTTTAAATGACAAGAGTTTAATGATTTTTTCCAAAAAACATTTGAAATTATCAAGTGGCTAAAAACAGGAAATCAATTGTTGTTCACAGTTCAATTAATGAACATGTGAATCCAACTAAACACTGTTAATTTGTGGTGATAATCTAACAGCTGGTAATAATTTTTACTGTTTGGTTTTTTGGTGTCATATGATCATGTTTATTGTGTAATTTCAATAGAACACCTGATACCACTCTGCCATTGTGTCTGTCAACTTGAGATAACCCTAACCCCAGCTCTTCTAGAATACTTGATGCCCTATTATAATCGAGTTAGGGAATACTTTTGGACAAGTATATTAATGTTATTTTACTTTTTGGGTTTGTCAACTCGGTATCCCTTGGCTTTCGGAGAGTCCACATTGATAATAATGTTTATTTGATATTTTGATTTGTTTACCCTATAAGATTTCACATAGCTAATTTGGGAGATTTAGGTTTGTCAACTAGGCATCCCTTTCAGAGAGTCCACATTGCTAATACTGTCTAAATGGTCTTTGTTTTGTTTCCATTGTCAGTGATGCTTGAGAGGGGCTGACATAGAAGAGGTGTGGTTCTTATGTAGGAATGGACTGATTTCTTCAAGTTGAAAATCTAAACAGTACAGGACTGGATAACATGGCTGCCATTCCCTCATTGTATACTGCATGCCTTGGATCAATCAGGAACAGAAAATAAGGAAGTAAAACTCCATTTCATTTAAGGTGATTTATTTTTCAGAAGAATTAAGGATGAGTCAGGATTTAGAAAATGAGTCGAACTGTAGTGATGAGGATCATATGGATGACGATGAAGATGAATTTGATACAAGTTATTACTATGACAACAACGATGACCTTGACCTTGAGAAACCTAAGAAAAGCGATGACCCTGAATATTTTGAATATGAATTACTGAAGATTGAAGACGTTGAGCGGATGCTGAATGAGGAAGTGGAAGCTTTGTGTACATCTTTAAAGGTATGGATTTCTTTTCATCTTTTGGGCAAACGTTCCTTTTTTGGCACCGAACTTCATGGCTTTGTCCTCAGAAGATTAGTCATTCAGTTGGCACTGAATTTCTCAGAAGCGCAATTGTCTCCAGAGTATGCTTGTATACATGGTGCTCAAGTATTTTTGTAAGTTTGTTGAGTGAAAGAAATCCATTTGAATGTCTAAAACTCTAAAGTTCAGTTTTAAAAATCCAAATTTTAGCCCTTCATTAGCCCTAACAATTCTTAATTTTATCCCTTAAATTAGCCCCTATTTTTTGTCAATGAGTTCTGGACATCCTGATATATATATATTCATTGTCTTTTGTTGTATTTTTCAGATTGCACCATCATTAGCCAAGATGTTGTTACATGCCCACGGCTGGCGGAGGTCTCAAATTATAGAAAGGTAATGATTTATTCCCTTTAATTCATAACTTTAATATCTTAAGACAGGATGAACCGAAGCTCTTGTACTTGACAAAATAAAATGAATGTATCTGGTACAACAAGTCTTCACCTAGTTCCTACCTGTTCCTCAGACGTGATATACAGATGTGGATTTATCACTGTTAGGGCCAGACATCTGATGGTCATGGTGAAAATTCTCAAAAAACTAGACAACTCCCATATATAGCAATATTACATTTCCTGCCCTACCCATTAAGTTACAAAATCTGAGGGCCATATGCAGCGCTCGTACTTTACCTAAACTTGGACTAAAGTTAGACTTAAGTCGAACCCTAGGTATGCAACAGTCGATATTTACGAAAGTCCTGCTTAAATTTGACTATCAAATGAAAGCCTTAATCCTAACTTTGTAAAGTTCGACTTTAGCCAAAGTTCAACTTTAGTCAAGGTAAGAGCGCTGCATACGGCCCTGAGGGTTCTAACTTGCAAGACTATTTCAAAAGCCTTTTTTTTTTATGTTTTCAGGCATCAAATGAATGCAGAGAAATTTTTAGTAGAATCCAGAATAGTTGCTGATAAAAAGAACATATCTCAGGTACAATTTATATTTTCCTATGGGGGAGGGGACAGGTCGACTGGCGATTTGTGGGAATATTACAGCCTCTTTCGGTTTTGCATACTATTAAATTGTCAATGTTAACAAGAAATGGGTGATACATGGCAAGCTTTGATTGGTCAATGATAACCTCATTTGAACCTTACTGAAGTAGAAAAATTGTTAGATTATAATGGAGACAAAGAATATCAGGAAAAAAAGAAACAGTAATCTGATATTAATTAGATTGGACCTTTTGTGGTAGTTGGCTCTATTTAGCACTGCATGGCTCTGCCATTTTATTAAGACCTGCCCTCGTCCCTATTTTCAAGACCAGGTTGTTTTTTATTACAGGAAGTGATCACTGGTACCACACATACATGTTCTATTTGTGTTCGTGAACTCTCTAAATCAGAATTCCAATCTCTTTCCTGTCACCATATATTCTGCAATGAATGCTGGGACATGCATTTTGGTATTCAAATTAGTAAAGGCTTAACTACAGGTATGCTGTTCTGAAATATACATAATATAGATAATTAAATGTCTAAGCTATGTGGACTCTCTGAAAGTAAAGAGAAGTTTAATTGTCTAATACCCTATAAACATTATTAGCTATGTGGACTCTCAGAAAGGAAAGCTGTGTTGAGCAATTTAATACCAAATAATTCATTTGGCTGCATAAACTCTCTGAAAGAGAAAGAGAATTCCCCCAATTGTACACTGTATGGTGTTGCTTGTCCTCATTGGCCTGTGCTGGATATCAAAAGTTGGATCATGGAAGAACTCCATTTCAAAACTGGAGAAAACGAAAGATGTATAAGTCCATTTCCCTAACTTGAGTGTGACTCTTTGTCATTGTAAGTTCCAAATTTTCCACCAATTATTAGTATAACTGGACACAATTATATAGATAACAATTACTTTAATAAATAACTTGCAACGTTTCAACGATGATGTTTTCGTCTTTATCAAGCAATATTAGGATGTAAAACTCCAATGTTATTATATTTCTATCTAGGTATAGAATGTATGGGTTCAGACTGTAAATTATTAGTACCAGAAGACTTTATCTGTAGTATTTTAAAAGATCCATCATCTCGAGAAAAATATTTTAAATTTTCCTTTTCTGATTTAATTGATGTAAGTATCTTTCAAATTAGAACAAAGGGAGAATGTTTAAATTCCTTTAAAAGACCCCCCCACCCCAAATAAATGTACCCCCTCCCCAAGGCCTACGCTCCAGTTGGTGCTCTATCAAAATTAAAATTTGTCAGAATTGTAGTTTTTGTTTATTCTCAAAAAAACTACAAAAAAATCTGGTTAAGAATTTCAACAAAATTTCAACTTGCCAATTCAAAATTAAGTAAACGTTCCTATAATATTTTTTCCTCTCCATTTCAGAGTCATTCTCAATTACGATTTTGTCCAGGTCCAAATTGTTCTATTGTTGTTAGAGCTAAAGAACCCAAATCAAAACGAGTTGAATGCAAATCTTGTAAATCCACATTTTGGTGAGTCTCTTTTATTTGTCTTTTAACTACCGATAACATGATTTAATACCACATTGTAGCTTATAGAAGTTATTTTGGGTAGCATAGTTTACATTGTAGCTTCAATTTCTTCTACCATTGGAGACTGGTGATTAAAAAAAATCTCATTGTATACTGCAGGGTTTCGCATTGCCCAATTAAGATTCATAAAGTATTATGTAAATGACATTTATATCTCCTGTGAGGTTTATTTTCATCGACAGTTCACATATGCAGCTGTCTTGTTCAAAAAAATTCCCTCATTGCACACGGCAGGGTTTTGTATTGCCCAGTCAGGTGTAATAAAGTATGAATATATTTAGATAATGTTTTAATTGTAGTTTTCGATGTGGTATAGATTATCATGCCCCAACTGATTGTGATACCATCAAGAAATGGTTAATGAAATGTGCCGATGATTCCGAGACGGCTAACTATATCAGTGCTAATACAAAAGATGTAAGTCAGGGCCCAAACGCCACAAAACATTTATCATGGTCTTGTTAATGTTATAACCGTATATTTATGTGTATGGGGTGTTTTGAAATTAGAGAATAGAGGAAGACAGAGAACGTATTAAGTAATCAAGAGAGAAACTTAAATAAACACCCGTTTAGAATCTATTTTAGATTAGGCAGTGGGAGGAGGGGGCTCTAATTTCAACACACCAAGTATAGTGTACTGTTTTTACCCTAAAAAGGGCTTGACAAACTTGGTATGTGAATCATAGACAGTGAAAAAAGTCCGTAGCCACCCAGACTAATGAGTTATATTAGTCCTAGTTGTTTTAAAGTTTGTTTTTATATATTATAGTGTCCGAAGTGCCATGTTTGTATTGAAAAAAATGGTGGATGCAATCACATGGTAAGTTATAATCAAATTAGTTTTTGTGGAAGGGAGGGTTTGACTTCATAAAATGAACAGACCTAGAGTAGTACTGATGCAACTATATTTTACAAAGATATCAACTTAGGTTCACAATTAAGGATCCTGTGGCAAGACCGCTTTGATATTTGCGTATATCCGTACCCATTTACAGCTGAGTGCAGATGACTTATGGGACTGCCGTAACAAAGGAAATGACATCATGTAAAGAAAGCAATGTTCAAACCGATTGTGCTGCTAAATTTCATGTAAATATATTTTATTTTTCAGCAATGTTCAAAATGTAAATCTGATTTTTGTTGGATGTGTTTAGGAGGTAACATTTTACATTTTTTATGTATTTTTTTATTTTTGAACTTGAATATTTTAATTTGTTAAAGGATTAGTTACAGATCATCTTCATAATGTCAAACTATTACAAACTTTGTCTTATACCTTGACTGCAATTCAATGCAGCGATTTGATTGGATTGTATGCCAGTGCATACAGCCCATTAGAGCTCTCCACTGAAAGACTGTAAAGATTATGGCTTTGGGCTGACATACTTTCTGTCTAGGATTCTGATTGGCTGTATGAGCTAGCTTTCTACAATCCAATCAAATCGCTGCATTTAAAAACTTCTGTGAATCACAAAAGGTGACTATTGCAGTCAAGGTATGAGACAGAAGTTTTTGATATTGTAGAGATAAGGTGGGTTATTAAAATGATTCATTCTTAGTTCAGGAAAAAGAGAATTGAAATGATGTATTTTAAAATGTTTCAGAATGGAAGACCCATGGTAGTGAATACTATGAATGTAGTCGGTTTAAAGAAAATCCTAACATTGCAAATGAATCAGTCCATGTCCAGGCTAGAGAGGCATTAAAAAAATATTTATTTTACTATGAAAGGGTTGGTATATTTTTTATTCTTCTAAATTTATATTTTACTTGTTTTGAGCTTTGGGTCTTTATGAAGTCATTTACTTGGTTACTCCAGTAAGTGGTGGACGTGGACTCTAATCTCAGTCAGTGTGTGAAAGTTTAGTGAAGATGAATAAGTCAAGGACCAGTCACTAAAATGATCCTTGAGAACCTAAGTTGTCTGTAAGCTTTTATCACATATTGAACCACATTATTTAGTCTCAAATCCAAGATATAAACTTAAGGAAATCTCGAGAGCTAACATCTAAGTTTTTGAAGCATAGGTTTTTAATGCAAAGAAATCAGCTCTGTTGACGATTGAGCTACTTACTTCCTGTTAGGAACCACATAAACATTTTTCGAGACCTGAGCTTTTAGGGAAAGGACCCTGGTTATCTGTATGTTTGTCTGATTTCAGTGGGAGAACCATGCTAAGAGTTTAACTCTAGAAGAACAAACATTAAAGAATATTACAACTAGAATAGAAGAGAAGGTCATGAACAATGAAGGAACTTGGATAGCGTGGCAATATCTACTCAAGGCTGCTGATCTACTCAAAAAGGTCGGTGTGGACTTGTGGCTCCTTAGTTGAGTAAGCCGACTTTGTTGAGTCACCTGATAATCTTTTTCAAAAAACTTCATTTTTCTTGCATAAAAAGTGCCATAACTTTTCCCTTCTTGCTCATATTCAGTTATGTTATGTGTTATTTTGCCACTTATGTTGGAAATTCTGATGCCATGGCTAGTACTTTTGTTGACTCTCAACCCATACAGTAGCTGGGTGAAAGAGAAACGTTGTTTTGATTATTTGTAGATGTTTGATCATAATCCTGTCCTGGCCCAATGAGTTGGAGAAACTCCGTTTCATTTTATTTCATCTTAAAGATGGTGTATTGAGTAATATATTTGTTTTTTCAGTGTCGTTATTCCTTACAATATACATATCCTTACGCTTATTATCTAGATAGAGGTGGTAGAAAGGAACTGGTAAGTCTAACTATCAGTTGAACAGCTATGAATGGGTGTGGCACCAGGCAGAGTATACTTACTCTTCTAGATACCTGATACCACTTTTCAATAAGAAATACTTACTTAATTATGATTGATATACTTCCTTAAATGAAAAGTTCATTAGCTGCTACCAATGTTTCGCCAATATGTTGTTTGGATGTCGTGTTTCGGTTTGCGGTTCAGATTGTATTTGTTTTATTTATGCTCCTAGCTAACATGTAAATGAAACTTTGATTTGCAATTCATTATCATTTTAGTTTGAGTACCAACAAGCTCAGTTAGAGGCTGAAGTAGAGAATTTATCCTGGAAGGTAGAACGGGCAGAAATATCAGATACTGGGGTAAGACTATGTTTTTGGGACGAGACTCATTCAGATACGAATTGAGACTCTTTTATCGTACAGAATTTCTTTGTCAACTCTTTGCTCCTTTTCAATGAGTTCCTTTACTTTGATTATCGCTTTAAGCCCAATAACATTACGGTTAAGTTAAATATGATTTTGGACACTAATTGTCTTGATAAGGGTTATATATCTGAAACATGTCTGCAGCCATAGATAAGCTCTCATCCACTTAAAGAGGACCAACCATAAAAATCCCCTTTTTTCTCTTTTTGCAGGAATTAGAAAATTTGATGGATATAGCAGAGAAACGACGACTAACTTTATTAAAAGATTTTTTAGAAGTTTAACAATAGTTTATACAGTTCATTTCGTACCATCAGGTGACTGATCATGTGACTTAGTATCGTCTGATTGGATCGTGTAACTAAGTATCATTTAATTGGATCATGTGACTGGATCATGTGACTAAGTATCATGTGACTGATCATGTGAGTAATTCATGTGTCACCTCAGGACTTGAAAAAATTGCATTTAAAATCTGAAACTGACGAAGAAAAAATGAAGATTTAAATTAGTGCAATGTAGAATTATGTAGAGTTTTATATTGTTTGGCTGTTTAAGGCGTGGAATGGAATTGTGAGATATACACTACATTTCATTTCATTAGTCCAATAAGATACAGAACAGTAGGATATAAAACTACATTTCATTTCATTAGTCCAATAAGATACAGAATAGTAGGATATAAAACTCCATTTCATTTCATTAGTCCAATAATATACAGAACAGTAGGATATAAAACTACATTTCATTTCATTAGTCCAATAAGATACAGAACAGTAGGATATAAAACTATATTTTATTTCGTTAGTCTAATAAGGTACAGATCAGTACATCATAAAAGAGAGTTATCTCCCATTCCCCTGATGATTGAAGTGAAGATTAACAGTTGTATAATTCTTTATATCATTATGTATGTATGTGAAATCTGTATGTATTGAGCTTTCTGATTAGAAATGTTTAAATTAACTGTAGCTAATCTCAGGCCTCTTGAGGGTTAACTTGCCTAATTATACCTCAAGTTATTAAGGTTAATGAACTCACTGACTGATGCTGGATGAAAAATGAAGCATATTAGGCATTTATCTTTTGAGTTATATAATGCTGAAATTTGCCGTATCATGTTCCAGTCACAATCTCAAGCCTGCATGGAAATGTCTAGCCGGGTTAACGTCCTATATGACTCAAGGTTATGAGTCTGGAATGCCCTGTAGTATCGTGAACTCATGATATAGATTTTAGTATGGAAGATTATGATAAGAAAGTTCAAAATATACAGAAATCTACTGTATATAAAGTTGTAGTGTATTTGTAATTTTTCTGTTATTATTTATTATTTCTCATTATGATGAAAATTACAATATTACAATAATCATTTTCTTTTGTTTTTCACGGAGTTGATGATCCCACCCTTCTACCCATGTTTTTCTTCTTGCATGAAATTGCAATACTGAGGTGACTCTCTACCCAGAATAATTCGTATTGAACCTCATATAAACATTTTATCAACTGCTACCAATGAATTGCGGAACTGTGATTTTTTATGTCGGGTTTCATTTTGCTGATCGGATCCTCAGTACTTTTTTTGTAAATCAAAATGATGCTCGGTATAGTACAGAAATTTTAACCTGAAGCCTGAACAGTTAAAGCTAGATAAAGACCACTTGATACGTATGTAATATTGCTCTGATACATACAAAAAATAAGTGGTCTAAAGACTGTTATTGGTATCCTCTAATAATCTAAAAGAATCTACACTGAATAATTCATTTTCTAACTGCCAAAAGCCGTTATGCAAATCCAAGACTGTGAATAAATTCCTTTTGGTTGAAAACACAACTGTTTAAAGTTTAATCTTAGTGATGATTTTAATCGCTCCTTTTGACATTCTGAATGCATCAAAATCCATACAAAAACTATAAGTTCCACCTTTCTTGGAGATTAACATTACTGGGATGGCTAGTGACAACGTCAATTTCTTTTAGGAGCGTATATAGCCTACCGATTATGAGAAAGAAATTGGACTTTTGTTATCCAACTTAAGCCATTAGGTTAATTTATGCTTATGTAAGTAAGAAACTCAGATGGAAATATTTAAAGCGTTTATTGGATGGTATTTCATCAGCTTAATGACAAAATTTGAGTTACAAAAAATTATTAGATGTAAAGACGAGACTTTCTTTAAGATTGTTCATGATTAGACACATTTTTAGCCTTTCGCCACCCTTCACTCTAGCTGGTTCTTTATTCAACTTGGAATTGGATTATACAGCTTGTTGGTCTTAAATCCTGAATATATCCACGGACTGGCTCGACTTTTAAAGCTTGTTCCCATCTTCGTAGGCAGACCTTTATGAGTTTGTTCTGAGGGTGGTGTATATTTGTTGGGAGATGGGTTGGTAAACTCTGAAAATAAATGACAAAATTTTAATGACATGGGGTTGTTGTTCGGTTGTTTATTTAACAACCAGTGGAGATGAAGAGACTTATCAGGAGAAGAACGTCGAAACGTTGCATCAAACAAAATCCAATGATTGTTATTCCAAAAAGCTGTATTAACTTCATTTAAAGACTTTTTTGGGAAAAAAAAAGGATTAAATTATGTTGAGAACCTACATCTAATGCAACAAATGTATTGTCCAATTGTTATTTTAGATTTCGTGTTTCGTTTTGCAGTTCCGATCGCTAGTACTTGTTTTCTTTTATCGATATCATTCTTGACAGAGAGTTTCCTGTTTATTACTTACTTTTCAATGGTTTAGATCGTTTAGTTATGGTATAGCTAGGACCCGAGTCTTTAACTACAGGATGGTACGCTGCCGGTCCTGGACCTTGATCTAGATGACAAAAATCAGAATATTGATGGAAAGTAAAGACATCCAATCTGGTATCTGAAATACTTATATCCGATGGAGAGCAATATCATGACGAGTACCATGCAGCTACTGATATGGATCTATATATATAAGGAAAAGCTCCCCCACCGCCCCTCTTCCAAAAGTAATCAAAAGATGTATACCTATATGTAGCCGGTTAATCCTTTTCCCCATGCTAAAAGCAGGCGCCTTCTGAGCACCCGGTTTGGGATATTTTTCAGCATTGTATTCATTGGGTCCTGGTCCATCAACTGCAAAAACAGAGTTTTATAATTGAGCTCTGTTCCAGTGTGATGGTAGATCACAGTCAAAACGTTTTGACACAGATTAGAGATGTAATAAGTGGCCTCCATCACTCAGGCCTTCTTTGTCTATGCATAGCTGCGACGAATGACTATGTCATAAGCAAATACTTTCTCATGAAAACGACCTACGACTTGATTCATTAGATGTCATTGACAAAAATAAAGGATGCATTTTAGAGCACCTACAATCAGATAGCAGGAACTTATGCCAGAGACGGGACAAGGTTTGCTTCAATTGTGGGACTCCCGCTTACTCTTCTCGATTCAAGAGCACCTTGTGATCTTAGGTTTATCTATTATGTTCGTAGCAAATTTTACATGAATGATTCATGAGTTATTATCGTTTTGATAGGCACTGTCTATTTTCTCCCTTATGTATCTGGCGTTAAGATAACAAGCTTATCTTGGTCCACGAGGACTTCTTATCTGTTTCGAGAATAACAAGGTCTCGACCCTCTCTCTTGGGATCAGTATTGATATATCTGTTATTATAGACATTAGTATGTATATTGAATCTAATCTGCACAATACCAAATTATTTCGATATTCGACTGCAATAGCCACTATTCTTATGTTACGGAAGTTTGTAAATGCAGGGATTTAGTTGGGTTGTACGTTGGCGGATACAGCCAATCAGAGCCCGCAACAGAGAGGTATAAGACGAAGTTCGTAATAGCTTGATATTGTGAAGATGAATGAGTCTAGGAATCTAGGTGTCTTACTGTCTTGCCAGGTTTTACTTCTGTGGCCGATAGAAAAAGCTGGTCTATCATTCTTCAAAAATTCCGTGGTTAAATTATAGTTGGCTGGCCCAGGGGAACTTTCTGAAACGAAATAAACAGCTCTATAGATGAGACACATTGATGACGAATCGTGGAATAGCGAAACCCATGGTAGAGCAATATGATAGTCTCTTTAGATTTCGATATCACACAATTCACCATTGTTATCAAGAAACTGGTTCGCTTTGATTGGTTAAAAATAACGTTATTAGAACATAACTGTGGTAGAAAATTCGTTAGATTACAATTGCACCAAATTCCCGTCGTTGAACCTAAAGGAATTGATATAAATATATCTACAAACTGAGACCGAAATCTGACAATCTGACATAGCTAAATAAATATCAAATTGATAATAAGTGAAAACTAAATAAAACTATAGTCAAGTTAGTAGAGAGTTATATTAAATGTTTTATCTGATATCTTTGACAACTGTCTGTTTAGTCCGAAACTTGGTGACCCTACATCTGGCCTCGTATAATTAGTTTTGTATCAAGCAATCTGCTAGCTAGTTGGACATGATAGTTTGGTATGCTCTAGTCTCAATCTGACCACAGAAAACTATCATTGTACCAAGCAATCTGCTAGCTAGTTAGACACGAGAGTTTGGTATTCTCTAGTCTCATTCTGACCACAGAAAACTATCATTGTACCAAGCATTCTGCTAGCTAGTTAGACATGATAGTTTGGTATGCTCTAGTCTCAATCTGACCAAAGAAAACTATCATTGTACCAAGCAATCTGCTAGCTAGTTGGACATGATAGTTGGGTATTATCTAGTCTCATTCTGACCACAGAAAACTATCATTGTACCAAGCAATCTGCTAGCTAGTTGGACATGATAGTTTGGTATTATCTAGTCTCATTCTGACCACAGAAAACTGTCATTGTACCAAGGAATCTGCTAGCTAGTTAGACAGAATAGTTGGGTATTCTCTAATCTCATTCTGACTACAGAAAACTATCATTGTACCAAGCAATCTGCTAGCTAGTTGGACATGATAGTTGGGTATTATCTAGTCTCATTCTGACCACAGAAAACTGTCATTGTACCAAGCAATCTACTAGCTAGTTGAACACTATAGTTGGGTATACTCTAGTCTCATTCTGACCACAGAAAACTGCCATTTTTCCAAGCAATGCTAATTAAATACAGTATTCTTGTATTTCAGTCCTATTTGGACGACAGAAAACTGTAGGAAAGAAAGCTGTCAGTTGGTTGGTATCATCCTCGCCTCTCCTTTGTCGAAGGAAGAAGCAAGTTTCGGACAGTATTGTATCTGTATCGACAAAGCTTCCACGAAACAATCCTGCCGAGACCACTCACATTAAATATAATTCATTTACCAAACTTAATAACCATTATTCTAGGACAATAAAAATCTCATAAAGATTAACAATGAAAAAAGATTGATTGTTCTGGCTCTATCTGGATGACATTCTAAGCTATCTGATATGACTATGTCTCTATATCCCCGAGCCATGTTTGTTTAGTCCATAGTTTATTTGATTAGTTTACTGATTTCGTTGATTGAAAATCAAACAGTAGAAATAGAATCAATAAGATTCTATAGCAGCCAGGCCTAATAATAGACGACGAGCCTTGCTTTTCACAGACGGATGGGCGCAGCCACGAAAGGGGACTGGGCAGTTGCGCGGCCAAGAAAGGGTGCTGTCCAGTTGCGCGGCCACGAAAGGGTTGCTGTCTAGTTGCGCGGCCAAGAAAGGGTGCTGTCCAGTTGCGCGGCCACGAAAGGGTGCTGTCCAGTTGCGCATCAGCTTAGGTAAGGGGTCTGGCATGTTAGGCCGCCATGAAGGGGTTCTTGGTAGTGTCGTAGCAAGTCATGTTTTTCGAGAAGGGGTCCTAAGCTGGTTAGGGTAGCACATAAACCCCCATTTTCATACAATGGGAGCCGTGTTCCAAGGACAGCAGTGCCATTTAATCAATCAAGGGTTTATATGTCGCACTGGCTCGCGCACCGTTAACACATATGTCCGACAATACTTTCCAAGTATTTCCGCCCGTGTAAAACAATTAGCATGACATATTACATTTGTTTTTATTTCATATGAGGCTGGTTAACCACGAGGATAGTCCGGGACATCACATAGTGCCTGTAGCTGTACGGACATAACTCAATTTGAATAAAAGACGTGGGCCTTATTTGGCATTATTTTGGAGTAAAGTTATTTTATGAAGTCTTTGGAAGGTAAGACCATGTTTTAATACCACATTTTCGGAATTATGGTTTTACAAAAGGTATTTATAGAATATTAAGTTCACTTATTGCAAAGATTAATTGTATTATTTCAATTGCCGTAGGCCTACGTCTGAATTTTTTCCATTCCAAAAAATCCACAACCAGATATGACTTTCCAACCCCTATTGATCGTATCAAACTATTTCAAGAAATCTGATTGGGTAAGACAGTGAATGCATTAGGATTAGCCAATCAGATGCTTGTTTTAAACTTTTATGATCAACTGAAAGTTACGATATTCTGATAATTTATGTTTCTGGTGGAGAATTTGAAATAATCTTCCATAAATAGATAAGATCATAAATGAATGAATGAATGAATGAATTAACGAATGAATGAATGGATGAATTAACGAATGAATGAATGGATGAATGCATGGACAATTTTACCTGGTCCCAAGCCGCTATATTTGCTGACAGGATAAGAAAGTTTGGTTCGATGTCTACAACTGTAAGCGGGGTGTCGCTCTTGTATCACTTTTGGTTTCACTTCATAATCCCCGGGGCCGGGATGGTATTCATCTGAAAGATAAGCAAAAGTTTTGTTGGGGACCAACTAAGGTTCACGGTATTTTTCAACCAGTTGGTCCTTGGTCTTGTCATTGATCAATCCACACAGTAGACATACCTTGTGTTGAACGGGACATTTGATTGGATGATTATTTAGGTGACCTACAACTCACACTGCATAGTAATCGTGAGATCATGGATGCGGAGATGAGAAAATCGCTACAAACAAGCAATGAAACGTGAATTTAAAATTAGATTGGGCAAGAATAATAGATATGACAGACATCAGTTATTCCAGGCTATATGCCTTTAAGTTCTGTCAATACAATATCCACAGGACAACACCCCTTTAATTTAACTTACCGTTTCTATCGAACCACCGATACTTCATAGTTTTAGCTTTATCGGTATCCAACATGGTGGATTTGACATAATAGGAATTCGGAGACGGACCATATTTCTGAGCTGAAAATAATAGAAGAAACAACTACCACTATCTTGAGACTATTCGACATTTTGGAGGTTACCAATGGTCAAAAAAACCGTTGGTCGATGTTCGTGAGTTGAGTTCATTTTGAGCTATGGTCTTTACTAGTCATATGAAGGTTATATTTTGATCCAACTTATTGACTATTATCAGAAGAAGTGAGCTGTTTTTCGATCCCTGTTTGAAAGGCTTCTGCCAAACCCACCAACTCCACGTGAAAACTGCTGTCGAACAACCATGTTCCTTTAGCAAATTTGTACGAACAAGGCTAAATAAGAAATCACTTAACATTATTCCACAGCTGTTCCTACCTTGTAAATCTTCTCTCCTGGCTGTCATGGATTTTGCTACAGCCTGACCAATAGTTGACCCGACATCGTAAACATTGGGCGCTGGTACGTTCTCTTTACTCGCTGAAATGCATGTAAATTCATTCTACAGAAAACTACCACCCGATGCCTTCTTCCGAATGATCTTTTGCCCTTAAACCTTATTCGGTCCCCTTGCTAATGATTTTTCAAACATAGCAACACGGGGCTACGTTCGAAATCTCAGAATATTTAAGTGAAATGAAAAATACGTACATACATCTTGATACTGAAGCCGTTTAGCTAAAGAATAAGCAGGTCCACTCTCCGGGTTTCCAATTGTATAATCCGCTGGACCTATAATGAGTACACATTAGCGTCAGTTGTATTGAAACGGTTTCAAAACAATTTGAAGGGGCAATCAACCTGCACTCAATGTCTTAGACCCTAACATAGCTAATCTAAACGTGGATTGTGACCAAATACATAAGGGAGTATTCGCCGCAGCAAGGAGCTGTCCGTCTTCCCCTTTGCCATACATCTACATGGATATTGACCAATTGCAATTATTGCAAAGAAAGGTGTGCTTGTGCTTTCAGCTTCTCTGTAGCACCACGATTGCCTCAAATCTTCAGAAGCTTCTATTGACAATACTGATGATCTAGATGGATTCTGTTTAGTTTGTGAATCACATTTAATTAGAGAGAGAAATAGTACCACTCTGGCGCTTAGTACGAGCTTTACGAACGAAGAACTAGACACAGCTTTATGGAATAACAATCACTGGTTAAAGTTTTATGCAACGTTTCGACTTGTTTACATTGTAGTCCTCAGGAACAGAATGCATACTTGGATATTAGCTATTAATGGAAGTAGTCTTTTTTGCTCTAGTATTCTAGACACTCACCGGGACCTTCTTGGGAGCTGATTGTTTTCCGGCTGTTACCAAAGGATTTCTGAGGACCGCATCTCCAGTAGCCTGAGCTCGGCCAGTTATTCGGCCCTGGAGTTTCAAAACCTAAAAACATGTGCTATTCAGTCACTGAATAAGAGTATTCATTTAAAGAAAAGATCAAGAGAGAAAGTCACGAGTATAAGCACGCTTACAGAACTGCTTTTGCATCTTTTGTGTCTCATCAGCTTTTCGTGATATCTTTTATACTTCTTTATTTCCATTGTCAAGCAGATGGTCGGTTTGAGGGTATGGGGATGAAAGAATGTATGAAGGACCTGTTTGTTTGTTTCAAACATGAGTTCTTTTAAAAAGGATTGTCTGAAACAGAAACAGTGTTAGACTTACCAGCAACATCTGCAGGTTGAATCAGGCTGTTTTTAAGACCAGCATCTTGATGCCTGGTTCTCATGCTGTATCTCGGTCCGGTACTCCCCACCTCGTTGACTCGTACATTGTAACGAGCTGGACCGATATCGGATGCTGATTTAGCAGCTGAAAATAATCAGATTTAGAGAATTAGATGATTACTTGTTTCGCTCACGAATCACCATATGCTCTCCCTTGACAGTTGTAAGTGCGACTGAGTATATCAATAGAGAGTCCACAATAGCTTATAATATATTGCATATTTGGTATTCAGTTTTTCATAGCGACCTCATAGCTTATAATGTAATGACTTTAAAGGGATTGCAAGGGAATACTCGGGGATCCTGTCTACCAGCTGGTCCTTAGTCAAACCTCTTGGCAGTGATCTTACTAGGATAACACTAAGATTCACGAAGATCCTGTCTACCAGTTGGTCCTTGGTCAAACCTCTTGGTAGTGATCTTACAAGGATAACACTAGGATTCATGAATATCCTGTCTACCAGTTGGTCCTTGGTCAAACCTCTTGGCAGTGATCTTACTGGGATAACACTAAGATTCATGAAGATCCTGTCTACCAGCTGGTCCTTGGACAAACCTCTTGGCAGTGATCTTACTAGGATAACACTAAGATTCATGAAGATCCTGTCTACCAGTTGGTCCGTGGTCAAACCTCTTGGCAGTGATCTTACTAGGATAACACTAAGATTCATGAAGATCCTGTCTACCAGCTGGTCCTTGGTCAAACCTCTTGGCAGTGATCTTACTAGGATAACACTAAGATTCATGAAGATCCTGTCTACCAGTTGGTCCTTGGTCAAACTTCTTGGCAGTGATCTTACTAGGATAACACTAAGATTCATGAAGATCCTGTCTACCAGTTGGTCCTTGGTCAAACCTCTTGACATTGATCTTATCAAGATTACCTTTAACCACAAATAACAAATAGTTAGTTTGAAGCAAATGATAAGAATTAGACTTACCTTCGTCATCATAAATAGAAGTAGTACGACCCTTCAATGACAGATGCCTGTCTTTCCATTTTAAATCACGCCCTGTACTGTAGTTAGCTGGACCAGGAGCTTTCTTAGCTAAAACAGGAACAGAAGTGTGTTAGCTGGTGGGACATACCAGTTAACAGATTGCTAAGGTTTGACAATGACATTTTTCTGTGGTCAGATTGCTAGGACGATGTTAAGGGTGGCGTATTTTAAGAATTGGACATTCCTCAACAATATTAGGCAGTAAAACTTCAAACATATTGTACACAATAAATCAATAGGCTGATAGGATTTAAGTGAGAATGTTTAGTTGTATCAAATACCCGTTCTTACGTTTTAAGACTTTATATTTGCCGGCTACAGAATAATGAGGAGGTTCGTACCGAGTGGCTCTGATCTCTGGGGAATAATCAGCAGGTCCTGGGCCTGGAATTCCTGAAATTTATAACAAGGTTGGCTTTACATTTCTATTAAAACGTTTACAGCATCAAATTAGTTTTCAAGTTTATTTGTTGACGTTTTTCCAATGAAGAATATACCAGAAACATCCTCCACCAGATCAAAATTGGTTCGATACTCCAATGTTACTTAAAACATTTTAATATGAAAAGAAACGTATGCAAATTCATTGATCAGAAATTAGAAAACAGCCATAATAGTATTATAAAGGATACAGAATTTAGTATGAAATGCTCATCCAAACGTTCCATTTTGGCAAAAATGTATAGCTTTAAGTGGTTGTTATCCTTACCTAAAGACGTCAATGGTTTCTCGCCTTCAGGAACAATATATTCTCCCATAGATGTTCTATCAACTAAAACAACAAAACCATACGATTAGGCTACTATGCATATTTGGTTTGGTTTTTGAGGTTCAGTCATTCGTGAATCAGAATTAGGTCTATTACTACACCAAAGTGACATGGTCCTGTCACTCTTGTCTTACATTCAACCCATCCAGCCAATGGAAACATCCAGCCAATGGAAACATCCAGTCAATGGCAATAAGATTGTGATCTTCAAAAGTGCCGCTGATGAGCTTGTGTCCTATTTGAAAGTGGCCTTTGCATTAAACATTTGTAGAAAAGTGTTCAAAACAATCTTTAAGCCTATGAAAACTCTGGAACTGAACCCCAGAAAAACTTACGTCTAAAGTTCTGTGGTTTCTGCGACTGTACAGAACTCAGATCAACTTCCGACTCTTCTTTAGTCGCATTGAAAATCTGTTGCAGGAACGCTGGTAGCTGAACCTTGGTATCCATTTTGTGGATGTAAAAATGGCGAAATTTTACAAAAAATCTCCAGAAATAGCTCCCGTGTTCTTCTGCTCACATTTCAGTAGCTATGCTGATGACGTCAACAAAACATAATCTGAAGACGTCATAATGGCGCTGAACTGAACGCAGACTTTTGGATACATTCTATGCTTAAGGTACGGTCAATTACCTCAGCAAAGTTTAATGCCAATGCCAAAAGACCAGCTGGTAGACAGGATCTTTGTGAACTTAAGATGTCATCCTTGTAAAATCATTTCAAGAGGTTTGTTGGTAGACAGGATCCTTATGATCCTTGGATGCTATTGCTGTTTCTTACTTTTTAATAGAGGCTATGCTTTTTGTATCCATTGTCTGTTGGTATTGTCTTGATGTCGTTGTAAACTTTTTTTTTATATCATTTCATCCCAGAGACATCTAAAGTAATTACACCGCTGTTTTAAGTGTTTTATTCAATTAAATAAGAACTATTCGTTATATTGTGATGTGAAAGGTGTTACAAATAGCAGAATTTAAGTTTTGTAGACATCAATTTCCCTTTAAACTAGCATAAGCCACAGCAGGTATGATCTGTTGATAAATATATACCCCCCCCCCCCCCCCCTCTCCTTACAAGCTAGAGCTCATACGGACCCCAACATTCCCTCGCGACACCCCTAGGTTCAGTTAACATTAGCTAGAGCTGGTATAATTTGTTGATAAATCTCGATTCCTCTCAGAAAAATTTTCTCATGAAGAAACTCGTTATGATCGTGGAGAAGAACTGGGGTGTTGTTCATTGGAGAGAAACCCAGAGCTGGTATACCAAGCTGAAAGATAGACAAAAGTGGAAAAGTGGGGATCGTTGTGGAAGAATTTGGGGTAAGATTGATAAGGATGGAAGGATGGACAGTATGGTTACCCCCACCTCCCTCCGACCTAAACTTATGTGACTTATTTAAGGTCTTCAAACCATTAGGTCAAAACCTTGGACTAGCGTCTTGCTACTCATCGGGCTGTAGAATTGCTCTTGTTTACTGTGGACAGTCGGTTCCCCAGCGTTTCTACCCCAGCCGCCATACAGTCGGTTTAGAAGCTCCTCATATCGCTTGGTGTTGGCTGGTACCAATAGAAGACACTAGTAGCCCAGGCGTGGCATGAAAGGGACCACCCACCTTTCTGGTATGTCGACTGTCAGTTCCCACTGGACAAATGGACGTGATGATCTTCAAGTCTCTACAATAAGATTTATCAAAATATTTAACTTCCTTCTTTCCCTAAAACTGTTTCTTATTGCTTAAAAATGGAATAAAAGTGGATTTTACGCCTTACTTTCTGCTCTCAGTTGGGCTTATGAAGGCAGGCAACGCCATATTGTGTGTAATGAGGTAAATTGATCCAGGAAATTGGCATTAGACTGCTCCGAACGCTTTCATATAGTCAAAATTATACCATAACTCACAAATTTTGACAAGTTCCGCGGAAGGCGTTCCACCAAGGATCTGAATCATCAATACTAGTAAGGTCTTGGTGGTTCCCTCTCTGAAATAAGGATCTATTCATCACTATTGAAACGAAATATAGTAGACATCGTGAAATACGGTAAATATGTAATATTTTTTGACGTGTTAAAGAGACGACGAGCGCACAGCGATCTTATCCTTCTATGGGTGTATGATAAATATAGCACAATTATGTGAACTCTCACGAAGAACCCATTCTACAGTTAGTACTTACAACCACAAATTCATAAGTTACTCCTTCGCCCGATTCTTTACACCACTGAGCTATCTGAGCTTCGAGCTTCTCCATGTCCACGTGTGGAGGTATCCTGATATCAAATCCTGAAAAAAGGATGACGGGCACTATATGTGTGTGGAATATCAGCTTCAAATTTATATTTCTAAAACCATTATTTGATGTTGACTCATATTGCTTTATACCTTTTGAGGATATTCTCTTTCTGATGACAGTTTTGTAATTGAAATGCAGCCAGTCCGTCAATTTTCCGCAAGGTTCCGTATTGGACCCTTTTCTTTTCAACATTTGTGTTAATGAACGTCAACTTTCCTGTCGGAGATACTGCAGTAAATGGTTGGCATTTCAGGTGCCAGCTTCACAATGATCAAGATATTACGGCCTCATCTTATACCTTGACTGCAATGGTTGACTTTCTCCTTTGTCATTATGAAGATGTTTAGGTGTATGGACGTTTAGTCTAATGTAAGCTTACCGATGCCGAGTTCAGCCGGGATGACGTTGTACTGAATACCTCCCTGAAATGTGCGGAAATAATATTAAAGACGATTAGGAATATCAAATGATCAGATCAAAAGCATGATTCCGTTGGACCAGGGTAACACGGATGATAGATCTGGAAAGGCAAATTTTATCCAGCTGACCTCCTGAAGCTACTCTCATTTTTTTATCATTTTACATAGGGAAAGAAATGTCTGTGAGCCCACATTAACAATTCTGTGACCCCTGACCCCTGACCCCTGACCCCTGACTCGACCACACCTACTGATACATAGAAACATCGATCTAACGAATGTCTACATCCATCATTTTGAAGCGCTCTTTTCATTTATGTCCTAATCAAGTTGCGCGGTTGAAACTTGAGACAAAGTAAGGATTACCTCTAACATGGTCATATTAACTGTACAAACTGAACCTATACTTAACGACTCGTCTGATTTCAACCTGAAATCATGATAATTGATAAAACAGGTAAAGCTGCAGCAGATGATGATGATGATGATGATGATGATGATGATGGATGCTGCTGCTGATATGATGATATGATGATGATGATGATGGATGCTGCTGCTGATATGATGATGATGATGGATGCTGCAGCTGATATGATGATATGATGATGATGATGATGATGGGATTGCTCAATAGATGCTAGATCGACGACTGCTTGGAAATCAGAAGCCGTCGGTTCGACACCCCCTTTATGGACGAACATTACTGATTCCAGGGTTCGTGCTTTCCGAAGTTGGTCCAGCTTTGAACTCCTTCCACCAACAGGAAGTACAATATAGGAGAACAAAATGAAGAAAGGTCTCTGACGCCTACCTGTCTTCTTCTGTTTTTCTAAATTCCAGAAACTTGTTAATGACTCTTTGCTGGAATGAAAAAAAAACAGCAGCTTCATCTGAAGGGCAATGGATATTTACCACATTAATGCAGAAGCAAATAAATAAATCCAGTGAAAGTAGATAGTTATTTACCACACTCTGCAAAATCCCTATACGTCCTGGAAGGATAATGAACATGGCTAATGGACTACCCTCACGTGTTACATATTATAATGGTTGTTTCTGTGTTTGAAATGTGCTCAGAGAGTGAGCTTATTCTTGCTCTTCCCCAATCCAAAAGCATCATATTGTACTCACCACTTTTTCTGCGGCTGTGTTTTCTATCAGCTGTGAACCATGACCTGGATTGCCACTACAGGTGACTTTAACCCCTACAAACCAAAGAAAACTGGGTAATTAACCGCTGTCTCTTTAGTATTGTCCCGCTTTAAGAAGGCTACAGTCAATGCCGCGAACTTGGTTTATATCTATCTACAACAGTTGGTTTCATTACATTTTATAATATAACGCCACAGAATTTGAATAACATACTCCTAAGTTGTACTTGAATATAAATTGGAATTTTAATCATTTCTTTTAAAGAGGAAGAACGAAAGGGAAGAGAGACAACCCTAACAATATAGGATCTACGTACACCAGAAAGACTTTTCACCATAAAACACTTTGAACTCTTCTCCAGGATTCGCTATTCCTGCAAAAAACAGAGTAGAAACTTCAGGATCAAATAGCTAGGAACAAGGCATACTTTGATTATAGGAAGGTGGATGTTATCCAAATATATAATGGCTACAAATCCATAGCCATGACCCAATCCCGAATGTGACTAACTGGATAAATACAAATGGATACCCAACCCTCTCTTGGTTGACAAAAATCGGACCAATGATACTACTGCGTACTGCTAGTGGGATAGAGGTGGGAGGCACCACAAAATACCATCTCAATGAACGAACAACCCCTTTGCCCTTTGAAAGGTAACTAGTTGGTAGACAAAGATAGAAGAGGCCACCCCTTCAGACTGACAACAGTCATGCCAATGGTCCTCCAGTAGAACACGATACGCTGTTTAGTTGCCATCCATCATGTAACAGTGTACCAAGAACTATACAAGTATCAACTAATAACTACTTCTACAGCACTCAAAGTACTATTACGGAAATGTTTGAAATTACAAAGAGAAAACAGAAAATCGAAGTATATCCATCAAACACGCTGTTATGAGTCAATAAATGTAATGAATATATAAATCTATACAGTGTCCACTACACTGAACAATAGCATTTGATACAATTCTAGTAAACTATCAGTTTGTACCAAACTTATATTGGAAACGGGTATTGACGAAAATAGATGCAAACTGCATTGCCTGTCATGCAGCTTGTCTCGAAATAAATCCAAAGAAAGAAATGCACCACCTTTGGTAGTAAATAAAGCACCATACCTTCGTCGAGAGCAAAACCAACATTTAGTTTCCTAAACTCTTCTCGTTTTACAAACAAACTTTGTGGAACACTCCCTATTTCTTCATCTAAAAGGACGAAAACAGCACAGCTTAAAAAACAAAAGGCTCATCGAGAGAATTTCTGTAGATTTTGCAAGATTGACTAGATACCTAACACATCAAACGCAATTGCAAACCTTGAAAATATGCTAGACAACCTTCGCTTCTTATGTTAGTAGTAACGTACGAGCCATTTAAACCAAACCAACCGCAGTAAAACAAATTGCAGAAGTACCAATAGATTTTCATGCAACTTGGAGATAGGACGTAGCATACCGGAAGTTGCAATTGATTTCTAAAAAAACAATTTGGTGAGCAGTTTGCAACTTCCGGTTACACAGAAACCAATCAGTTATGCAAAATCCTCATATGAAGTAACATACCGGAAGTGAAGATCAAATGAATATTTCTTAAACATTGTTCACCATTGTTCTTTAATCGTCGAACAGCTTCTAGGTACCTAAAGATATCAAATTGTATTACGAAATGGAAACATGACGACTCACAAAAGACCACCTGCAGGCTCCTTGAGAGCTAAATATGCAAAACTAAATCCAAAAGAGATCATCTATTGGACGAAAATGGCTCAATATAAATGAGATATTCGAAGAAAGTTTATATTTGATTATTTGGTAAGATTGTATAAAATAAATAACTTACTGAATACCAACACATTTCATATCCTGAAAATGAAATGAAATTGACGATAAACAATGCTTTGCAGAAAAAAATGTGGGAGCAGCGACATTAAGCTACCTTTCGATTTTCAACTGTCTAGGTGTACTGTCTGTTGACCACAAGACGTATGAAGCAGATTGGTGCACTTTGCAATGTCAAATGTGAACATTATTTTGCCGAGGCGGCATCAGACAGAAACAACATCTCAAAACGGAATTTAGCAAACTCACCGACCAGGAGCTAGTAGTCATAGAGAAAGAACCCTATATAGCGATATACAATTCGCTCGATTCATTTTTGATAATGAGAGACGAGGGAGAATTTGACCTTTGACACTAACCTGAGCGCCCCTAGCGTAAATTTTACCATCAATCTTTTCAGCACTGAATGGATCAACTTTCCAATGTTCCTGAAAACGAATTTTCACATGATTGTAGTAAAGAGTAACTATTCGCAGTTTCTGATATTATTGTACACCAACCCTACATGAAATTTAAATTCGGAAAAATGATACGGTTAATGTCATAATTGAGTCGAATGAATCCCCTCAGCATTTAGAATCTAGTTCATGATATTCAGGCATGGACATGGCTAGCACATTTCGGGACAACTAGATCTAAAAATAGCATAAATACTTACCGGAAATACAGGAACGACATCTATATGTGAACTGAGAACGATTGATTTTAATGATGGATCTGTTCCTTTCCACGTCATAATACATATCGGTTTCTGTGGCGCCACCTAGAAATATGTGGTAATATTGTGATATTCGTAAATTGACACCATATTCAAAATGGTCATATTGAACTACTCATGGGGGCCAGGTAGTTTTGACACCAATCCCTCTCCATAAAGTGTTTTATATTTTTATCGTTGGATAAAGATGATTTTGGTATAGATCTTCATCCATAAAACGTCTTACTCTATATGGACGACTAAATACGGGGATAACAGGTCATTTTGGCACAGCTTCTCCTCCATAAAGCGTCTTACTATATATTTGGACGACTAAATACGGGCAGGTTGTTTTGGCACAGATCTTCTTCCATACAGCGTATTATTAAATCTAGGACACCTAATTGCCTATATCTTGGTACGTGATGTTAATAATGATTCATATTTTTTATCATAATTAGGTTATTTGTTTATTCATTTATTTTATCTTCTAGATATTATAACCCACGAATTCTTATTATTATATTATTGATAAACTTTCCTTTCCAAATTAGTTCCTATTTTCATAGAAATTTACAACTGTTAAGTGACATTGCTCGCTCGAGATACCTTCGTATTTTTTTAACCTGTTTCCCCCTGTCAGTGATGCATCTTGAGGGTGACGTTGAAACACGTCTTGGTTGTGTACATCAAAGTCCCTCGAATGTTGAGACGGGATTTTGCAAAATTTCCCTAATTGAACACTGCATGTCGTTGTCCGTCTTCAATTGCATAATTGCAGACGCTCTTACGTACCTCAAAAGATGTAAATTCTAGGCCAATATCTTGGGCGACTCTTCTTAAAAACTCAACGGCTTCATCTATGAAGAAAAGGATTTAATATAGCATCTAAATAAATATAGATAGTTTGGCTGTCAGTATTTCCCTCGCTGCACACAGCATAGTGTTGCCCCTTTCCGTAGACCTGTCGTAAATTGCCCATTATTTCAAACTTTTCCCTCGGTGCACACTTCATTAGCATTAGAATGTAAGACTTAAATTCATAACCGTCAGTGTGCAGGATTGTACAGCAAATATTTAGTTTGGAAAGAACGTGAAATCACACCTTTAGCTTTTCAAAACTCTAGAAAGGATTTTCATAAGTGATACGGAAAAAAAAACAATGACACCATACCGTAGTTGACATCAGGTTGTACTGTTTTAATCCGTAAATATTCTCTAAATAATGTTACAGCTGGGTCTTCTGTTTCACTCATTATCCTAGCTGAGATATCCGATGGCCTAGTTGAGATATCCGATGACCTAGCTGAGATATCCGATGACCTAGCTTAGATATCCGATGACCTAGCTGAGATATCCGATGATCTAGCTGAGATATCCGATGACCTATTCGATATATCAGATGGCCTAACTGAGATATCCGATGACCTAGCTGAGATATCCGATGACCTAACTGAGATATCCGATGACCTAGCTGATATATCCGATTTCCTAGCTGAGATGAACTAGCTCAGATACCCGATGTCCTTGCTCAGATAACAGATGTCCTAGCTCAGATAACAGATGTCCTAACTCAGATAATAGATTTCCTAGCTCAGATATCCAATATCCTAGCTCAAATAACAGATGTCCTAGCGCAGATATCCGATGTCCTAGGACAGTTATCCGATGTCCTAAATTCTGAAATATTCCAGATTACCGACGTTGTTAGTGGTGTTTGATGACAATTTATACGAGATTTTAGTCGAAATGATAACAATATCGCCTGTCGTTAACAGTTGAAATAGTAGTTTGATAAATTCAGCAAGTTTCGAACAAGTAAAAGGGATATGGTCATCAAAAAAAATCCCGTAGCTCTTGTTAGAATTAAAATCTGATATGCAGTTCTTCTACATTGCATGTTATAATTGCATGTCATATCAAATATAGGATTCCTACACATTGTGCAGATTTGTACAGATTTCATGAAGTGTACGGTTATACCTTATTGCCCGTGTCTGGATTTCAATTCTGAAAAGAGACACAGATGGCTAACAGCTGGTACAGAAATATTCAGACAATTGATAGTAAAGAGTAAGCTATGTTAAGTATAAGCTGATAAAGAATATATATAGAGGACACCATCACTTTAAGAGATAGATAATGTATATATCATATGGTTATCATACTATTGTTTACTATATTATATTATATACTATATATACCTCTAGTCGTAGGTCAGGATTTGACCCACATATACCTCTAGTAAAACATGGGACAACACATTGGCTTATTTGTCGTGCACTATATCATACCAGGTGTATGTCTTGAAAGTGTGGCTGGACATACTCAACCTTTCAACTCATTCCCATCCCACTCTGCGTTTGGGTTATCAGCTTGGGATAATACTTTAACTTTAACAGCTAACAGATATTTTGTAAAAAGATTGCAACTGTGGCTTTTCATTCATAATTTTGTAGTGATTCCTCTTCTCAGAGCAAGAGTCAATGAAGCTGTAGGTCCCAACGTTGTCAAAGAAATCATCAATTCTCTCCTTGCGACAAGGAGCATCTCATACAGGGCATGCTTTGACCCCTCTTAAAGAAACAAATGCTTAGGTTATTTTTTTTTTTTATTATCAAATACTTTTATTGCATTTTAAATTTAAAATTTATCAAAAATATATGTAATCTGACCACTCCCGCCCCTCCCCCCAGTTCAGTTAACATTAGCTAGAGCTGGTATAATTTGTTGATAAATCTCGATTCCTCTCAGAAAAATTTTCTCATGAAGAAACTCGTTATGATCGTGGAGAAGAACTGGGGTGTTGTTCATTGGAGAGAAACCCAGGGCTGGTATACCAAGCTAAAACAAAATATGAAATTCTTAATTATATGCTAGCAAACAAAGTTATAAAAAGTTAACAAGACAGGATATGCTCATATTCAGATTTGGTATGGATTTATAAATTTAGAGAGTCCACATAGCTATTTATGATTTTTTGGTGTTTTCAGAGAGTCCACATAGCCAATAATGTTTGTTTGGTAAATTGTAAAATCCAAATGCATTCACTATAAAGCAATCTATTTAAAAAAACAGCACTGTTTCATTTTGCTCTCGACACGTGTTTCAGATATACAATCAACATCAGGGCAGCTGGCATGTAATTGGAAGCTCAATACAAACATCTGAATTTAGAGGTGTCAGCAAAGTAAGTGAACTCACTCACCAGGAGCTTCAAAGATTACTTACGTTTCTGACATAACGACTGTCAGTTCCAGCAGGGAATATTTCTGGTCTGATTTCAATATTCCTGGAAGAAAAGCCAGGACAGACAAGAATAGACAGTGCCAAATAAAATAGAACCATTACCTAGAGATGGAGAATATAGTCTACTCTACCAACAGAAGCAGTACGTGGTTCGAAAAGGTTATCGTCTAAATATCAGCTTTACCAGCTGATAGAGCTCAATTTCAGCTATCTGTATAGTCATCTAAATATTTACTTTACCAGCTGATAGAGCTCAATTTCAGCTATCTGTATAGTCATCTAAATATTTACTTTACCAGCTGATAGAGCTCAATTTCAGCTATCTGTAGAGTCATCTAAATATTTATTTAACCAGCTGATAGAGTTCAATTTCAACTATCTGTATAGTCATCTAAATATTTACTTTACCAGCTGACAGAGCTCAATTTCACCTATCTGTACAGTCATCTAAATATTTACTTTACCAGCTGACAGAGCTCAATTTCACCTATCTGTACAGTTATCTAAATATTTACTTTACCAGCTGATAGAGCTCAATTTCAGCTATCTGTATAGTCATCTAAATATTTACTTTACCAGCTGATAGAGCTCAATTTCAGCTATCTGTATAGTCATCTAAATATTTACTTTTCCAGCTGATAGAACTCGATTTCAGCTATCTGTATAGTCATCTAAATATTTACTTTACCAGCTGATAGAGCTCAATTTGAGCTATCTGTATAGTCATCTAAATATTTACTTTACCAGCTGATAGAGCTCAATTTCAGCTATCTGTATAGTCATCTAAATATTTACTTTACCAGCTGATAGGGCTCAATTTCAGCTATCTGTATAGTCATCTAAATATTTACATTACCAGCTGATAGAGTTCAATTTCAGCTATCTGTATAGTTATCTAAATATTTACTTTACCAGCTGACAGAGCTCAATTTCAACTATCTGTACAGTCATCTAAATATTTACTTTATCAGCTGATAGAGCTTAATTTCAGCTGTCTGTATAGTCATCTAAATATTTACTTTATCAGCTGATAGAGTTCAATTTCAGCTATCCGTTTAGTCATCTAAATATTTACTTTACCAGCTGATAGAGCTCAATTTCAGCTATCTGTATAGTCATCTAAATATTTACTTTACCACCTGATAGAGTTCAATTTCAGCTATCTGTTTAGTCAACTAAATATTTGCTTTACCAGCTGATAGAGCTCAATTTCAGCTATCTGTATAGTCATACCAGCTGATAGAACTCAACTTCAGCTATCTGTATAGTCATCTTAATATTTATTTTACCAGCTGATAGAGCTCAATTTCAGCTATCTGTATTGTTATCTAAATATTTACTTTACCAGCTGATAGAACTCAATTTCAGCCATCCGTGTCACATTTCATAATGAAATTCTGACGTTTAGTTTGACTATAAGAGTGTTTATTTTTGGCTGGTACTGAATATCTGTTTTGAAAAGAGTAACAAAAAGTTAAAAGACAGTTAGTTGTATGAGATGTTGCAGGTATAGGTGGAGAGGAATACGAACAGAAACTAAATGTGAAAGAAGTTAGACTACAGACTACTACAAGACAGAGGATTCGAACCCGACACTCACTTGTCTGACGTATAAGCTATCAGTACCACATGGCATTATTTCAGTTCGGATTTTTATTCCCCTAAACGTAGATAAATGGTCAGAACATCTTAAAGTAAAGCTTAAGGGGGGAAAGTCCATGGATTTAAATATAAATTGCTTAAATTGAGCTCTATCAGTTGGTTTAGCGACTATGTATCTTTAAGGTAGGCACAGAAAACTAGCATCACCTGATAAAGTCAGACCTCTATTCAGTTAGGACTGCAGTATGATTCGAATTTCGAGCAAGTGTTTCGGTACATAATAGAACCTTTCAAATATGTTTCTGAAATGATAGAAATGTCTTACAATTTTTGACAAGCTGTAGAGAATGCGGACCACCATTTATCATCCGGGCTAGTTGAAGCCATGTGGGATGCGTTTCCTTTCTGAAAATATAACAAAAAGTGTTTTACGTCCGATGCATTTGCATGCAACCTTTGGTAACGTTCACAGAATAAGACGCATGCAAGGATTGGGTTGGTTGTTCTTTTCTAATTGACTCTACTAGACCTCTTTCAATGCCAGTTGCTCAAACCTGCAACACTGACACCGGCTTAAAAAATAGATAGGGATCGGATTCTGCAACCATCCGGGGTAGTACGCAGGCAAGCATCTGACTCATTGAGCAACAATTCTGTGGCCCTACTCGGCCCCTGCACCTAGAAACGACATTAGAGGCACAGAGAGATACTTTAGATTGTTGAGCAATATACATACATGTAAATATTCTACAGTAATATCATCACCAGCTTCCTTACACCAGGCATCGATTTTAGCCTCAAATTCGACCAGGTTCACTGTTGGTGGTATTCTCACATCAAAACCTAGAGTCAAAACATCAATGTTTCTTAGTGTAATAAAATGGCGATATACAAATACAAAAACAAAGTCAGACTCGCACCGGTTTCTGTAAGTCGACAAGAATGGACAATTGAAGGCACAGAATCCGGAATAAGGCTATGATGCAGAACATCATTCCAAAAGCTTCACTATCAATGCGTTCACAACATGTGAATTGAAGAAATTATCCACATGAAGTAAATATCTAGAGCTGTTTTCAATTTGGTTGGATCAAGGAAATCATGTACGGAACAAGTGGTAAAATCGAGAAAGTAGAACATACATGCCGTCATTTCAGCTGGTACCACATTGACTTGTACACCACCCTGGAATATACAGAAAGGGGTTAACAGTGGCGACTGATATCATCCTCGAAAACAGTGGCTGTGGAAACATAATCTCTTATAGTGTTAAGTTATCGAGAAAACAAAATTGAACAGTATGTATGAACTGGAGTGGACTGTTCTGAAGTTTGTAGAGGAAGTAAGCAATCATCTCGACATTTTCCAATGCCCCCCCCTGATCTCTTATCAGTGTTCTGTAGCCCAGAGGAAAGGAAGTGCCTAGCTTACCTCGACCATGGTAAGGTTAACTGAAGTAACATCTCCTAATCGTAGATTTGGATCTGATTCCAACCTGGAAATAATCATAATATATCTGATGGATACGTCTCGTAATTAATTGTTGGCCTTAGCTGAAGAAGTATGGAACAAACTGGCTCTAAGATTATTTGGGTAAGATATTCACCAAAGTCCTGAGTAAAAATAAACTTCACAATATCAAGCTATTACGAGCTTCATACTTATAGTTATACCTTGACTGCAATAGCCACATTTGTTGTATTCAGGAAGTTTGTATGCTTTTGAATACAGCTTATCAGAGACCTCGAATAATTCAGACTTACCTTTTCTCTTGCTCTGCCCTTAAATCTAAGAACTTATTAACAATTTTATTCTGGAAACAGAAAAATTCAAATTCAAATGAACTGAAAAGCAATATCCGCTCGTTTGTTTGAAATTAGTAATAGCCAAGAGGCGATGTTATTTTGCTGATGTTGTTTATGGCTAGTGTTATCAAAGGGCAATACATTTCGAACATCAATGTACGCCAATTAGACACACTTACTGAACAGGAGAAGCTATAGTTGAGCTCAGAGACACAATCATGGAGTGAAAGAATGTTTTCCGATATGATGAGTCTGCATTTCTAATGCCAATGTACAGCAAATTAAACTAAACATTGACCAAGAAAAGCCACAATTGAGCTGAGAGACTCATCTGGTAGACATTTGAAATTAATAATTCTGTGAAATTATTTTATCCCCTTACAAATTTGTCAGCTGCAGTATTTTTGATGAATGTGGAGCCATGACCAGGAGCGCCTTTAATATTAACTTTAACCCCTGAAATTACAATGGAGATTTTAATAACGTCTATATGCTAATGCTGGGTGTCGTGCGCGAAGGAGGCCATACTTACTCTTTTCGAAACACCTGATTGTACCCATCTTTTGCTTCCGATTTTGTCATACTTTGGACGTGTTAATGGAATTGTTTTACTTGCACGAAAATTGGCGTAGAAGCTCTGAACTTTGGATATTTATTGTGCACACCCTGAAGAATCTGAGGCTGTGATTTATTATCCCATTCGAACCACTAGACACTTACCCCACGCCAAATCCTTAGACTGGGTTTAAATTTTCAAGTTACTTACACCAAGCTGATCGTTCACCGTAAAATACTCGAAAATAATCTTCTGGATTGGCAAGTCCTGGAATAAGTAAGATGTTTTTAAAATTATAACATCCATTTCAGAGAGTCCACATAGCTAATGTTTATTTCGTACTTGTCAACTCAGCATCCCTTTCAGAGAGTTCACATAGCTAATAATGGTTATTTGGTATTAAGGTTTGGACATCTCTTACAGATAGTGGTTTGATATTACACTGTATATACATCAGAATCATATCTTACCTTCATCCAATGAAAATCCTATATTTAACTTTTTAAATTCGTCTAAATCTATAAATTTAGCCATTCCTTCAAGTCCACCAATTTCTTCATCTGACAAAATAATCAGAAAATGTTACTTTTAAAGGCTTACAGTTGTCTTAATATTCTCTCTTTTCAAGACTAACCTCCGACGCCCTGTTCTTCTACAATTCAACGAAAAACAGTGGCTGAACTAGATGAGTGGGACCCGTGGACTATTCTCAACTTCTGCTCTCCTGTATTTTGAGACCCCTCTGTAAGTCAATTTAATGTCTGTTAGTGATTTATTTCTGAGGTTGGGGCACCCTTAGGTGTTTGGGCCTGAGGACCTGGCTCAACCAGTTCCTATGGCAGTTGAGTCAGGTGTTATTTCAAATTCTAACCTGGTCCAAAAATGATATGAATTGTTCTTTTAAATTTTTGGTTTTCTTTTTTTATTCTTCTTACAGCCTCGATATACCTTAAATAATATACAGCCACAGTACAAGATAATAGCTTAATAGCTTGGGTATCCATATATCATACACCATTGTGTTCGTATGAATCATTAGGTGAGGGAGTCGAATAGGGGCCACACAATTGTCAAAGGGGGGCTCACGTGTAGTTATTTTCACTATGTTTAATAATATACAACCACCGTACAAGATAATAGCTTCGTAGCTTGGGTACGCATATATCATACACCATTGTGTTCGTATGAATCATTAGGTGAGGGGCCACAAGATTGTCAACTTGGGTTCATTGGTAACTCCTAGTTTAATGTTAAGAAATATGAAAGTTAGGGGATGGGAGTAAGCCTGGTCAGCCTCCTGTGCCAGTCTATTCTTGGGGCTCCCGCATAGAAACACCACTGGCATACTGGAATAAAATTTAGGTTTATGCTTTAAACTTATTGGAATTGAAAAACACAAATATTAAAAGTACTCACTGAACACCGACACATTTCATATCCTAAAAAAAACAAAAATCGTTATACGTGACTTATATTAAAATGATACTTTACGCCTCTGGTCTATTGCTAGCCTTGCTACACTACTCGTTTTTGAAATACTTTTGTACATTGCAGTGCAAATTTACAGCTCGATTACTTTCGACAGCCTGCAAAAGTTTCGGCACCTTTACTATACGTAGTTGACCTTTGACACTTACCTGAGCGCCCCTAGCGTATATTTTACCATCAATCTTGTCAGCACTGAATGGATCAACTTTCCAATGTTCCTTGAAAACAGGAACAACATCAATATGTGAATATAACATGACCGATTGTAAACTAGCATCACTTCCAGGCCATGTTATAATACACATTTCTTTACCTTTTACCAACTGAAATGAATGAATGAATGAATGAATGAATTAGTTGTTACGATAATCTCTGAAAGGGATACTGTATCAGTAAATTACGAGCTAAACGGCTATAGAACCCTGTAAAATCATCTTACCTCGACTGTATGAAAAGGAAGCTGCAGCTCTTCCGCCTGACCTCTAAAATATTCTCTAGCTTCATCTAAAACATAAATCATTAAATTCGGATAAAAATCAGATATCTGCCCATAGATAGATACCTTTCTGTGACGCTAGGTTGATTATCAAATACCCATAGCAGATGTTTTGAATAATGAGTAAGATATGCCTATCTAACGTACATTGTAACAATACAAGGGCTGACTTTAGCATGCTAACATAGATAGTGTTAGCATGCTAAAGTCAGCCCTATGAACAGACAAATTTATTTTTTTCGAATTTAAATCTTGTCTGAAAATATTTTTTTGAAGTAGTAATTATTCATTCATACTGATCATTCTTTATCTTGTTTTATACACATCGTTATCTCTTTATACTTGAGTATGTACCAAAATAGGCTTACAACAATGATTTATGGTTGGTCTAGTTTCGTGACCATACATGGTGACTTTATCACATTCATTTCTGTATGATAGAATTATTATACATGGTCATGGGCAAGCATTAGATCTTCTTGAACCATAGACTGTCACAAGTTACTACAGTGTGTCATTACTGACATAATAGACCAGGACCCCACCCCAACCACCAAAATATTTTCTCAATTTTACCAAAAGGGCATAAAGATGTTGTTGGTGACCTCCACAGATCTAATACCTGTAATGTTATAGGCCTATTGATAAAGTGGCTTGTTTTTTAGACTATGTATTCACTCAAAGAATAAGCTCACGCTCCAATTGTCTCCTAGATAAACCATCCTAAGGGTCAAGGTTTGTTTGTTCAAAGAATACACCACTTCAGTAGAGATCCATTATGCGTACAATACGTTCCTACACAATTACATAACATAAAACTAACACATGGAGATTGGAATACACTTGCTGTCAAACACCGACAAAACTCGCTTGAAAATGTTGCAAATTCGACCTACGCAAGGAGCCACAAATCGTCTGCTTGTTCCTTACCATATTTAGGATGAGGCTGCACTGTTTCTATCCTCAGATATCGTCTAAAATTAGTCACTGCAGGGTCTTCCTTTTCCTCCGACATGTTGTTTACCTTTATCTCTACTTTCACTTTATCACGTGACTTATATAAGGGAGGTAATTGATTCATCGATTCAGACCACAGCGGTTTACTTACTTAAATGGTTTTATTTTAATTTCTTTAGTTTGTTAACCTCAGTTTCTTTGGATCTATGAAATATCTAGAGTTGTATTTCAACCAGAATTGAGAGAAGTAAACCATAGAAAATAAATGAAACAAAATATCTAAAGCTGTATTGTCTGATTGAGAAAACTAACGCACAGAAAATAAACGAAACAAAATATGCTATCTACAGAACTGTATTGAACTGAGGTGGAATATCTGCCTAGCTTTGATTATTCCGGCCTGTTCTTTTGGCAAACAACAAGGAAAGTCTTTCACGTCTGTAGAGAACCGAGAACTCTATTTAGTTTTTCTGTCGATAGAAATATTGGAAACTAGATCAAATAACCAATCTATTAAAACCTTTCTAAATCAATTACTAAATCGTCCCTATGTTTCCCCTAATAAAATGTATTAACACGTTCGGTATTGAATGAATTCAATGGGTTAATTTATCAACATTGGCTATCAAGAATTCCTTAGTCTTATTTCGTCCATTTAGAAGTCCCTAAGGGAAAGTAGTCGTGTTTGGTTTATACAGGTTATTACGTAATTACGTAATATTTATTAATTGGCAAATATGATGAGTTCTGCTGAGTTGCCTTTGACGTTTTATGTCTTGTACTATTTTTGGAACTTCTGAAGAACAGAGTCCCTTTTCACACACTTTAAACAAAAATACAATCAAGATACAAAAAAAAAACAATAAAAAAACAAGCGATTTGATTGTTTAATGTAATTATATAGTAATAAAATCTTTCATTTAACAGAGCATTTGATGGGTTGAATATTCATTTACCTAGAACAGTAGTTGCATAAAAATTTCATCAGATCATTGATGACAAATAGAGTCACTTTAGCAGAAAAGGCACGAAAAGCAAACTGTCTAGAATTATATGCCTTCCATATTTGGTTTCAGATCAAAAGAGATGGGGGGGGGGGGGGGGGGGTTGCGGGTGGAACTTTTGGAGGGGTGGAGTGGTTGGAGTGGGTGGGAGGGGCAGAAGAACAAAACTAAACAGTGTTTATACAGTTGCCCCATAATATCGCGATATGTATCGTGGGCTATCGTATGCACCTTCAACAACAGAATTCCTATTTGAAGCCCATAGCTTTTTTTCGGAGTGGGGTTGGGGGGAATTCAGAACAAAACACTGTGTTGATACAGTTAGATAAGTTATAATCTTCTCCGCACCTTACACGAAGGAACTCCTGTTTGAAATCTAACAGATGTTCGTCTTGGCATGGTCTAATCGTGTCGAAACACGGAAGTTTGTTTTCTTTCAAAGCATCGTCAAATCGCGAATAAAAACAACTAACTTGTTATTGGGATTCCTGAACTAAAGGAAGATACATGTTTCACGCTAAAATTAACTGTATTTTCATTCTAAATAGACAGGTACCAAATTATACCAATATTAAAACCTGTTCAAGTTGGATACCCCCGAAAATAATTTTATAACTGATAGTATATCATGCTGTTAGCAGGAGCAATGGTGATTCCGTGATTAGTAGATGAGGGGTCGAGTAGAGGCAACATGAGTCTCAGAGGTATTCATGTATGGGGGTAGAGTATAGGTAGAGAGGGGGGGGGGGGGGGTAAATCTTTCCCCGTGTATAATGTTTTGAAAGTTGTAGGAAAGGGAGGCAAGACCGAGCCAGTACCAATCTTTAAAATAGATTACAATTTCGTTTCCTTATTTTTATCGGTCTTATATTGGAGTGAAACGAAATTTTAATTCGATTGGGTCTATACATCAGTGGGACGTAGATTTCTATTTCAAAATCGTATTAAGATTTTCTTTAAACAATTCCAGAACTCCATCTTTAAGATTGTTGAAAAATGAGAAACGCTCAAGTAACTTCAGTTGTTTTAAAACTACACAAAATGCACCTACATTTTACCTGGGGGTTTGTAGAGTTTGTACTCAAGAGACTGTCAGCCACCCACGGGAATTATAGTTCTATATATAGCACGAATATTACAATCTATAACAAGGACATAAAATGATTATTATATTGCTTTTAGAGAGTCTACAATGCTAATTACTTTATTTTCTATAAGTTTTTGTTAACCGACATGCTGTTGTACTAAATTATTCCTCAGGTCGTTCTTCAGGCTTTTGGCTTTAAAGGGATAGGTTTGCTATTTTTTTTTTTGAATATTTTTAAATAGTCTTCAGGAGAACTAGAAATGTACGAAAATTGCACAATTCCTTCAAAAATATCTCAAACTTTGAATTTCACTTTCTATTTTATATTCATCTATAGATTTTTTATATTTGGCACAGTCGTAAGAAATGACGAGTCGTCATTATAACATTCAAACGCAGATAATTCGGACACACATGCATTTGAAGGCTCAAATTTCGACGGTGAGCTCTGAATACTATTACTGATTGGCTTAGCTCAAAAAATCCCATTTCTGAAACTAAAATATAATCTGTCAAACGGATGGTGAATCTGTCCTTTTAAGATATGAGTCTAAAAACATTATTTCAGTTGAACTTCCCGACATCAATGGTCGAGGCATCAGACGCTTTCCTAAAGGTAATGCGAAACTATGACACATTCGTAGTGGTTGATTTCGATTTGTATTGCCAACTGCCCCGTAATTATGTGCGGTAGGTAATAACCACCATCAAATCAAAACATGTTCAAGTCACAGCCAGTTCTTTCAAGAGTTTGGTTCGATCTACTACACACCCAAATCTTCCAAGTAAAAGGCTTGTCTTTAACGAACTAAGTACCTGTTTTACTAATTGAAGAGAAATTGAGGTTAATTAATGGTTTATGTTTTAAAGGGATAAGTTCCTCTAATTCTATATTTCTGTAGCTTTTACTTGTAAAGTAAAAGCTGACAAGTTACGTTCTTCAGAAGCCGCTTGGCAAAGTAAGCATCTATGGTTCTAAAGGACAAACTTCTTGGCAAGTTAACATCTTTGGTTCACGAGTCTGAGGATCGTGTCGACCAACTGGTCCATGGACATGTTTCTTGGCAATGATCTTATTAAGGTAGCATCTATGGTTCTGAAGGACCCTTTCTATCAAAAGAAGATAAAAATTGAGGTTCCCAATAATTCGTCTACCAGCCAATCCATGGATAAATATCTTGGTATTGAGTCTACAAAGATACCAACTTTACTCTATACAAATGGAACTTATAAGTGTCGAACAAAGTCTGTAAAAATCTAGATTTAGACGGCGTTATGCCTTTATTTTCCGTACCTCATATAAAATAATAATATTTTCTAGGTACATAGTTAGCCTACACATTAAGAAACCACGTAATAAATCTTTATATATAACATGATCATTTTTGACAGAAAACAGTTCGACATCTTTCTTTCTTTAAATTAAAAAATCATCTCCAGATGTAATGAATTACGTACTTTAATTACAGAATCCGGTTCGTAAATTGTAATGGCCATTAGGGGCAGTGTTTGGGTTACACCCATGTTATTCAATTGATAATGCAATTTTAAGGGCAAAAACTATTTCATTTGCAAAGTCAAAGGCGATAACTCAAGAAATAATTCGGTAACAGTTTACATACTTTCATTACAAAATTCGGTTTGTAAATTGTAATGGTCATTAGTAGCGGTGTGAGAGACTTGTAAACCTATTATGTTAAGGGAGATAACTAAAGAAAAAAACGAACATTTAACAGGAGCTTAAAATTACATAATTGAAAAAGATCCCGTGTTGGCGTATAACAAATTCATCGCTGCTCTCTCAAGTCAAATCAAATCAATAAGAATCAATGTTGGTCTATATAACAACAACATCATCGCTGCTCAGAAGCAAGAAGTCAAATCAAATCAATAAGAATCAATATTGGTGCATATAACAACAAAATCATCGCTGCTCTTGCAGTAAAGTTAAATCAAATCAATAAGAATCAATGTTGGCGTATATAACAACAACACCATCGAAGATCTGGTCTCTATCAAGTCTCAGATGATACTTGTGAGATATCTGGCGATATCTAGGTAGAAGCAAGAAGTCAAAGGGTAGTCAATAAGAGGCAATGTTGGTGCATATAACAACAGCACCATTGCTGCTCTTGAAGTAAAGTATACACAAAGAAGGTCTGGTGTCTATCAAGTATTTTTCTCAGTTTATATTTGTGAGAAAAAACATAGTGTTAAAGGGATTGTAAAGAGCTTTTCTAAAATGTTGTATCTGGGATACTGATAGCTTTAATTTGTACCATTCCAATTTTCAATAAATGTGCTTTCTGCAATTCCACTTAAGTAAGTGTTTGATGACTTCACTAATCGCAAAATACGTTTTTATCACAACACTTAGTTTTGGTGGAATTACAGGAACCAAAGACATCTGATTGAAAATATGAATGGTGCAAATTGATGTTATCAGTGTCCCCGATACACATTAAAAGTTAAGAATAACCTCTTTACAATCCCTTTAACAAGATATAACACAGACGATGATGAATTGTATATTTCTGTATATTTATATAATTATTATAGTATAAACTATACCAGGTGAAAGTTATTAACACCTTACTCCAGGTATACACAATATCAGATTGAAAAGGATAAAACACACTTTAAAATGGGCTGTAGCACAGTCGGTTAGACCGTTAGAATCTGTACGTGACGTCATTTTCTTGATTACATAAATTAACTCAAATGAGTTATCGTCGGTGAGAATTAAAAATTTGTTTATCCTTTACATAATACTCTCCAAGTTGGACGCACCAATTAAAACGAGCTCAAGCTTTTAAACTCCATTTTTCTGGAGTAATGCCAGTCTGTCAACGCGGAACTAGCACCCACTCACACATTAAGTTAAAGCAAACATCCACTTTGTTTGCCTGCAGGGTCGCCCCAGCAGACGACAGATTAACGGCATTATACAAGTATTTAATATATAGCCTCTTAATG